TAACGGTCACTGAAATTATCCGCAAATGGACATACAGACAGACAGACACACCTGATATTCTTTTTCTTTTTTTTTAATACGTGGTCCTAGGTTTGACACTAGGTTTTTCTCCTGTGCCGTGCAGTGGGTGCGTTTACAAACATACAAATTCACATACACAACACACCCACACCCGAAACAATTTGTGGATCACACAAAGTGTTGTTCCGTGCGGGAACCGAACCCGCGACACGTTGCACAGCAGCCAGTTGCCCAGCCACTGCGCCAACCGTGCAGTCTAGATTTTGTTGGAATATGGAATATAGATATAGAAAAAGTATAAGGGTTCCCAGTTTACTACGGAACGTTAAAAAGAACTCAATTATTAAGAAGGTATGTAGAATAATGTAGATATATCGAAAAATTTATAAATGGAAGTGTGATTATTATAAAGTACCTAAATTTATGGTTTGATAACTAAGGGAACTACCCAATTGCATACATACGAGTATAACAAAAAAGTAGTTTGATAAAATCTTCACCGTTCCGATGAAGTTTCTATCATGAATGCCGTGTTCAGAGTAATCATGTTTTATCATTCAACGATTGTCTCTCTTTTCTTTGTAACACGCAATGTCCAAACCGGCACGATTGAAACGCGTTTGCACGTGTTCTTTTTTTTAGGCGTCTTCTTTTTATATGGAATGTCTTTAAATAACTTCTCTCCAGAGTGGGGCAAGAGAGAGACTCTTAATGACTAAAAACTACTCCTTACGGACTTCTCCTGCTCCAGGCCGGGGCCTCGATAATACAGATGGTTATTACATACCCGGTAACGCCGAGTGGTTTTTCTGACTATCAAATCCTTGCTAGGGTAGCAAAGAGATTAATCTATACTAATATTATAAATAGGTAAAGTTTGTAAGTATGTAAGTTTGTATGTAGGGGTAATCTTTGGAACCGCTGGTCGGATTGCCAAAATTCTTTCACTGATAGATATAGCTACAATGTTCCTAAGTGCTATAGGCTATCAAAACATCACGCTACAATCAAATGGAGCTGAGCAGCGGGTGAAACCGCGCAAGAGTAGCTAGTGATATATTTTGATGATAGTAGAGAAAATAATTAAAAGCTCCCCTACGCCAGGACGCCAGGAGAACCAATCTCATCAGTCACAATCAGTCTTATAATGTCTAAATATAAGTTTTTAAATCGCCAATCCGCCTTGAGTAAACGTGGTAATTAATATCTACTTAAACTTTCTCCTTGTGAGAAGAGGCCTTTGCTTAGCAGTGGACACTTACCTATAGGCTGATAATGTGCTATGTGAACTCTTTTCGTGTCAAAACCCCTCGGTGAGCTACAAGAGCATTTGCTTGACAAATTGGTTGACGTCAAAACGAGAATAAAAAAAAACATGTTTTTGTATATTAACTGAACTCTTCTAATTTTCACATTACACGCATATCTACTTACATTGGTAAATACCCGCATAAAGGTCTTTGAACTAAATAAATATGGATTCGTCATGGTATCTTAGTATACATAGTAAGAAACAAACTGACTTGATGATTTAGATTTTTTATGGAATCACGGCAAACCATCAAACCTATCACCTCATGGTAAGCCGTTCAAATATGAGGAAACAAATGACTACTCGACCGGAGTGAAATGTCTTAGAGAAAAGCGGCGTGAAACAACCACAGCGTTGTGTTCCGCCGTGTGAATAAGGTTGCGAGAGACCAAATCCTTCTCTTTCAATCTCTAAATCTCCGAAACCTTTATCCCCAAAAGTTTAGCAACGAAAACATAACTCCTCTATTGTTTGTCCACGGGTGACGCTGATTGCTTACCATCAGGTAATCCGTCTGCTCGTTTGACGTCCTATCATATAAAAAAGCGTTATTTTTCGCCGTGTAAGTAAGTTCACCGGAGACCCAATCCGTTCCTGACCCTTATTCGCAAATTTTCGATTAAATTTTATATTATTGGTGACTGGGATTTGATAATTACGGTATTGGTAACTATAGACTGAGCCTAGTTAAATTTATTGTAAACTAGCTTTTCAACGCGACTCCGTTCGCGTGGAATAGTAACTAGCAATTTTTTGGAAAAAAAACAAAAACTATCCTATGTCCTTTCTCGACTTCCAAACTATATCTGTGTCAAATTTCACAAAAATAGGTTGAGTAGTTGAGTTGTGAAGAAAAGACTGACAGACAGACAGACAGAGTAACTTTCGTATTTATAATATTATAGTTTAGATAACCACTTAATCACTTGAATTATGTAACTGACAAAAGCTCAACCAGTTTCAAGTCATACCGGGACTCTTATTCATGAGCATCGTGCGTGAGGGCTGTTACTAGTAGAACTTTTATCAGTTATTTCAAATGAGGTAGACGTTCTTTTTTCAATTAATTTGAACTATGTACCTTTTGCAAAGTTTCGCTCAAATTAGCTACATTATTTTTATTGTTATCTATACTAATGTTATAAAGAAGTAAAGTAAGTTTATGTGTAGGGGGTAATCTTTGGAACCGCTCATCGGATTGCCAAAATTCTTTCACTGAGCTTCAATGTTCCTGAGTGATATAGGCTATAAAACATCACGCTACGATTAAATGGAGCCGAGCAGCGGGTGAAACCGCGCGAGATTAGCTAGTTTCTAATAAATGGGACTATTCGCTACAGTCGACGTCGAATAAGAGTCCCGTTGTGGCTTGACACTAGTCGGGCTTTTCTCGAGTTATTTTCTATAAATGAAGAACAAAATCTGTCCTGTTGTTAGTTAAACCCTGATATCAGTATTGCGTGCATTTGGTTATATTTCCCATTTGCCATAACTCATGAAATACGACAGGCCGCCATATCGTCATAAACGTGACTACTCCAAGCAATAACTATAAAACTGGATTCTGCATATAAATTATATATAAATACATCTATGTGTAATATTTTGACGTGTGGGAGAGCTATGCTTCGATACGAATGGGTCGGCTCAACCGAAGTTATAGCACGGCCTCACAGAAAACCGGCGTGAAACAACCACAATGTTATGTTTTGCCGTGTGAATGAGGTTACCAGAGGCCCAATCCTTCCCCTCCCCCGATCTCTCCCAATCCCTAAATCTCCAAAACCCTCCCTAAAAGGCCGGCAACGCACTCGTTACTCCTCCGTTGCGGTTGTCCATGGGCGGCGCTGATTACTTACCATCAGGTAATCCGTCTGCTCGTTTGCTGACTTATTCCATAAAAAACAGACCTATCAAGAAAAACTGTACAAAAATAGTTTATTAATTGACTTCGGCAAACAGTTCCTTCTTATCAACAACTTGTTTTTCAATAAAGGCCTCCTTTAAAGATTGCCAAGAGTCCTTGTCTCTTGCAAGACGTTATCACAGCGGGCCAGCAATTTTCTTAATATCATCTTGCCATATTTTAGTTTGTCTGGCTCTGTTTGTTTTGAAACCTCTTGGGTACCATTCCGTTACTGACTTAGTTCATTTCCCCTTGTTTTCTCCTATCAAATTAGAACGCATACAATGTCTACAAAAGGTTAAAATGGCGATAGACCTGTACTAGATATGTACTGAAATATTCACAGCACAAATTTTGGAACCAATATTACGCTATAATCCCAAGACAGTGTAAACAGAAATGTAATAGAAAATTTCACACGAGTCTCAAGTCCCTTGAAATGGGGACCGAAAGACCGTCATTACAGCTTTAATCTGTAGACTGCTACTTAGAAATTTCTTAATGGAAAACACCAATAAAACCCGACCCGGGATTCGACCCTTCGAGTGCAGTGTAATGATCAATAGAAGTAGGAGAATTTCACTTATAGGAGTAAACAATTCGAATGAGTATAAGGATGATGAGTTTATCCTACTAGTATTATAAATGTGAGAATGTATGTTTGTTTGTTTGTTATTCTTTCACGCAAGAACGGATGGATCGATTTGGTCCGACCAAATCGATCCATCCGTTCATTTGGAATGTAGATAGGTGGTACCCTGGACGCGGACGATATCACAGGATTAACTTAGTCCTTTCATTAAAGAATGAAAAGTTTTTTTTGTTTCAAATTTTTTATTTTCTTTCTATATCAAACCTTTTGACGTTAAGTTTAGGTACATTATTGTCGTCACATTTTAAACATAGCGGTGACGTAGTAAGCTCTCGCTGCTATTGTGATTTAAGGGGGATGACCCAAAAGTTTTTAACGTTTTTCGTAATTTGCTACTCACATTGAAGAGAACAATTAATTATACATATGGATGTATATTAGTAGGTATATTAGTATTGGTGATTTGTATTAGTTTACACATTTATATTTATTTAAAACCAGCGTAGGTATAGCTTCACTACTAGATAAGCTGACGGATAAATAAAGTTTGTTTAAAAGGCTCTATTAATTAATTGTAACAAATTCTTAGACTTTTATTGTACGGTTAAATCAGTGGTTGGACAATTATATGCCGGATTTGATTTTCTGTGATCCATTAAATAATCTTCCAGCAATTTGATTCTATAAGACTTCATTCTAAACTTCGAATCTGAATCCGCTGTGTGTAGTAGTACACTCATAGAACAGATATTTTCTATTCCTTGAGTTTGCGAGTCGAACTAAATTGACCACAACATCTTGGTAGATGAAGTATGAGATGACATTTAAAGTGGCATTCTAAAATGTAATTTCCCCGTCACTTCGACGCTGACTTCACACTCGAACAAGATTCAAAATCAAACAAATATTATAGAATCTAAATGCATTGTTGACGACACACATGAGAAAATCCTAGTGTGACGGTAGTTATTTCTTTTGTGTCGTGAATGCGTTTACATATTATGTACATACACAAGACATACACAAATATAAAACTGAATTAATATTTTATTGTTACACTCATAATCATTACCAGAATACCTTAAACAGTTTTTAAATCCACTCACAGTACAATAACTAATAGCTACTTAAATCTATCAAACTAACACACGAATATTTTCTCATTACAGAACCATGGCGAGAATAAGCTTACTCCTGGTAGTGGCATGCCAGCTAATCACCATCCCATCCATCAGAACTGATGATGACAACCCGTTCTTGGACCTTGCATCATCATTCCTGCAGAACATGGGCGATGGTGGAAACAACATGAATGGATTAGCAGCTATAGGAAGCATCGTTGGAAACCTGATGCAGGGTGATAATGCCAAAAACTTGGGAGCCATGTTTGGTCAGGCTGATAATGGCAATGCTGGTGATATGTTATCAGGTAAGATTGTTTTTTGTTTTCGCAGACAGATTACCTGATGGTAAGCGTTCAAGCGCTCATGGATACCTGCAGTACCAGAAGATATACAAATGCGATGACGACCAATTTAGTAAGGTTAGGGGTTGGAGATAAGGGGTTTGGAGATGTGGATTTGGCCTCTGATAATCTAAACCAAGCGTGAGATGTTTCGAGTATTGTGTGAGTAAATAAAAATTGTATCAATATTCAAATCGGTGACGCTGTCGCTGGACAACCAGCTGCTATATAATGTGTCGTGAATTTGATTTCCTTATGGAACAATTCGTTGTTTATTGAATCCATAAATAGTTTTTATACTAATGTAATGTAGGTGATATGTGTATTATGTAAATGTAAGTGTAATGCAGAACACCAAGAATAAACATGAAGTTTCTTGTTTGTTCTTCTTTACGGAATCTACACTTTGGAACGAGCAAATAGCTTCACTGAGGACTGACCGACATACTGACACTTTTTTCTTTAACCTTTGTTTGACGTTCAAAAGTGCCTGTAATGTCTAATTGAAATAAATGATTTTCACTTTGAGTTTGTGTGCAACACACTATTGATTGATACCTACTAGGAATCTAAGCGAGGGAAGAATTATTTTTTTATCTGGTCTTTGAAAAGATGTTTGTAATTAAAATTCAAAATACTTTGAAACTGTTTTTTACCCTCAAAATACAGAAAAAAGTATATGTATGTATCTTACTAAACAAGAGCTCTAGAAGAATTTAAAACTTTCATCATAGTTAAAAACAAAATCGAAAAATTTTAAGAATTTCTTGCTCGTTATTGTTCATAAAAGTTCTCATTTGCGATTTTCCAGAAATTAAAATTGTAAAACAAAACATGAAATTTTATTCATTCTTAAAATTTGTTTCTTTTGTAATTTATTAAATTTATTTAAATATATAATTAGTTGTTGTTCTTAAAATTTTCACACGAAACACAATTGTTTTGAGCTATAATTATTAACTTCGTGATAATAAACTCACAAACGAAATTCGAAACTTTAATTTGAATAAAGTCGAAACATCAATGTCATGCTAATTAATACAGAAGTTACATTTAAACAATAGAATTTATCTTAACTTTATTTTTCAAGTTCCATTCAATATATATGTATGTACAAGGTGTTTGGCAGAACGTTGAACATACTATATTATATTTTTCTGAGGCCCAATCCCTCCCCTATTCCACCCCGATCCTTATATCCCTATATCCCTATCCACAAAAGGCCGGCAACGCACTCGTTACTCCATTGGTGTTGTGGGTGTCCATGAGCGGCGCCGAAAGCTTACCATCAGGTAATCCGCCTGCTCGTTTGCCGACTTACACAATAAAAAAAATACGACAATGGAGGATTGGTGGGGTTTTCTGCTACTTACTTACCCCTTATTTATTTGGCCCTGGTCCACTAAATAATTAAAAAAACCTTTTTCCTTCTTGTTTCACCTCTTTCTTAAGTGTAAAATGTATTTTTCTTTTTTAAATGGATAAGACAGACAATGCTTTGTATTCGTTTTTAATCATTTACGTTGGCTGTTTATTATATAACATAATAAAACTATATCTTTATTCAGATGTTAGCTAGAAAAAAAGTTATGAGTCCTCAAACTCAGAGAAACTCAAAGTTTTATACCAGAAACTAAAAATAAATCACGAAACATAAAAATCTTATAATTCTTCAAAGAGACTTTGACGCCGCTACATTTTGGCATTGTTCATCATAAAAAAAAATTAAGTGTCTATAAATAATTTAAGTAATTTATCAAACAGAAGATGATAGACCAATTTCTTTTTCCCAGGTCTTGGCAGCCTACTAGGTGGTCAGGATGGCAAGATAGATCCAGCACTAGTAGGATCTATGATATCCATGTTCGCCCAACAGATGGGCACAACAGAATCCTCAAAACCAGCCAGACAGAAGCGACAGAACAAAGAACCAGGAGAGCTCAACTTGGAAAGCATGATGACCTTGGCATCTGGTCTTTTGGGCAACAAGAACGCTGGAGGATTCATGCCCTTAATTATGAACGCTTTAAGTTCATTTTCGGATAGCGAGACTCAGAAACGTGCTGATGAGCATAAAGACCATGCTTCCTTCTTGCCTCCAATTTTGGAGAAGGCTCATTTGTACTGGGATATCTTTATCAACTCGGAGTTGGGTAAGACTATTTGGGAGAAGTCTGGTTTGAAGCGAGGATTGAAAGCCTTCACGGGACCCGATGGGAAGATCAGCTTCGAACAGATGTTCAAGAACTTTGAGAATCATTCGTTCAGGAGACACTGGATTAAGGCTGCTGCCAAGTATCTCACTGATATGGTGGTCCACGTCGCTAAACCTGAAGTTTACAGCAGGTAATTTTTGCACTATTTATATTGATATTGAAATTTTAACTGTAGGTGTAGGATCAGAACATTTATAATTGGATGCTTGTCAACTAGTCATAGGAGATTATTTAGGCCAATGATTAAAGTACAATGGTGTTATTAATATATAAATAATTTGAGTATCTCGTCAAATTATTACGTGAGTAAGCCGAAAACATCATAGTTAATTTAGTATAAATAGTTATTTAGCATCGCAAAAAGCTCATTATCTATTATTACGTAGGACCCATAACAAAAGTGATGAAAAGTGTCTGTACTCAGCTCTATCCTTTTGGGAAACGGTGTGGCAATGCGTTCATTCAACTTATCAAATAAAATTTTAATACATACTAACTTACCTATCCGGCTACCTCAGTAGTCAAAAAATATTATTATTCATACTCATCGATATCGATAAACCTACTTAACAATTTCCAATATTTGTGGCAAATTATTAAAGAAATTAGTATGCCAATGACGATATATCCACATACCTATACATACCCTTTGCAGTATGCTATTTGACGCTAAAACAAGACATCACGACACCTCGAATTTCAGTATTTTTTCCCTAGCCCTGGGTGGGGCGACAGTCAGTCTCTCACTGACCAAAACCCACACCGATTATTCTATAGTTCCAGGCCGAGATAACAAAATTCATGCTAAACTAACAATTTTGATAATGAAAACAAAAGTACAAAATTATTGATGGCGATTAAAAGTTAGCTGCTCAAGTGTGCCAATGTATCTATTTATAAAGTAGGCAACACGCGGAAATATATTACGTAAAGTTAAAACGTGTCCCTACTAAATTAGCAAACATCAGTAAAAAACTTTGTTTAATCGTATTTAGTTTAAAACTACTAATTAGTTTAATGGGAAGTTAGCAATTTACACTCCTTTGTCTCTCGAGCGATTTCAATCTTACTTTCGAAACTTTAACAAACTTTAATTGATTTAAACGGTGATGACATTTCGGAAAATTGTTTAAATAATCCGATCATAATGTTTTAACTGTTGACGTTTACAGTTATATTCTGATTTATTTATTCAAGTTAATCAAAAGTGAAGTTAACAAGTGCCAATTTATTATTATTTTCATACATAACTCTTTTCTTTTAGCAGCTGTGTTCAGTTTTTATGCACAAAAAAAAATATCCGAATTCATCATCATCATCATCAGCCTATAAGTGCCCACTGCTGAGCAAAGGCCTCTTCTCACAAGGAGAAGGAAAAAAATATCCGAATTAATACATCGTTATTTTTTTTTTGGGAAAGTGTCAAATTATATGAATGTTTTAGTAGCATGGCTACGCTAACGCAACGCTTCGAAGCGTAGTGCGTAGCAGCTGGGTAGCCGCTACGTTTACTGATACAAATACGCTACGCATGATAGCTACAATACGCTACGCACGCACAATGGCTACTTATCTCAAATAGGCTCAAAGATCGTTACCCTTATATTTTTTCTTAGAGCGTTAATACGGCACATGTTTTTAAAAACTTTCAAGTGCATAGATATTGTTGAACTGATTTAATGAAACTTGGTATTTAGTTAATTAAACATTTTTGAAAAAGAGTTCAGAGAAACATTGAGTACATCACTACCTACTAAGTATTTGACTTGAAACTTCATGTAGGTATATAATGTAGTATACAATACATAATACGTTTACAGATTGAGAGATGTGACATAAAAGAAGAGGTTGATAAAATTTTATATTTTAATTTAGTTTGACAGTTAATTGTATTGTACTGTTGTGACGGTTTCATACATTTGTTACCATAGGTACTTACTTTTCCCGTAAGGGTCATAATCAAAAGACTGAACAAACTTAACACGAGACAGGTCAGCAGTACTCTCTGATAAACAAAAACCGGCGTGAAACAACCACAGCTTTGTGTTTCACTGTGTGAGTTAAGTTACCGCCCGTTCCTTCACCTCCCCCAATCCCTAAATCTCCAAATCCCTAATCCTCATAAGGTTGGCAACGCACTCGTAACTCCTCTGTAGTTGCAGGTGCCCATGGACGGCGCTGTTTGCCTACCATCAGGTAATCCGTCCGATGGTTTGTCGACCTATTACATAAAAAAATATCAAATAATACACGTGTAGGAGCTTCAATGTTATTTTGAAACCGCTTTCGCAGAAAATTAGCAATAAATTTTCCATTAATTTGTTTGTACAATAGTACCTATGTTTTGTGGTTTTAACTAATTTGTTTTTTATTGCGTACAAAATAGAATTGTGATTTACTTGTTCATTTGTTTAATGATAATAAGCATTTTATGGACTAGATCAACAAGGCAAATCCGGATCAACAATTGTTCTAGATTACACCAAAATTTTTTCTTCCATGTCTATGGATGGCACCGATTGCTTGCCAACAGGGGACCCGTATGCTCGTTTGTAATATTACATAAAATAATTAAAAACTAATAATTATAATATACTAGCGGCCCGCTCCCGCTTCGCACGGGTCCAACTATCTCGCTATCAAAGGGTCACTTTTTTCTAATCTTCCCCTCTATTTTTCAAATATTTTCTTTGATAAGAACCTTCTCCTGACAGTAACAAACACAACAAAAAAAGAATTTGCAAAATTGGTCCAGGCGTTGTTGAGTTATGCGCTTACCAACACATTTGGCGATCCATTTTTATATATATAGATAATATAATTTACAATTTATAAGCAAATTTTGCAGAAATAAGTCTGCTATTTAGATCGAATACTACGTCATATGTATGTTACGATTTAATATACAATTCATAGAAATTGCATTGACATTTCGATGAAAAATATTGAATTTGACTAGTTGGAAACCACCTTAATAGGCTTACAAATCACAGTTGTACATTATATACCAAAGTATATGTAGGTAAGTAGGTATATACAGGTCTTTTTTTTGTGAGGGGAAAATCATCAAATGACTTCTCCCGCCATTTAGGGAGTGTCAGACTCTTACTGACTAAAAACCCCCCTGTTCCTTCTCCTGCTCTGTGCCGAGGTCGCGGTACCTCATTGCGCTTACCCCGCAACCCCGGCTGAACATCAGCCCTTTAGGGCCCCGTCTGTGATGATTGTGGTCTTTGAGGCGCGCGCGGAACGCTACGCGCCGTACGCTCGGGCCTGGTTCTGGTCGGGCGGCGAGCTGCCCTTACTCGCCGACCGCAGGCCCGTGCTTACGGTGGCCGGAGATCGTCCCTCGATCCCCGACGCCCGTAGTGTCGCCAGTTGCGGCTGCTGGGGCGTGAGGAGGAGGATTGCTCCCTCACGCGGGCCGCCTCTCTCTTTGCGAGCATGACTGCTTCACAAAAGGAGGAGGTATATACAGGTCTGAAGATACAAAAACTTATAAATCTTCTTTAACTTTCCAGGTACCTTATATCAGCTCAATACATCACGAACAGCTTCCTAGACTCCCAAGGTCTTCCCAAGAGCACCCATTTCAACGTGAAGAAACCAGAACAGTCTCTGACCACACTTCTGAACTACGTGCTGAAGAAATACCTGGACGTGGACACCGATGTCGGAGAGTATGTGGTTCCAGCTGTGGAGTACGTCAAGGTAAAATACATTAATGTTAATTGGACTCTCTTTAGACTTTTTTATCACATCATCAGCCCAAAAGTGCTCACCGCTAAGCAAAAGGCATCTTTTCACACGAAGCAGGTTTGAACATTAAACACCATGCTTACTAAAATTGAACTCAGAAGTTAAAAGTCCGAGATTTTCTCACGATGTTATCATCCGTTTTTCATGATGTCATTGTGTTTAAATAAACTTAGAGAATAGGTAAATAATAATTACTAGTCAGATTGGTATTTTTTCTGCGTCGTAAGGTAAACTAAATTTATTGTAAATAACGTCTAACTTAAATTAATTGAGAAATATAACACCATGACTTCTCTCGAACTTCTCGGGAATGTCAGACTCTTACTGACTAAAAACCCCCGTTCCTTCTTCTGCTTTAAGCCGAGGCCGCGGTACCTTATTGCGCTAGCCCCGCAACAATAAATATACCATGACATTTAAAAACTTACTTTCACGATATTATCTTCCGCTTGTCAGTGGTATCCAAATGAACTTAGGGAGTACCTACCTACTTTCATAATTATAACTCGAGAAAAAACACATATTCGTACTATTTCTGTATTTTTTGATATAAGTATATTTAATTTATTGTGACAAATTGGAATTAATTCAGAAATACATATAACATAAGTATTTTCCGGGTTTTCAAACAACACTCTTAAGTGGAAGCCTTAAACTCCAGGCCATCACGACATTAAATGACATTTAACTTCTAAAAATCATTGAATGAACTAACCAAACTTATTTCCTAATTCCTTTTGTTACAGCAAACCCTAAAAATGGCTGAAGCGACCACAAAGACCATGTCTACGAGAGGCGATTACAACGCCATCGCTGACCGTCTGACTGACACACTAAACTTGGAGGTGATTGAACCAGTGCTGAGGGTGTACAGGGCGTACCAGCATTCAGTGAAGGCTCCTCACTGCCAGGAACATCTCATGTGCCTTGTCAACAGACATCACGATCAGGATAAGAAAGGTCAGTACTGTTTTTTGAATGCTAACATTATTAGAAATCAAAACAGTACCTATCTATGTATCATGAGACATACGTAGGTATATAAATTCATTGTTAATAAAGACTTACTCACGTGAAACCACTGATAAAAACTCTCAAGTTCGTTCGTTGGTCCGTTTCAAGTCACACCGGGACGCATGACGTCGCGCAACTAACTACTTGCTTAGTTGAAATCAGCAAGTTTTTTAGGGACTGGGCGACCAGCAAATTGTTGCGCTTTCGATTCCCTCACGGGATCAACAAAGTGACATTACTTTGTTGATCCACAAATTGTTATTCCGGGTCTAGATGTGGTGTGTGTATGAAATTTTACTCGTATAATGTAAACGCTCCCGACGACGTGAAGGTTATCTTAAATGATAAATAAATGTCAATTTCTTATGCAATTTCAACATTAATTTATTTAGTATGCAATGCAGGAAAGATGAATGAAGCAGTGACAGTAACCATTTTTGCACTAAATTATATATTTTTAATGAATACATAAGTAGCTATTATCTCACAGAAAACTGACGTGAAGTAAAGCTTGCGTTGTGTTTCTGCCAGAATATTCCCGCGCCCTCCCCCCCCCCCCCATCCTCGAACCTCAAATCAGCTATCCTTTATCCCTAATAACCTATAAGAGGTCGGCAACGCATTTGTCGTAACTCTTTTGGTACTACGAGTGTCCATAGGCGACGATGATTGCTTACCATCAGGTAGATAATCCGTTAGCTCGTTTCCCGACCTCATCATCATCATCATCATCAGCCTATCCTAAGTGCCCACTGCTAAGCAAAGGCCTCTTCTCACACAGAGAAGGTTTGCGCATTAATCACCACGCTTGCTCAATGCGGGTTGGCAATTTCGAACTTATGTTTAGAAATTATAAGTCCAGGTTTCCTGACGATGTTTTCCTTCACCGTATGTCAGTGGTGTCTAAATAATAATCATAGAAAGTACATATAACTCGGAAAAAGTCACACACTTGTTAGGTTTCGAACCCGCACCCTCATGCATGAGAAGCGAGCGCTTTAACCTCTGGGCCACCACGAGATTCCCGACCTAAGACACAAAAAAAAACTTTTGTACCCACATTAATCTACTTAGTCATAGTTTATTTTTGCATCTGCCAACAAAATAATTATGCAGAATGTGCATTGTGCATGTCGTTACGTACCTAATCACGCTGTTGTAGGTTCTTTCCATGCTCACTCCACATTATGAATAAAATTATAAACAATTAATTATTATTATGTTAGGTACAGTCAGCGTTAAATAAATATATAATAGGAACATGCAGAATAATCAATTATGTATTAATTCAACACACTGACGGTAGATAACCTAACGAGGTTTTCGTACTTACCTAATAGACTTTTTACGTTCTAACATGCCTGTTTTTTTTCTGTGATTTTGATGTGATCGTGTCAGCTATTTGTGTGATCCACAAATTATTGATCCCGATCTGGGTGTGATGTGTACCTATGTGAAATTCTATGTTTGAAAACGCATCGATTTTTTAGGAAATGTGGAGTTGGCTGAATGTATAAATGTATTTTTTTTTCTTATTTATCCTTATATCATAATATAGTAAGAAAAAGAAAAATTACAAAACCATTGTAATGGTTTGACTGTAGGTCAATGAGTCTATGAAATAAGCAATTAATATAAAAGATACCTACTGTATATGTAGGTATAGAACTTTAAATATTTCTTATTAAATGTTATAAAACTCAACATAACTTATATTATACATATTATATAACATACATATGTATTTATATTTAACGCTGACTGTACATTAAACGTTCTATATAAACATAAACATGAGTCAAGTTTCCATACATGACAATGTCACGCTACATTCAGATAACATCCAACTTTGCAGTCAATTAGGTAGCATAATAATACCTGAAACCTTTATGTAGGTGCAATGACGTGTTCCTTAGCTAGCTATAAAATAATTCTACTGTCACACGAAACAGCAATAAAAATTTATAACAATATATACAGGTAAACAATAATGTTAAATATGAAAATGATAAAGTACCTACCTCTAATGTGTGTACAGGAAAATGCGTGATATGTAGGTATAATTAGAACCTATGATGCTACCAAGTTATAATTAGACGCGTTTATACAGAGTTTATAAAGAGCGCGTTTATAAAGAGGTTTATACGCGTAAAAACCTCTTTGGAAATGTAAGCATTCACGTCAACAAGTAGGAGGAGTGAGTACCTACCGGAGCGAAACCACGGCCTCACGGAAAACTGGCGTGAAACAACCACAAAGTTGTTTCGCAGTGTGCCAAAGTCAAACTCATTTATTCTAACTAATTTTTGAAACGTCATACAGTACTTAATGTGAATATGGTTACTGGAGGCCCATCCTTCTTCTCCCCCTAACATCCTCAATCTTCAAATCCCCTATCCCTGAATCCCTAATAACAAACAATAAGCCGGCAACGGTGGTCGTGGTGGCCCCGAGGTTACAGCGCCCGCCTTTCAAGCATGAGAATGTGGGTTTGAAACCTGGCAAGTACCAATGTGACTTTTTCCGAGTGATACGGACTTTCTATAATTATTTAGACACCATTGACATACGGTGAAGGTAAACTGGACTTTCTAATTATAAGTTTGAAATCGCCAACCCGCATTGAGCAAGCGTGCATGGTGATTAATGCTCAAATCTTCTCTATGTGAGAAGAGGACTTTTCTCAGCAGTGGGCACTTATAGGCTGATGATAATGAAGCCGGCAACGCAACTGTAGTAACAACTTTGGTATTATCTAAGAGTGTCCATAGGCGGTCGGTGATTGCTTACCAGGATAATACCCACGTCTACTCGTTTGCCGCTTACCGGCTTACGTCATAAAAAAACACCGGTTATGTAGGCATGTAGCGACATCTATCGCACAACATTAACAACAGCACCAATCACGTGCAAGATTCTACATCGCGGTATAAGAGTTCTCAACCGATACAATAAGTCAAGACAACAACCGTCGGGCAGTACCTAGCCTACCAGACATAACACCCGTCTGGCCGGAGGATCCTCCCTTTTCAATGGAGGGTGAGGAACTTTCCAACCTGTTCTCTCATACCTCTACAGGTATATATATTTTTAGCCATTAACTTTTGACTGATGTTGACTGTAACTTTTGCAGGTCTGCCAGGCTTCAAGGCTGGTCTCACGAAGCTTAGCAGTTTAGCAGCTTCTGCGGCGCTCAGCTTCCAAAATGGAAAAGGATTCTTCGATTTGTACAACGCTATTCAGAACGATGTGAATTGTGATGTGAGTACCTACGTATATTGCACATTAAATAAACCTAAATTTTATTATAATAGCTATAAATATAGTCCTTATAAGCAGCCATTGCTGTTATTGATATGTACTCCTATGGTTAAAAATGGCGAAATCGTAGTAACAAAGCGAACCAATGCTTTGACTTTGACTGTACGGCTGGTACGGTGGCTGGGCAACTGGCTGCCGTGCGAGTTGTCGCAGGTTCGATTCCTGCACGAAACAACTCTTTGTGTGATCTACAAATGGTTGTTGCGGGTCTAGGTGTCATGTGCATGTGAATTGTATGTTTCAATCCTAATGTTGGGCAACGTTTAAAAAAGTGATTTCATTGTATCTCTCTTTGAGAGGGTACCGAAGGTTCAATGCCTTCTCTAAAAGGAGTTAATTCGCTTTTGCGCTTCAAACTCCTTGGTGTCTCGTGGCAGTGCCAGTTTATTCTGCTAAACTAAGGTTTTTAATATCGCATGTCCATTATGAGCATGAACTAATCACTAGTCCATGACTACACTATGGTACATGAGGGTATTAAGGCCTAGCTAAGGGAAATTTGTTGTAAAATCAAAACTGGTAATAGAATCAACAAGTTTTATTCGGTAATCAGTCGTTTATTTAGGCAACTACAAAACTATAACAAAAAAATAGCAACTTCTGCATGAAACCTAAACAATATTTATCATTTTTTTAAACGCTCTTAATAGGCCTTATTATAATTCGGTAGGGTAACAAGGCCTGCTTCTTTAACTATGCAATTAATCAACTAAAATAACATAATTTGGTATTTGATATCAATCATTATCCAGTCAACGTCAGAATAATACTTTAGAATTAAATGAGTAGCCTCATCTAACATCCACCACGGCATACGAAGTCATCATTATCATCCACTGATAAACCAACACACTCCTCATGATACCACTTGGGGCATTGAGAGCACTGCCTTATGTCATCCATACTGTGTACTGTGAATGTAAAGAAAACATAGGGTGTCATGAAGAAAACCGTATGTTTTCTTCATAGGCATGGCAGTACCAACTTGCTTGAGTGCCTTCAGTGTCCTTGGTTCGATCAGATCCGCGAAAAGACTTTGTTTTAATTGCTCTTAAAGGTGTTTGAAGGTTAGAATTTCCTAGATCCCTTGGTTTTCTTCTTCTTCTGAATTTGTATTTTTATTCCCTGCATTGCTTTTCTTACATTCATTAAATTTATCAAAACGATCTTTGTTCACTGGAGTACCCCGAAAATTAATAGCCTTATGCTTTCATGAAACCCAGCTATTATTGTTCTTTTTCTAGTCGTGCAAGTGGAAGACGATGTCTTCAGAGGAAATGCCATAAATTAGTCATCTTTTTGAAAATAATGCAAACATTGAAGAATATATATCTATAAGTATAATAAGGCCTACTATAAAATTTTATAGGCCTTATTACCCATAGGTTAGGTATTTATGGAAAACCAAATAAATACAATTTGGACTGTAGAACGTTAATAAATAAGGCAATGTGGGACGAGCATGAGTTAACGATAATAGGTACAGACAGTAAGAGCAAAGAGATAAGTATAATAATTTAAGAAATATTTATGTTTAACCGGAGCCAATATTTGTAAAAACGTGACGTGCGGCTACTTTTGACAACGTTTTAACACGCCATTAGCGAGAGCGAGTGTGGTAGCCAACACTTGCCGCATGGTGGCGCCTTTTACGTGTAATATACATGTGCGTGAGATTGACCACAAAATCGTATTCTAAGCAAGATTTTTAATGTTTAGGCCTTATTAGCCGACAGGCTTTAATACCCGCATGTACCTACATGCCCTATAACTTAGCATTTTTTAAACTCTTTGCTTACGACATTTTGCTAATTTAATATTAAAGTAAGAAGCTCATAACCTTGAAAATACAACGTACGGTTGTAAGGCGTTAGGTAAACAAGCCATCCATCTTAAAAGAGCCAACCTCCATAACTCAACACAACGGCCTTGCAGAAAATTAATAGATTTATAACAAGACTTGTAATTATTATTATACTTATGGATAACGTTTTGTTTCACCGTGTGAATAAGGTTAAGCCCCGAAACCCAAGTAACTAACGGTCATATATTTTCAGGCGGCGTATCCAGCAGATTGCTCAGCATTCCACGAACACGAGCTCAAAGTTACAACTGAAGTGTACCATAGCGAATTATAAGTAACTTAACTATAAGTAGACCAACTTTACCTAAGTACTTAATTTTATTCCTTCCCTGCTCTTAGACTATGAGTGAGCACTTTTTGGTAGTATAACTCGTTTATTCTTTTTTTTCTATAGTGCACAATAATTGAGATTTATTTTTAAAATGTCACAAAGAAAAATGGAATACTGCACAGAATTCCTCAGAATTAATAATAAAATTTCCATTATAATCCATTAAAAATGAAAATGGTCCATTCCATCCATTACTTTTTTAAATGCACATTTCTCTTTTTAGTTTTGACTTTCGTATTAGGTATCATTATTATATTTTTTTGTAAAATAACTAAAGGCACGTAATATTACTTAATTATATATTACTTAATACATCGTGATAATTGTTCTTAGTAAAATTATGTACTTATCAGCCGATCAGTTACACATACCTATCTATCCACAATATCCATATGAGTAAAATTTTACAAGGTATGTACTTAATAACATGAATAATATTAAAATCGCTATTTTTTTTAATGTTAGACCTACCAATTTGACGTTTTCTACTTATTTTGAAATGTCAAATTCTAGATTTTTTAACAAAAGGATAAGCATTTATGATTATAGGTATAACTAAATATTAAAATTATAAAATATATTAAATTTCATGGAATAATAATAAAATTGTACTTATTTAAACATAATATTGATAGTTAGGTACTATAAAATTGAAATTAAGTAAAATAATTTTAGTTTTTGCTGGACATTTGGTGCTAAAACTTATTTTGCATTTATTTGACTTTTGCCTACCCTTAAATGATAGGCAAAAGTCGAAATTATATGAATAGATATTAATATATTAAAATCTCGAATCTTAATATAATAATGATATAAATATAAATTAAATGTTTTAATTTTTACTTATTATTGTTTTGATTTCTTGGATGTTCTATAGTTATTCATAATAAAATGTAAATACATTCCAAATTTATTTAAGAATATGGGAAATAAAACTCTTAGACTGAAAATTCGTATTATTTATTTAAATGGAAGTTACCTAAATATGCATTTTCAACACATTTCCTCATAAATGCTCAGCTAAAATATTATCAGCGAAAAAACCCAAAAAAGAAACCTCACTTTTAATCTATGGCCAATGCGCGCGTATAAGAAAAGTGATTAATTTTTGCCGCCAATATGAAATATTTTTGACAACTCGTCACTTTTTCTCTTTCTAGTATTATTTTATTTAGAAGTGTGTTGCAAATGCATTTACAATCGTAGAAAAACTAAAATTGCACAGTGAGAGTACTTTTCGATAACATTGCACGAACGAAGTGCAAATTGTAATTTGTTTTACATCAATACTTTTGTTATAGCTACTTATTACCTATAGGTAGGTATAATAATTCAACCAAATCACACAACCCCGTGAAAAATATCAACTGTACTGTATACTGATAATAGATGGCGCTGCATTCTGAAGGTTAATTTAGATACGATAGGTAGCAACCGCGCGCTCATTGTCGCGGCTTGGCATTAACCGCATTGACTATATGAGCATTGCGACATTGCCATGCAGTGAAGTGCGATTTGGTTAAAAAATATACCTAAATTGAACATCAATATACATCTCATTCGTTAGGAATAAGTGCGCATTAAAATTAATATTTAATCATAATTGTAAATCAAGGAAAAAATACTAAAAAAACAAAATTAAGTATAATATTCTTTTATGGACAAAATAATGGCAGTACAGACAATACTTAAGCATGTTTCATTGTCCAGGGCCAGATATACCAATAGGCAGAATAAGCAACTACCAAGGAGCTTTTAGTAATCCGTAATCGGGAAATCAAGGCCATCAAGAAATTAAATTGTATTTTGAATAAAATTGAATTGCCTCGCCACTAAGATTTTTTATAATAGTAAGTAATAAATGCTGGATATGGCCCAACTAATCCAAGGGCATAATATCTTCTAGTGGAACATCTGTTTCACGTAAAGAACAATCGAGGTAGTGTTGCCCGTGGCATAAAGCTTTAAGTACAAATTACGTACTTTTTGTTACCATACTTAAAAATACAACTTATTAAATATTCCTAAGTGATGTGTTTAGCCTCTAAATTTATTTTAAAGTATAGATATGATTACTTCGTCCAGATTAAATTTAAATTTTTATTTACCATTTAAAGCATCCAAAATTAAGTTTGTTTCAAACTGAAAATAATTAGTTATTAACAAAATACATTTAAGAATATTATCATCAACAAAATATACTTACATTACAACAGATTTTTCAATAGTCAATGTTAACTGAGGAATAAAATTGTTGCTATCACTGTCTTATACAAACATTCTGACGCGACAGCATCATAATTATTCCGAAGGTAACTTTTATCTAACCATTGAAAAATCAGCCCTTAGTGAAATTAATAATTTCAATAACATATAACTTATAAGAACGTAAATTATGGTGTACTTAGATAATATAAATTATAAATACATATTATATAATAGGGATGTACTTATGAAAAAAAAAATAACTGAAAATTTTTCTTTGGACGGATTCCTTTGGACTAGAGTATCATTACAATCGAGAGATCGTTTCTGATTGGTCGTTATTTAGAGATAATATAAATTGTATGATAAGCGTAAATCGTAGTAATGTTGGAATGGATTTGTTATTTCTTAGCTGGGATGTTTTTGCAGACCCATTCCATGCCTTCCTGTAAAGAAATAAGACACATTTTGGATTGACTTGAGGAAACTTCAAAATAATAAATACATACATCCAGAAGACACTTGAAATAAATATTATTAATTAATAACGAATACCATAATTTTTTACACTTTATAATTATTTGCAAATAAAAATATTGTAGATAGATTACAAATGGGCGCCATTACTGTCACATGGATCAGGCCATTATTTTACATTTTGATTTTAAATTTAATTGTCTCAGTTCTCTCACAGACTAAATAAATAATCGTTAATTGTATTTTTATGCACATAACTCAGCAATGCCTGGACCACTTTTGCCAATTCCATTTTTATTGTGTTTGTTACTGTCAGGAGATAGTTTTTTGATAGATAATTTTAGAAAAGTTGAGAGGAAACTGAATAAATAGCAAGTCGACTTTCGTTGTTAGCAAAGTATGTACAACTACATGGTTGGCGTAGTGACTGGACCACTGGCTACCGCGCAACGTGTCGCGAGTTCGATTCCCGCACGGAACAACTTTTTGTGTTATGACACTATATATTGTTCTGAGTATGGGTGTGATGTGCATGTGAAATTATATGTTTGTAAGCGCGACACAGAAGAAAATCCTAGTACATAGCAGCGATTTAAAAAAAGAAACTTGGGCACTTGTGTGAAGCACAGATGGACTGCTAGTATAATACAAACCTTGACTCCAGTGCCATCAGTAGCCACACAGGCCTGTATCTGCCAAGTGCGATCTCTGATCAGGTGGAGTCCTAAATGCTGGGCGATCTCACTGGCTGGCAGGGCTAGAAAAACACAATATAAAGATTAAAATACTTTTCAAAAAGAATTTTCTGTAAAAAAAATCTGGTAAAATTGTTTTGCAGTTAGTTACTTAATAGTAATTTTTGTTTTTGCTCATTCTATTTTTTTTACATAAAATAATATACGATGTCTATGGCCTAATCCTACAAATACATAGTCTGGCCATAAATACTGTTACAATTAAAAATAAACAAAATATTACATTTGAATTTGAAATCTGTCATTTTTATATAATTTTTCATTGTGTTTTCTTATTTTGGCGCCAATAAATTGTTCAATATTTTGCGATATTAAAATAGAGTGGGGTGATAAAGAGAACCGAATCGCTGTGATTGCATTTCCAAAGTGGGTATGGAGCCAAATGCAATTTTTAAAACTCTCCACACGCTTGGCATTAGTCAAATGTTTGTGTACCGGGCTATTAATAGGTACAATGAGACCTCCTCTGTTTGTGACAGAAAAAGATCTGACCGTCCACGTAGTGTTTCGTTTGAAAAAGATGGTCAAAGCAGTAAGGGAAAGAATTCGATGAAATCCTGTCCGAAAGCAAAATATTTTATCTCGGGAGATGAAGATAGCACCTAGAACCATGTATTTTAAAAGACGACTTATGACTTGCAGCCTATAAGAGACGCACTGGACATTTTTTAAATGATAATTTACAAAAGAATAGGGTGATAAAATCTAAACAACTACTGAAGCTGTACGCAAAGGGAGGTCATAGAAAAATTTTGTTTCCGGATGAGAAATTTTTTACAATTGAGCAACATTTTAACACACAAAATGACCGTATTTATGCTCAAAGCTCTAAGGAAGTTTCTCGATTAGTCGACAGAGTGCAACGTGGGCATTATCCGACTTCAGTGATGGTTTGGTGGGGTGTTAGCTATGAAGGAGTGACTGAGCCATACTTTTGCGAAAAAGGTATCAAAACATCGGCACAAGTGTATCAAAATACCATTCTTGAGAAGGTAGTTAAGCCCCTTAACCACCACACCATGTTCAATAACCAACAATGGTCAATGGTCCTTCCAGCAAGACTCGGCGCCGGGTCATAAAGCTCGGTCCACGCAGTCTTGGTTGGAAACGAACGTTTCCGACTTCATCAGAGCTGAAGACTGGCCGTCGTCTAGTCCCGATCTTAATCCGCTGGATTATGATTTATGGTCAGTTTTAGAGAGTCTATCATGATGTTTAGAGTAAGCCCTAGCTTAGAGTAAGCCCTAGCTTACTCTAAACGTCATGATAATTTGGACTCCCTAAGACAATCCATACGATTGGCAGTGAAGAATTTTCCCAAAGAAAGAGTGTGTGCTTCTATCGATAACTGGCCTCAACGTTTAAAGGACTGTATTGCAGCCAATGGAGACCACTTCGAATAATCTTTTTATGTTTTAAATTTATGTATTAATTACTTACATACTGTAAAAGTAATAAATGTTATTTGCTATAGAAAAAATAGACTTTTTGGCTAGACTTTGTATATTAAGTAGTACCTTTTATACAACTATCTCAGACAACTATATAGCTATTTTTTATTGAGAAGAGAAAATCATAAAACTTCTAAGATCACCCAATTCCTTTTCCTGCTCCAAGTTGCGCCACCAGCCCAGTTAGGGCTTACCTGTAGTCTATTGGCTCTTTGAGACTCACAAAACGCCTCCAGGCACTCAATACACCTTTAAAGACCCTTGGTACAATTTTAACACTATCTAAATTTTAGTTTCAGTATTTCTTTTGTACAAGAGAAGATCACACAAGTCTAAAGCTCTTTGATAAAAAAAAATATATATTATATTTTAAAGTTTACCTGAAGCCAAATCCTGTTTGTTGGCATACACCAGCAATGGCACTCCTCGCAACTTCTCATCTTCCAGCAGCTCCGCCAACTCCTGGCCTGTCTCCTCCAATCTTTGATGGTCAGAGCAGTCGACTACATAAATCTGAATATACAATAATTTAATGTTACCAAATAAGTTTCCATTGTAGAAAAAAATACCTATACTTTTGTAGATAAGTAGAAATATAGTTAAGAAACAGTCAAAAATTTATTCAACTTTATTGAATTAATGTATAGTATTACATTGTATAAAAAACCTGGAAACGTATCCGAAGATTAACGACTGTGAAAAATGCGATCCATGTAATAATAAAATATACATAAAAAAATCTAGGACCCAGTTGAATAAGTAATCATGTAGGTAGTTATTTACTTACCAAAATATCAGTATTTTCGAAGTAATTCCGCCAGTAAGGTCTTATTTTCCTTTGCCCACCTATATCCCAGACGTTTAATTTAAAACCATTTGATAAAACCGACTTTATATTGAATCCTGCAGTGGGAGTAACATGATTCACGTCTTCCGAAGCCAGTTGTTTTAAAAGCGTAGTTTTTCCCGCATTATCTAAGCCCAAGAGCAGCAAACGCAATTCCTTATCAGGATTAGACCGCAGCTTTTTCAAAATATTCAGTAGACCCTAAAAGTTACAAAGCGAAATCAGCACAAAGATAAACACATTTCTCACAATTATTATATAATTTTCCTCAAAATACCATCATGGAGATAACTTCTGGAAGATTCGACAACTATTATATGAGTATTTATTGGTAAAGACCAATGCTTTTCATCGTAATTTAATTATTTCTGAGCGACTTGCGTGAATCGAAAGAAATTTGTTGACATGTCGCTGTTTCCATGGTAACCTACAGAAATTACCATTCGTTCCCATCATGTCAAAAAATAAAGCTTGTGAATAATATAATAATGCTAATAATATTTGAAAATATATTATAACAAACATTTTCAGTTTCTTTATTATTAGTAAAGTTTATAACTTAAGTAAGTATATAGTACTTTAGTGTGCATAAATATAAAACAAATAGTTAATGCCAATTTACATTGGTAAGTTTCATAAATCTTATATTAATTCAATACGAATAAAAATATATCATATTTTGCAATAAAATGCATATTACTTGAAAAAAAACAATGATTTTTTATTTTCGTATTAAGATCAATGTTCATGGTCGATCACTGACATGTGTCAGAAGTTTCTGAACGGAAAACACTCAATAATTTGTCAAGTTTGCGGATAGCGTGTTGTGGTCTGCGCACGTGTGGTTAAATTTGTTATTTTCAGAATAAACTCTATCAATTTACTAAAATGGGTAAAATAAAACTAGAACACGTAGAACAAGAAGAACAGGCTGATGTGAGTGTTAAAACTGAGCCTCAAACCTATGACGAAAAAGTCGAACATTGCAGTGTGATTGCAAAACCTATGGCGCCGAAGAAACTTAGCAAAAAGATATATAAACTCATCAAGAAATCAACTTCTCATAAAAACTATCTTAGGAATGGCCTGAAAATCGTGCAAAAGCAACTGCGGCTTGGTGAAAAAGGGTAAATACCTATACATTTTTTTTTCATTTTGAGGTTATGTCTTTGTTCACACATTGATGCATTATAGGCCGGTTAGAGCTTAGTAGCTAAATCCATCTAGAATAGTTTAACGGATATTCTTTATATCTTAGGACCATAAAAAATACCATAATTTATTTTAATAACGGCGAATGCACATAATCCTGGTTAGTTAGTGGCGTGCCAACAGCGTTTACTGCGCAGTTAGTCAACAACAGCATAACCTCTCGAATGTCGAACGGCCTCCATCCATAAGGTCCGTCGCCATTACGCGCATCTGTCGCGCCACCTCCTAGAGGGGTCCCGTCCCCAGTCCCGTGCCCTATTTAAATCTGTAACGCTTTGAATCAAATCAAATCATTTATTTCGTTTGCAAACATGGGTTAGAAAATATACAATAGGTGTTCAATTATTTATAGCAAGGTTCTCCACATTTTTTTTATCATATTAAAGGTGCAATAACCATGTCAATAATTCAGTAAGTCATCGTTAAGAAAGATGTCAATATTATAATAGCACTTGTCAAGCAAAAGTTCTTTTAGCTTCTTTTTAAATTTTGATACATTCATACCTTTTATAACATCTGGTACCTTGTTGTAAAAGCGAGGTGCCATACCAAAAAAACTTTTCTTTACTAATGCAGTTTTACATATTACTGTATATAGTTTATTAACAGATATTGTATTGGATTCCTCTTGACTTCCGAAACTTTTACAAATAGATATGGATTACACTTTACAAACAAGGTTAACATACCTCTCCTGCTCCAACTTTTACAAAACGTAGTAAGAAACACAGGGATGGCTATAAAATCAAGTGCTATCCGTAAAAACAAAGTGGTCTAGTAATATCGTAAGTCTAAAGTTGCGCGTTTATTCGAATGTTTACTGTTGCAGAGACATATAGTTTAAAGCAAAATATATTTTGTTTTGTTGTTTTAATTACTACAACTTATAAAGATCATCATGGATGGGTAAGTTATACGCTGTTTTAAATAATTATCTTATGGATTTGTAAAAAAATAATCAAAATTAACAAAGATTATTGATACACGGTAAGTCAATTTCGGTTTTATGGCCAAACTTTTTTCTATGTTTTGAATACAAAATATTATTATTGTAGCAAAACAATTATTACAAATGCTGCTTAAAATTAATTGTTTTAATATATTAAGATTGATTAGATTTTGTGTCATATTGAATTGAATAACTTCGCAAACCAAATCGGCCTGCAAAAGGCTGATTGACAGACTCGCATTTTGTTTCAAGGTTATCGAGTCTGCCATTTCTCCTGTAGGTAGAATTAATGGGGATAAGACATTCATGTTCATTTTTGTACTGCAGTGGTGGCTTTTTTTCTCATTGTAAGTTTTTTTTAGTAACTTTGTTTTTTTTGTAACATTAGGTATTGTTCTCCTTAAACTCTAACTCTATGTAATAAATATAGGTAAAAAATAATACAGAGGTTATTTCTAAAACCGATGTGGAAAAAAACTACTCTAATATATATATAAATACAAAATGAAAAGTTTAAAGGGAAAAATTCCTAATGTGTATTTTTTACCCGACTGCCAAAGAAGGAGGGTAATGTTTTTCGAGTGTATGTAAGTATGTATGTATGTCTTTTCCTTTGTGACCTCCTGTAGCCTAAACGGCTTGATGGATTTTGATGTATGAGGTATCGTTAGATTTGTCTTGATTACGGGAGTGTCATAGGATACATTTTATCCTAAAAGTCCCACGGGATAAAGACATAATAATATTTTTTCTAAATTTCCCTTTAAAAAAATATGTATGCGGTATCATTAGATTCATTTCAATCACGGGAGTAACGTTAAATAAAAACAGCTAAAAGTTATAAATAAAAAAAATATTATTAAAAAAACAAAATACCCGACTGCACACTAAAAAAAGAGTAAAACAAGCCCCACAATACAAATTTACTGAATATAATTTATAAATGTTGATGGAAAGCATCGCAGGCCGGGACCACCTTGACCGCCACCAACGAAAATTCTGCTAAATGGTGCACAACAGAAATGACTATAAATAAGCCTCTGTTGGTCCCCGCCTGCGATGCTTTCCATCAACATTTATAAATTATATTCAGTAAATTTGTATTGTGGGGCTTGTTTTACTCTTTTTTTAGTGTGCAGTCGGGTATTTTGTTTTTTTAATAATATTTTTTTTATTTAACTAACTAAAAAATACTAAAAGCCTCGTACGCGTGGTGGTGGTGGAGGGCGTCGTGGTGTGCATGTGAGAGGTGTTAGAGCACCAGAATAGGTGGTTGTGGAAGAGGTGGCGGTTGTTGCGCGTGCGCATAAATAAAGTACAGGAAGTCGTGGTAATCGTCGTGGCCTCGCCTTACGCTGTGGCCCGAATTAGCGACCCGGACTATTGACGATATATACTATTATTGACGAGTGAATATTTTTTTAACATTGCTTTTTGTCATAATGTTTACAATATTGTGTTTTTAAACTATGAAATTTCTATTTTAGTCCTATAATGTGTGATATCGAGGAAATGCCAAGTAGCCATGGTCTTGAGACTCCTTTGCACCCATATCGCCAACGCGCGTGGCAACCGTAAGTAATACTAAATTTTTTAATATAAGCTATTAATATGTTGACGGGTCTTAAGCTTTGCATAGATAAAACACTGCGCTTCTATTTTGTATTTAGGTCTGTGACGGTTGCCAATCGACCACCAACAACTTCACCGACTGCAATTTTAAATACAGTGGATGAAGTGGCATCAATGAGCTCTGTGGCTAACGAGCCATCTTTATCACCGGCAATTTCGGCGCCTTCACCATCGACGTAAGTAGGTTAGGAACCTTTCTCTTAAATTTTATTTAAAGTAATAAGTAATACAAAGATGATTTTGATTCAGGTTTATTGAATGTGACACCCAAAGCTCACCCACCATTTCATCGACACCGGTAGCACTTCCTCGCTCTCGCCAGAGTCGTCTTCGCGATGAAGAAATATGCCGAGTGCTCAATTACGGTATACTTAGTTGGCATTTAAAAATAACTCGAGGCTTTTTGCCTTCATCATATTCAATACTGATTTATATTTTTTTGCAGGTAGCGAACCAAGTGATGGAGAGAGCGATGATGAAGATTTGGTCGCACCACTGATTCCTCGCACCTTCAGGTGCTTTTTAGAAACACCCATGGACACCGAAGACATTGAAGGCCAGCCATCATTTATAGTTGAGGATGTCCCGACGTCAACAACGGAGCGACCATGGGCTGTTAACGATTTTGAGTGGTCAGCGTTTCCAAACCCTCCGATTCCACCAGAATCGAGGAGAGAAATGTTCTGCGAGAATAATGTTGGTCCAACAACTCAAAGTGTCGACCCATATGATATTTTCATTGCCATATGGGATCGGCAATTTATGGAGTACATTGCATCTGAGACTAATAGGTATGCCCAACAAGTCACTACTCAGATGCTCGACAATAATAAACTTTTTCCCAATAGTCGCATCAGCCAGTGGCGCGATACCACGGCTGATAAACTTTATGTTTACTTTGGGCTCATCCTTGGGATGGGTGTTGTCGTAAAATCGAGACTGGAGGAGTACTGGAGTTCTAGTCCTGACCTTTTTGTTACTCCAGGATTTAGAGCGCATATGTCTTTAAATAGATTTATGTTGTTAAATAAATGTTTACATTTTAGGAATAATGAAGACATGTGTGCGCTAAGACTGAACGCCTCAGAGGCAAAATTATTTAAAATTCAACCTGTTATTGATTTTTTGAATACCGCTTTCCAGAATCTTTATAACTTGAACAGAAATATATCGTTAGATGAATCTCTTCTGCAATGGAAAGGTTGGTTGGATATCAACCAATTAATTCCTAACAAAGCCGCTACAGTGGGGATTAAAACTTATGAGATTTGTGAATCTCAAACCGGTTACTTATGGCGGTTTGAGGTTCATGCTTATAAGAAATCTCCGCTGCAGCAAACGGAAGACATATTACAATCATCCACGCCCGCAATTGTTCTAAGACTTGTACATGGTCTTGAGAACCGGGGTCACACATTGTGGATGGACAATTTTTATAATTCACCATGTCTAGCGCGGCGCCTGAAATCATTGGGTTTTGATTGTGTAGGAACTTTGCGCACGAATAGGTTGTTTGTGCCAGAGACCCTACACAATCTGACTAAAAACGACATGCGCCCAGGTGAGATTACAGGTCTTACCTCCGGAGACATCGATGTTATGGTGTGGAGAGACAGAAATAGAGTGGCTATGCTCTCGACATACCATGGCAACGGTGTTCAGTCCATTAGAGGTTCCACCAAACCCATCTTGATATTGGATTACAATATCATGATGGGCGGGGTGGATAAAAAGGACCAAATGCTGGCCATGTACCCAATAGAGCGCAAGCGGACTAGAATCTGGTACAAAAAATTATTTAGAAGACTTCTAAATGTGTCAGTTTTAAATGCTTATATTGTGCATAAACATAATTCGTCTTCTCCTCTTAGTCATCGCAACTTCCGCATTCGTCTTATAAAACAATTGCTATCTAAACATTCTGCTGCCCTTCCACTTTTGCCTACAATCCCAAAGAACAGGTCTGTTGACATCTCTCACCGCCTGGCTGAGTACCCGTTTATAAACCATCAACGCCAGCGGCGGGTGTGCAGTGTATGCAAAAAGCGGGTGCGTACGTTCTGTGTGGGTTGTAAAAAAACCGTATGTATCGATCCTTGTTTTGTAACTATACATTCGTAATTGCTGTACTAATTATACATTTATTTCATAATATGAATGTATGTTGGTGCTGGCGAACGGGAGGTCGCATCAGGCGGCGGCCGACCTGATGTCACAAGCGGTTGCGATAGCCGTTGCAAGGATCCGGCAGTTGGGACTCGAGGTGGCGCTCCACAAGTCCGAGGCCATGTGTTTCTATGGCCGTCGGAACGCGCCAGCTCCAGGTGGGTCCCAAATAACAGCAGGAGGAGTTACCATCGGCGTCGAGTCGGCGATGAAGTACCTGGGTCTCGTCCTCGACAGCCGATGGAACTTCACGGAGCATTTTCGTCGTTTGGCTCCTAAGTTGGAACGGTCTGGGGCCGCGCTCAAGCGGCTCCTTCCCAACCTCGGGGGGCCAAACGCCTCCTGCCGGAGGTTGTATATGGGGATTGTGCGATCCATGGCCCTCTACGGTGCCCCTGTGTGGGCGCCGGACTTGAAGCGGCGGCCGGCTCGTACGCTGGTCGCGTCCCAGAGGGTCATAGCCATCCGAATAATCCGCGGATATCGCACGATCTCCGGGGAGGCGGCGAACCTCCTTGCCGGATCACCGCCGTGGGATCTAGAAGCGAAGGCGCTCGCGCGCGTCTACAGTTTGCGCGCAGACGCGCGTCGCCGGGGCGAAGATCCTCTGCCGCGCCAATTTAGTGCGTGGCGGAATGAACTCCGGCGAGATCTCATGGCTGAGTGTATAGCAGCGGTAAGACCCCTCTTTGAGGAGTGGCTTGAGAGACGCCACGGCGTCCTCACCTTCCGCCTGACGCAGGTGCTTACCGGGCACGGCAGCTTCGGTAGGTTCCTGTTTCGGATCCAGCGGGAGAAAACGCCCGAGTGTCGTCATTGTGAGGAACACCTAGAGGATACGGTGGAGCATACGGTAGCGGTATGCCCTGCCTAGGCTGAGCACCGCCGTATCCTCAGGGAAGTGATCGGCGGCGGCGAACTCTCGCGCCCGGCCTTAGTCGAGGCCATGGTGCGGAGTGAGAGGAACTGGGACGCCGTCTCCTCCTTTTGTGAAGCAGTCATGCTCGCAAAGAGAGAGGCGGCCCGCATGGGGGAGCAATCCTCCTCCTCACGCCCCAGCAGCCGCAACTGGCGACACTACGGGCGTCGGGGATCAAGGGACGATCTCCGGCCACCATAAGCACGGGCCTGCGGTCGGCTAGTAAGGGCTCGCCGCCCGACCAGAACCAGGCCCGAGCGTACGGCGCGTATCGTTCCGCGCGCGCCTCAAAGAGCCATTAGACCACCACAGACGGGGCCCTAAAGGTCTGATGTTCAGCCGGGGTTGCGGGGTAAGCGCAATGAGGCACCGCGACCTCGGCACAGAGCAGGAGAAAGAACAGGGAGGTTTTTAGTCAGTAAGAGTCTGACACTCCCTCCTGCCCGGCCCTGGGCGGGAGAAGTCATTTGATGATTTTCCCCTCACAAAAAAAATATGAATGTATGTATGTACATATGTATATATTAAACACAATATAAGCATTTAAACAAAGATTAAAGTACTTTGATTTTTAATTATATCGTTTCGAATTTATTCGCTTTACTATCCTATAAAACTTTTTTTGTACCAAATTGTAGGATGGTATATTCTTATTATTATTAATCCTTTTACTTGTTCTCTCTTTATTCAATGACTTATAAAAGAAATAATAATATGATTTGATAGATTTTGAATGTTAATGGTCTTATCCATATTAAGTTAACACTACGTACGCTGAAACTTTTACTTTTTGTGGTGTTTTGATAAGTTTTAGTCAAAGAGTAAAGTTATGGTTTTAGTAATGGATTTTGGAAATGTTTTTGTATGGAAACATGTTCATGTTTTATATTTTTAAAATAGTAAATATTGTTAAGTTTACAAAAATGTATCTGTATTTGAAATTGATAACACAGATTTTGCTCAGTCATCAAACATTTGAAATGATATTTTAGCGCTTAAATTCAAGTACCTGTTATGATTGATGATTTTTATTAATTCATATTCAAAACTCGGATAAAATATATTCTGTACGTAATGAATATTAACTAAACTTTAATTTACACGCTTAGTTGAAGTCATCCGGGCTTAACTTTGTTTAGAATCGAAAACTAATAAAAATATGTGCTTATTTTTGTCGGTCGAGCAGGTAGCCGAAAAAAGGACAAGTGCTGTAAAAAGCTTCTGGTGTAAAAAAATGTACTAAGGGATTTGGTTTTCTGTATGGTTTACTGTAAAATAAGTTATATTTAAGTAAATAAATTTATTTCTTTTCAAAATCTTTGTATTATTATTGATTAATAGCGACTTTTAACCAATAAAGTGGGAAAAATACACTTCTCTTAATTTCACTTTAGATTTAACATTATATAACATGTTAAATATATACTATAAAGTATGTAGCCTGTTAGTATATTTCATTGCGATTTCAACAATATATGACAGTGCATAGTTGTTAGTACAAATTTAAAAAATATCGGTGTTCTAATATTACGCGCCAATTTTTCGCCACCCCACCTGTGCGTACGCTGACATATGCGCAATATTTGTAAAAATGGCCGCGACAGCGAAGATAAGTAATAACAACATATACCAGATAGTAATAAAGTAACCAAGAAACCAACACCTATTTTTTTATGGAATTGGTCGGCAAACGAGCGGACGGATTACCTGATGGTAAGTAATCAGGGCCGCTCATGGCAACGAAGGAGTAACGAGTGCGTTGCCGACCTTTTAGGGATTAGGGTTTTGGAGATTTAGGGATTGGGAGGAATCGGGCGAGGGGAAGGATTGGGCCTCCGGCAACCTCACTCACACGGCGAAACACAACGCTGTGGTTGTTTCACGCCTGTATTCTGTTATAACCTATAACCACCATATTGTTGACAAACATAGTAAATACTAAATCCTTTACTTTGTCAAAACATACTCGAAAAAATTATCTAATAATATGAATTCCTCCATTCCAGGCTAGTGTTTTTCGCCGGAGACATTTCACCAATCGAAATCATGTGCCACTTACCTGCTGTATGTGAAGAAAAGGACATTCCGTACTGCTACACACCTAGCCGCAAAGACATTGGTGCAGCCATGGGCACCATGAGAGGCTGCGTTATGGTGCTCGTTAAAGAACACGATGACTACAAAGACTTGTACGATGAAGTACGAAGTGAAATCAAATTGCTCGGACACCCAATTTAGATTGTAAGTTAAGATTGTACTATTTTATTAAAATTGAGAAGATTATGGTCTTATCTTTTAGTGTTTATGTACCTTTGCATTAATTTGATATTTCATACCAAACGTAAAACCTGTATGCATTCTATAATATTTATAGATTGATTTTGATTTTAAAGCAACATAAGTTGGCAGTTTTTATTTTTATTTTGTCATGTAATGGTAGGGTTTTTTATCCAGGTACATTTACTCTGTAAAGTATTATCATAGCCTTCTACTACATTCTATAGAGACCACATTCTGTATCAGCATTTCAGATTTAAGCCAAAATATTCAATTATTGTGCGTCATGCTTTGTCATCCTGAGTTTATAGACTTTTCATCCTATTCGAAGTTAGTAGTAATGTAATTCAGATAATATTATCTAACTGTTGTTGGCTAAAATTAAACTTATTTGTTTATTGCAATATCACCAAAAACATTCAATTTTAGTATCACCAACAGATGGCTGAAATTAGTACTCTATTGACAAGCTCTAAGGCATAAATTTGAAAAACTTTGCAAAATATTACAATTTGTTATAACATCCAGTGTCTATTGTTCTTGTGAGGAGACATTTTGGTGTATATTCATTGTATTTCAATAGTCCTTACTCTCTTAGTTTTGCTGGTATTTTGAACATTCATTATTTGACCGTACGTAAAAATTTTATTAATATGTAAGTTAGGTTAAGCAGAAAATATTGGTGTACAAGAAATGTGAAATATGTTATGTATGTTCTTGTGTACTGAGATTTTTTAAATAGACAATTTATGAATTATTCATTTGTTTAATTTTTTCTTACTAAACGAGTATGTCACCTTTTAGCTTATATCATCAAATAACTTTCACCATGAGAGCGCTGGGCTGAGGGAGTGTCAGAGTCAGTTCTTACCGACTAAAAACACCCTATTCCTTACCCTACTCCAGGCCAGGGCTGGGGTATATTATTGTGCTTCACCCGCAACCCCAGATAGTATAATTAGGCTTGTATAGTTTGTGTCCATCAAGTGTACCAATACTACATAACATCCACCGCCAATACCTAAATCTTCGAAAATGTAATCCGCAAAAGGCCGGGTAGCGCCGATGGCTAACCAACAGGTAATCTGTCTGCTTTTTTGCCAAATTATCACATAAAAAAGTGGTTTCACTTTCTTCATCGCCTTAAACATAAGCATCTTAGCAATACTTTGCATAATTAAAACAAGGAAAATAAATGAAAACAGTATTTTAGTTACACATACATTTAATACACTTATTAAAATCTATGGGTACGTAAAAAATGGCAGATTGTCATAATTACTGACAGTGAAGATTGGCAAAATACAATTACTTTAAATTACGCACTAGGATCACTAGAAATATCTAAGCTAGAAGTCTAGATAGCTATAGGAAGGAAGCTTCAGCAGACTTTCAGAGCTCATTGGGCAACCCGAGTATTTTTAATTCAATGAAGACTTGTAATATACGATGTAATTTAATTCCTTTGATTTTAAATGACAGCAACTACAGGTTTACAAAACTCTACAATAAGAAACTTCATGGATAATCATGAATATTTATTATTAATGAAATAAATTCGTATTTATAAATACTAGGTTACATTGCTAGTCCACTGAAACTTTCACCCTAAATAATAACTAGTAATTGAAGCAGTATTTTAAATTTATTTAGATTAACCCTGCTTTTGAATGAGTGCCCAGTAATGTATGAGATCTTTAGGTTAATAGTAATTAAAATCATATCTTACACTTGCTTGCAAGAAAGTTAGCTACTAGGTATTAAGTAACTTGAATAAATGGAACTAAAATAATACCTATATAGAATCGTATTCATAATATCAATGTACAAATGTGCAATAAATATCTTGTATTTGCCATGGTAATGACTACTCATAAGCATTTTTTTACTGGTCGAGTGCCGAGCAACGTGACGCAGGTTTGAATCCCGCAAGGAATAACTCTGTATGATCGATAAAGTAGTTTCGGGTCTGGGTGTGAGGACTAAAGTTATATGCTGGTAGGTAAGTGTCAAGTGGCAAAAGGTTTTACAAAACTACCGCATCATTGAGGCGTACCCTGTCTAAATAAGACAGCAAGACATTGCTGAGTTAGATTGCATTGTGGCTGTGCTTGTTACAATACAATTATACTACCTTTGTCTTTTCGAAGGATGTAACAGTTTTTAAGATGTTATTTCTCGAAGCTTTTTGATTTTCAAATGTTTCACAGTTACCAAAAAACACATAGAAAGATCAGAATAACTAAAGTAAAAATCAGAACTAAATAAATTCTCTACTAGGGCTAGACTTTCTTGCAAGCAAGTGTATCGTATTTTTATATAAATAAAAATGTTAACATTATGGAATTCGGCGTGCGTGTCAAAATTATATAATAATAATTAATGTCTACTATTACACAATTAAAGTGTTTCATAGAATCCTGAATGTTGTGGAAAGTGATGATGACATTTTGTACTTCAAATTCTTAGAAGATTATTTAAACTACCAATTTGTTCTGTTGGATTTGTTTTAAATTGTTAGCTGTAGAAGTTTACTTGTATGATGGTATTAAATGTTAAACAAAACTAATATTTTTAGTATGCTAGTTGTTGCCAGAAAAATATTCTAGCTAGGTATGTATTTGCTTGATTTCTTAATTAAATGATTAATGACAATAGGTACTCAGGGCAATGCTTACCAGCAAGTTCTGCAAGAACAGATTCTCCATTACAGTCTTTAATTATTGTTTGGTAATAATAATAGTTATTCAAACATTTGTTATGGTAAATAATATATACAAACACTATATTCTTTTTAAAACAAATCCAACATATACATGCATACATCACTTAATATTATAAAAAACGTTATAGCTACATTAGATTTGTTAAATAAATCGGTTCATCGCATCTACCACCAAAGCCGTAATACAAATTAGATGGTACAGCAATCACATTAGGTTCATAATTGTTTGCACAGCTAAAGTAAGCTTAGATTTTAGTCAGGCTTAAAGAAATAGGGTACTTTTATCGTTGTGCGTTAATTCTGTTTACAGTGGACCTACTAGGTAAGAGTTAAATACAAAATAAAATTAGTTCTATAAAAAATACGTTTGCAAAAATTTTAGCCTTGTAATAATATAAATTCTCTTTAAAATAAATATGAAGTTGATATATTTATTTACAACGGAATTTGAAGTTAGAAAATTTTGAAATGTTAGTACTAAAATCATGCTTGTAATTGTAATTGATTTATACGTAATTGTTTTATCAGGTATCCTATTACCGACCACGTAAGTGACATAAAACACGTTCAAGCATTTTTTATATCAGGCAACACCGACTAGTTACGTCACTGCGAAGTCCGCCAAGTCCGGAAGTGACGTATGTGATTCTTAAATTAAATAATTATTATTGAATTGTTATCAGGCTAGTAAGTCCACGTGCATGTCTAACAAAGTCTTAGTAATGATGTTTTCACTAGAAAATAAATGTTTTTATACTGTTTAACGCAAATGAAACAAACTATATTTTACTGGATCCAAAAACGTTTTAAATGCACATTTTTAGTACATTCATTCTCTAGTGAACGTTTATTACAAATTCATAGTTTTTCATTAACATATTCTATGGATACTCTATTGTCAATGGCTATTTGGATGTCACTGTTGTGAGAGAATTTATGAAATATCAGCGCAAAAGAGAAAATGAATCACCTTTAGCAATGCCAGTTCAAAGACCAGAGAGCCTACCTTGACGTGTTATTGAATTTTCGGGGCGAGAAAGAGGGATGGAGTTATACACTTTTTATAGCTCCAACTCTTTCTCGCCCGGAAGACTCACGCATTAACACTTTATGGTAGGCCTACAGACGAGTTCAAACTGCGCTTCCAGAAGTTGAGCTTACTCTAGCCACTCCTCAAAGAGGGGTTTTACCGCAGCTATATAGCGTGTCTCATGAATATTTCACTTTCATAAAGTTGAAACAGTATCTGGACAACCAACTGATGCTCTTGACGTGTAGGTAAAAGTCCAGTTTTATGGCCCATTTGCAAAAATAAATTCATTGTTTCATTGTATCAACAACGTTTCAACTCTTTGTGTTATCTTAAAATTACTGTGTCGGGTCTGGCTCTGTTGTGTGTATGTGAAATTATAAGTTTGTAATTGTGCTTACAACACAGGCAATCCTAGTGTGGCGAAAAGAAAAAGAGCATATAGATAAGCAGTACAATTATTAATTAAATATATCTTACGAAACTTATAAAACAAAAATTGACCACCATCATATGTGAAATATAGGTTTATTTACAAAAAACATTTTAAATACAAAAAAAAAACACCTTGGTATTATTATTTCTTCTTTCATAGCCATTGACATTAGGGTTCCGGAAATAGGATCTCCCCTTTCCCCCTTACAATTATCACCACACACGCAAACAAAATTACGTACCCACTACACTCAACAATCGATAAATCTCTCAACATTGCACCTACAACACTACGGTCAGCAAAACAAGTCACTACACTGAAAATAAATATTTATAAAATATATCATACGTTTATGTCAGGGCGTAAAGTAGATATGTATTGAATTTCTGCTTATTCCAAATGGTATTAAGCGTTTTGAAGAGTGTGAGTGTAAGATAGTTTGAACGTCATTGGATGTCATGTAAAGTACCATCTCCGCATCACTCAAAGCCTTGACTGTAGACAATCCCTTTGCATTAATTTCTTTAGATTTGTAATTGTGTATAAAATAAATTCTTTGTAGATTACTAGTTTGTCGGTCAGTTCGTTAGCTATTTTATTTTACGGAACAGGAGGCAAACTGGCATAAGCATCACCAATTGGTAAGTGATCAGCAGAATGATGTAGGAATACGCTTGTTTCTTGAACGTTAGGTAGTGTCGGTTAAATCATCATTATTAAAATATACCATAAAACCAATAATAGCAGCCTTTTTAACTGCAGGTGTACATTTTAAAATATAACATCTCCATAAGGATATGTAACAAGCCTTCCATCTTTTTCATCATCAAACTTCACACCAAAATTTTGCATCCATAAAAATAAAAATTATGTGTTTGTTTTGCTGACCGTACATGCTACGTATGTTACGCGTGGTTTGACCGTACAGATCACAGTTGATTTTTACCTATCACAGACTACCCCTACCGAGCTCCGTCAAGCAATATCGACGTCACTAGTCTTTGCTAACTTTTAAAGGTCAATTTTGTGGTAGAACTCTATTTAGTTAGCAGACTTTATTAAAAAAAAAACTGTTATTTTTTTAGGAATTACTTGTTTACATTCGAATGGTGTAGTTATAGTGATTTGTGTGAGCAAGTGCGTTGCTGGGCTTTTGGAAGTAAGGGGTTTTAAGGATTTAGAGATTGGGGACGGAAGGATTTTATTAAGTAGTGTAAGTTTTTTTTAATGTGGTATATCGGCAAACGAGCAGACGGATTACCTAATGGTAAGTAATCAGCGCCGACCATGGACACCAACCATGGCAACAACAGAGGAGTTACGAGGGTGTTGCCGACCTTTTGGTGATTAAAGATTTGGGAGATTTAGGGATTGGGGAGGGGAAGGATTAACCTCACTCAAATGGTTTATGTTTTACACATAAAACTGACACTGGATTTTACTAGGATTTAGGTCCCTTGTTACCTGTGGATAACAGCAACAACTGACGGCTTTTAGGATAAGTGAAGGGAATAGGGGAAGGGGGGTTGGATTGATTTTGCCTGTAGTAACCTCATACTGACGGCGAAACAACTCATGCGCTGTTTTAGTTTGCATTATTAATTATATTTAAACACCAATTTACTATAAATTGGCACTTTTATATTGCTTTGATTTCTTCTTCTAAAATTCTACCACAAAACGACCTTTACACAATCTTTACTAAAAATAACTATTTAAAATTAAAAGCATTTGGAATTAGGCGCCTTATATACTAATTTACTTACTAAAGGAGGAATAGTGACATTGCTAATATAGTGTACAAAAATATACTAAAATACTGGCCATTAAATAATATTATTTTAAAATTAAAACTTTTTTTAGCATGGCAACATTTCATAAATGTTGCCCGGTTAGGATTGCCAGATTTGTTGAAAGAGTTTTTATTATTATTTAAATTCGTATTCTAAAAACGTTTATAGAAGAAAATATAATATAGTTTTTATAGCTTTGTAGTTAAGATTGGAATTTTATTAAAATTGTTTGAAAAACCTTGTTTTGAGGACCTTCAGTTTTATATTACATAATAATAAGCTTTTAGCTTAAGGTCTGAAGTAAGGATTTGATTCCGAAAGCTCCCTAATGAGTGCCCAGTTGTGTACCAAAAAATTAGAATAATAATAATTGAATTCTTTATTTGACCAAATAAGTATAATATTCCTACGAAAATGATAGCTTTATGATAGATCTCTCTCAAATATCTTAAACTATACGTTTTGAAGCCACATTCTAACGTTAAAATTATATTATTCAAAACGCAGTTTTACTAGATCGTTTAATTTATATTGACAACTTGTCAATTTTTATCTTTGATCCGTAATTTTGAAAAATCTCGGCGTCCAATAGCATTTTTTTATTAGCTTGAGTAAGGTAACCATGATATATATCGTAAAATCAACGAATGAAAGTGTTTTAGTCCAAATAGTTTATTATTTACGTACACCTGGTTTCCGAAAGGCCGATCAATGTAAAAATCAATTTAATCTCTTGTCAAGTCATCTGATTGGTTGACTGAATTATCAACAATGAATCAGATGACTTGACAAGAGATTTAACAGGAGATTAGTTAATTTTAGCGTTGACAAGCCTTTCAGAAACTGGGTCGTAGTCAAAAATCCAATTGCAACTTTTTTGATAGGCTACAAAACATTAAAAAAACAACTATATTGTTTTTTTATTTCAGTAAAACTACACTTTTGAATAAGAGCATTTTGTAGCAGCAACACTAAACGCGGAAAATATTCTTCTCTGGCAACCCCGATAAGAAATAGTACATTATTATCTTTCGGACATAAAATTCGTTCCAAAAAGACCCTAAACATGATAAACTACAAGCACCAAGCTACGCTAATTTCAGAACTGCGCCTTTTATGCTATTTTAAACCTTATTTCTTTGTGTTATCGACTCAAATCGTACAGGCGGTGTAGAAAAATATACATTTTGAGTTACAAATTATATGAATATTTTTGAAAATTAGTTTCTAAGCGTACAATGAATATAAATCCTTATATTTATAAGATGATACATAAAGTAAATATGTACTTAAAAGGTAACAAAGCCACAGTGAATTAAAAAAAACTATTCCTAAAAATTAAAAAGATAAAAGTGACAAACGAGATCTTATCGTATAAGATATTGAGCCTAAATTCGCTTAACTTAGTCGCGAACGCAACTCAATTTATAATAATAATAATGGAAAATAGACTAAAACTATTTTTAATAAGGTCGAATTTCGCTCTGCGCTTAGTGACCGTATTTTGAGGCTGGTGTTTACTTTCTTGGAACCAAATACCAAACAATGTTTATAATACAAACCCTTCACACTACAAGAAATATAAATAGAGAAAGTAATACTATAGTAAAAAATGCCCACACATAAGCGTCAATTTATTATAAAGTAAAAAGTATATAAATTATCATAATCACAGACATACATTAATATGCCCTGTCAGCATGTAAGGAACTTAGCGACAGTATGTAACCTAGCGCAGAGAGTTAGTAATAAAACACAGTTGACGTTAGACTCTCAAGCGTATCATTTGTTTCCACACACATAACCTAACAAACGTAATAAACGAACCACTTAAAACCAACAAACGCTGTTCAAACCCTTCCATAATTGACTTCTGACCATCATTTATTTTTGCGCAAGTGTTTTAACGTTTGCGCAATGCCATACATTTTTGCGCAACGGAATATGATACTTGCGCAAATTACGTGAGATGTCAGAACACCAGCCTCCCTCGATCGGAGCCTTGTATTAATATTATATAATAGTTTAATAATACATAATACATATTAGTGCAACGACAAGTATTCTAGTGAGCAGTGTTTAAGTGTAGACGTGAAAAAGTATCAGTATAGTCAGTATTGTGCTCATGAAGCACATCGATACTGGCAGGAGCACCGCAAACCGGAGAGACCTGGAATTAATTATAATAGAGACTTAAGAAGCCTATTTCACAAAGTCTGATCAAGTTCCCCTTATTATAATTGAAGAAAATGAACTGATTGTAGAATAGTTTATATTTATAAGTACAAAAAGAAGTAATTTCTCAAGTCACTTTATTACGTAAATATAATACAAATTTTAAAGTTGGGGTATGGCTTACTTTGTCGTTGCTAAAATTTCACCGAGTTATTTTTGATAAATACTAATATTGTTTTCAAATAAAAGAACTTGTGATGCGATGTTTCAATAAGTGTAAGCTAGCTGTCTCTTAGAGGCCTAGTTGATTTATATTGTACATATAAGCTCCCGTGTGACTAGAAAACAGTCGAGTATTGATGAAAGTTTTCAAGCCAGACTGTAAATAAGGTACTATTTATTGAGAGTACCTCCAGTAGGGCAGGTGTCAGAGAGGCGGCGCTTCGTGACCGTCCCTGGCGTCGGGCCCGCCGTCCCCCGCGTCGCCGGCGCGACATAGCGCCGTCGTGACGTCGGCCGCGCCCGCCGCGCTGTCCCGCCGTACCTTGCCTACACAAGTTACATAACACACGATGCTTAACTGTTTGATGTCCGATGAATCAAATTTAATATGCCTGCTGTTCTTTAATTATTGTGACCACAGATGGAGCTCAATAAAATTGATGTTCAGAGACAGTTGCAGGACAAGCGCAATAAGGCGCCTCAGCCTGCGGCCGGGGAGGGAACGTGATAGTTTTAAATGAGTAGGAGTCTGACAATCCTCTTCGTCTAGGGCGAGAGAAGTCATTTGATTATATCCCCTCCCCCTCAAAAAATGGCACTCAGGTGGTCTGTCTGCTAGTTTTCCTTAAGCTAGTGGCAATAAGAGGTATTTTGATTGATAAGTTATAGGCACTTACTAGTAAAACATAGGCAGCCAGTCTGCTGGTTGGCTTGCATTGAATTCGTGGGCCGTAGCTCCTTCTGCTCTTTACTCTGCTCGTTCACACACTTTTGATAGTAGTCGTACTCTTTCACGTACCTTTAAAATAGAACAGGTAATTTAATAAAATAAATTATTGTGATCCTATCTAATATGTGCACATGGAGCAAAATTGCGCAAAAATAAGTATGACCTATTTTTGCGCAATTTTACTTGTTGCTCGCTTCCTATTGGCCGTAGCGATATAGCGTTTTGTTGTACCTACCTAAACAAATGGACTATCTAACAGTCCAACACAATACCTATTGTTTATTTCGAACTACTAGTAAAGGATAAGACCAAACAAAACAAATTATCGGATTAAAGAAAAGCGTTCTTAATTGTCCATTCTTTTACAAAGTTTGTGAGAGCGAGTTGGAATAAAAACTACAACAAAACAGTCTTGATTTGTGCCGATGTATCCATGAAAGAAGAAAAATCCACTACAAACTATGTTAAAAAATACCGCTCTTATGGTAGGTATTTCTTACTTAATTATTTCATTTCTTAGACTTCTCTAAGAAATAAAATATTTGTGTTATTTTTTTTTAACTTTTCTCTTTAATATTTTGTGTAAGTATTATTGCACCAAAAAAATCTGTAAGTATCTCACCAGACGGGCGGCCACCGGTTGTCGGAGAGATAGTCCCGCGAGGCCTGCGAGAGATGCTTGGCGCGACACACGCGGTCGTATGCCCCGCACAGCCGCCACATGCACCAGTCCGCCAGGTTGTGCGCGTTGTGGAGCTACCGAATGTCATTACTCTAATAAGTTCTTCAAAAATACGCTTAACTAATATTATAAATGCGAAAGTAACTCTGTCTGTCTTTCTTCTCTTCACGCCTAAACATCTGAACCGATTTCTGTGAAATTTGGTACAGACGTAGTTTGGAACTCGAGAAAGGACATAGGATAGGTTTTATACTAAAAATCTGCAGGAATTCATTATTCCACGCGTACGGAGTCGCGGGCAAAAGCAAGCTAAAGCAATTAGAAATGTGTGACAGATTCTTAGTTTTGATTACGGAGTTTGTTCCAAAGTTTATTAAAACCCACAGTAGGACGTTCCTGGGATTTCAACATCATGTCAGGTTACATCCAATCCAGGAACAACAATTTGTGGATCTAATTAAACCCAACGCTTAGCCTCCAGTTAAAGTTAACGCAACAATTGCGCTGAAAATGGTATTGCGCAATGATGCGCTATTTCTTTAAAGTTACATTTATTATTTTTTATTTTATTATAATTACTCTCATCATTATACACACTTTATAATTGTATCTTACCTTAACAGGTTCTAGAAGTGACAGTGCTATTTCAACAACTTGATCGTCATCACCACACACTCTGCAGACAAGAAATAAATCTTTAATTACACACATTTTGTTGGTATATGTCACTTCGACATCACCACGATGACTGTCATTCAGAATGAAGGAAAAGTCACTTGATAGAAGCAAGCAAGAAGAAAAAATGTTAATCCTGAAGAAAACGGAGCCTCCTAAAACGAGCTAAGCCTGCTTAACACAAGACTACTACTATTAATATAATAATAATAATATGATGTACAATGTAAATAATTGGTCCATAGTAAAAAGTATTTATAATTTTTATTTTTATGCACCTAAAGGAATTGAGAAAGAAATCAGTACATAATTAGGAATGGAACCGCTGAATACGGGTCGCTTTCAACCAACCTGGAAGATATTGCGATTGTGCGCGACATAATGTGTATATGAAAAAGATAAAGAAATATTTAGTCAGAAAACCTCACCTATCTCTTTGCTGCAGCTGGTCTATGACTCTAGCCTCGACTAGATTCACAAGGCGGTTCATACACAACCTGTTAGCTAGTTCCAACAGTTCTAAACACCGCATGGGGTCCACCGCTGGGATCTTATCGCTGTAGATGTAGCTTAGGAGTATGTGGAACGCGTACATTTTTACACCCGGAAACGATATCTGGGAACAAGGGTTTTTTCGGTAAATTCTCCATGGAGTTTGGTGACTGGACTTCACCTAGTTGTACAGTATTTTTTGTGTTCTTCATGCCATTCTGTCTCCTGTGTTGAATTCAACGAGGAAAGTTGACCTAGTTTGGTTTTTTCTTTGTTGTTTCTTCCCTCGAATGATATCTTCAGAATTATTTCGTTGTAGGATCCAAGTCATGGATCCATTCATGACCCTGGGCGCATCGGACTTGAGCATTTCGATGTTTTCATAGATTTATCTACTGTTAAACTTGGATCCAGGAGTTGCTGCGGTTTTAAGAAGTTGGGCCGGCTTGCCCCAAGATAAAAGTAAAAAGGTTAAAAAATGGTTTTTAAGAATAACCTTTAACAATTATTAAATGTTACAATTCAATATGGCTAATATAAATGATATATTCCGAAGGACCATTTAGACATCATCACTCTATACACATCGACTGCACAGTCAGCAGGTGTTATAGAAAATAATCGAATATACTACGCAAAAACAACCAATTGCGCAACTTTTGCGCAAAAAAAAAATTTCACTTCTCACACTCCCAAACATTCGATAAACAAGATATTTGCACAAAAATCTCAGTCAATAGTCTACTTACCACTCTAGAAGTGCTTTCCCGGAAATGTCCCTGGAACATTGCCTTCATGGGATCACACCTAGCCATGAGCACGGCGCGGTGTGCTAGATGTATGCCGTCGTCCAGGTCAAACGTTACGTCCGCAAATAGTGCGCGTTCTACGTACATGTCGCGTAGACGACCACCCAGAGGCTAAACAATATAAACAATGGTATCAAATGAAAAAGTTTTAATTGGGTATTTTCCTCACTCAAATATAAATTCATATATAAATTCCTTTAGGATTTCATTACAATAAAATACTTATTCTAAAAGAATCGTACTTCATTGATAGATTTGACTATAATATTCTTAATTTTACATTATTATTGGTTGCATTTTAAAATAAAAGTTAGTATGCTGATTGACCCAAAAATATGGTGACGTCACATTTCGTGGAAGGAGGACTGGGTTTCCAAATTTAGTGTTTGGGTTAGAATTCAACCAGCCATAATAATCACTTAGATAGCTAAATTGCATTTTTATGGTATAGCCGCAACACCAAAGGAGTTACGAGTGCATTGGCCGCCTATTAGGGGTAAGGTTTTCGGATATTTAAGGATTGGAAAGGGATGGGGAAGGGATTAGGCCTCTGGTAACCTCACTCGCACGACGAAACAACGCGGTTTTCTGTGAAGCCATGGTATCACTCCTGTCGAGCCGACCCATTCGTGCCGAAGCTTGGCTCTCCCACACTTAAAGAATACTTAGAATAGCCTTAATGAATACCCACCGTGTGGAACTGTAGCATGAAGCCCTTATCAAACAAGAGATGTTGGTCCAGTATAAATTGGCTCAGCTTGGTGAGCTCGTGGAAGCCGAGCAGTTCCGCAGCCTGTCTGATCTCCTGCACAAGGTCAATATAGCCAGTCACATACTTGTAACGTGAGGAATTTTTGCAAATGTTAACAAAATCTGATATCTATTTTTCGCTCGACTGCAACGCGTTTTAGCGTAATGCTGGACTACGTGTACTTTTAAAAAGGAGGCATTGCCAAAATCTTTTTACATAGCAAGCAGGTTGGAGTTTTTAGTTTAAATGAAATAGGTTCATTAGCAAAAGTTGCTGCAGACAGCAGAGCTATTTTCTGTTAAATTTCCAGTCCATTGGGTGCAGTTCCATTGAGGCGGAACGGAGAAGAGCTATGCCGCTATTCACCAATCACATGGCTTGAAATCCATGACATCTCTTGTCCGATGTGGATTTCAAGCCATGTGATTGGTGTATGTGGTGTTGCTTCTCCGCTCTGCTCCGCTCCGCCTCAATGGAACGGCACCCTTACTGACTCTTTGGCTGGCGTCAAAATAGTTGTCTCGTCATTTTCGTTTCTTGTAAGCATTATCAAATTATAAGGTAAAGATTAAGGCATCAATTTACACTTGTACAGTGTACATCGCATCGTCTTTTATACAGATTTTATGAATACTGCTAACATAGGACGGGAATTTCGAAAATTGTTATCAAACCGTGAGATTTTTCTACGCAGATATCGGTTTCTTTAACATTAGCAAAAATCATTTGGTATTATGAGGGCTTGTTTACCACCTTAATATTAGTGCGCGGTATACTTGTGTGACACATAGTTCATACAAATTATCTATAACATTATTCTGGAACATAGTGGCAATCTTGGCGGAAATCACGCCCTTGATAATTTAATGAAAATGGCAATAGGTATATTGAACTTTATTTGGACTATCGCAAAAAAGTTTTGTAACGATAAAAATGATTAGAAACTATCGTGAGCCATACAACGAGAAAAGCTCTACTAGTTTCAAGTCACAACGGGACCTTTATCCATGAACTTGAGGGCTTTTCTCGGAAAATGGACGTGAGAAAGTCGTTATTTTAATAAAATGACACTTCAAAATGGATAAAGTTAATAGCAAAGACGGAAGCCCCTTATGGGAGGGACGATGATATGCAACATTTTAAACACACAGAAATTACAAATAATGTATAACAAAAATAACGAAATATGAAGTTCTTTTCGAAATACCACTCACCGTTTGACTTCAAAATAAAATATATCTACACAAAACTAATGACGTCAGATAAAAAATTATAATGAAATATTTTTCACGAATTCGGCAACGTACCTATAATATTCGTGAATAATATTTTATCTGGGAGCCTTTTAATGATTTTTATCCGAAGCTAAGCGTAAATTGATTTTGTATGCTTATTTATGAAGCTATGTATTAATATAATTGATACATCTAATGAATATAACGAATAAGCAGAATAAACGTGAGTATTATCACACTTTCTCAGGTTTCGTTTTTTAGTCAAGGAAAAATGTAATTGGAAGTATAGGAACCTATTTAAGAAAAAGTTTCAAATAAATATTAATCATAATTTCATAATCATTAGGCAAATCATCATTCATCATTTTTTGTGACAATATTAGAGTAAATAAAACAATTCGAGGAAGACTCGACTAGATTCGAGCTATAACCGGGGCTCATAGTTCTGGAAGTTTGGACTGCAAGTTATATGTAAAATAATAATATGTTTATATTTAACACGTTAACCGCCACGTAGGTTACTGGTGACCATGTAGGTCTACGATAACGGAGGATTTGCCTTCAATAGTTTTCTACCAAGGTTCATCTAACGACAAGAAAGTATGGTTGTGTAAAATACCACAGCTTTGTTAATTGTATCCTCATAATTTAATCACTATTCAACACCTCAAAGAAAACCTTCGGAAAGTGTAATAAAAACAAAAAAACATGATAAACTACAAAGAAATAAATTCACATTAATAAAAAAATGGGTGCAGATTCTTTTATAATAATAATAATGGTCGAAAATTAATAATTATGAATTTGTTTTTAATGGCTTAATTAATTTATTTCAATAGGGTTTACCAGTAACAATCCGATAGCAGCCGACTGCAAAACATTTTTGTTATTATAAAATTATTAATTTTATATATATTTTTTTAGATTGCAATACTTGTATTATATTCTGTGGCTAATACATAGAATAAAAAATTAAGCACAGATTAGAAAAATATTAAATAATATAAATCAATATAATTCATTTGCTGTCTCATTATTAAAAAAATCATAGGAAATTATATGATTTTATTTTAATGTTTTTAGAGAAATACTTGATAAACTGATAATGAAACATTTTTTTTGTCTTTGTTTTAATAATGAGTCAGCAGAATATAGCTGAAGTTAATTAATATAAGTATTAATACACATCATTATAATAAAATATAAATATATTTAAATACTAATACAAAGCTTAAGCTTGTATAAAATTTAAAATAGAATAATAAATATATATGTGGTTTAGTGATAAAATGACTACGTATTAAAATTACTAAATATCATTTCACATTTTTTAAGGTAAGTACTTTACATTTTGAAGTCTGAGTTTGAAATTTAACCTTTCAATCGTGGTAGACACAATTGTAAAACAATAGATGCGCGGTTTGATGAATTGGCAAAATCCAACGAATCAACTACTTACTTACGCCGATTTTTATCGTATTTAAGTCTTTTGTAAACAGATAATGAAACTTAACTCTTTTCGAATCGTCAAAGTTGACAGTTTTCTACAGATTTTGTATGAGATTATCTAAAGTATCTTTTTAGTAATTTCTGGAAAAAAATGCTACTGAGATAGGTTAAATGAATTTATTTTTATTGCATTGAAAACTAGTAATCATTTATTTTCGACGATATTAATACTCAATTCGCTACTAATGTAGATATAAAAGGCAAAATATATAACAAGTCAATTTAAAAGTATTCATTGTGTATTCCGGTTCGATATATTACCAATACCAGAGTCTAGGTAGAGGTAAAACCACGGAATAGAAAATACAGTGGAAGTGCCGTTCAGACATCGCGCGCTAACCAACATCATGACTAGATATACAACATTTTGGCACATTTGTTGTCAGAATCGTTCGATCCGTTGTCATGATTGGTTGTCATGGTTGTCTCTAAGAAACACGAAATATATTAGAAATTATGCCTTGTTGTGCGGTTTTCAACTGCAAAAAAGTAAGCAGAAAAAAAGATGAGTCTTGTGGTGGTGTATCGTATCATCTTTGAGTATTAACCTTTGTTAATTTTAAATATATTTGATTTTAATGTAAATATCACATTTCATTACTTCAATGCAAACTATAAAGGGCCTTATTTTCATTACAATTAAGTTTAAATCTACTTGTTCGTTATGTGACGTTATATACAATACATTCTAGTAGTTTCGACGCTACTCATTTAGGGATGCGACATATTCGTAAAATAGGTTCATATCGATAATTTTTCATCATCGTTCAGAAAATTGATTTTTGACAATTTTTGTGTATAATTCATAAATGTTTAACTAAGATTGCATAGACACATCAACGTTTTAACCACACACAGCGTGCATCCGTCTGTGGCAGGTGCGGGTGGTTAATCACCATTTTTATTTTATAACTAGTTTTCGCCCGCGTGCTGTGTTGATAAAAAGCAGCAATTAGCAATAGAACAAAATCTAAGTATACATAAAATTTGGTATTTATCGTCTCATTTTTATGGGTACATCTCCAATGGGTAAATACCCTATTACTTACTAAGTCTCCGTAGTCCGTCCGTCCATAGATAGAAAGGCACGGATCTAACTAATAGGTAAGATTTACAAATATTTGATAAAACCTATATTATATTATATTTTATACCGCATCGTGTCGAGCACGGCAACCGCTACACAAAAATAATTCTTATACCATGATTCAGTGTTCACTTGCGACGGCGCTATGTCTTATTATCCGAATTGCTAAGCTATCAGGAGTTACACGTGTTATTGTGAGTTAACCATAAAAGATAGACATATGCTGTAAAACATTTTATTTAGACAATTTTATTTAAAATATTTCCGTCATACATAATTTCTATGTAAGTTTAACCATTAAGGTTACACACGCGACTGAAACTTACAAAAGGGAGTAACTTCTCCCGTTTTCCCAACATTTTCCTTCACTGCTCTGCTCCTATTATATGTAGCGTGATGAAAAGTATCCTATAACCTGCCTAGGAGTATAAAGAATATTTGTACCAAGTTTTGTTAAAATCCGTCGAGTAGTTTTTGTTTCTATAAAGAACATACAGACAGACAGAGACAAAATTTTTACTGATTGCATTTTTGGCATCAGTATCGATCACTAATCACCCCCTGGTAGTTATTTTGAAAATATATTTAATGTACAGAATTGACCCCTCTACAGATTTATTATAAGTATAGATGTTGTACATGATTTTTATCAGAGTTCCAAAAAGGAGAGTGACTCTCAATTCGACTGTAACATTTTTTTTGTTTTTTCGTCTCCGTTATTTATGGAAAGGAGATAAAACTTGTAGGAGCGCGTAGTGCTTTTATATGTTAAAATCGAAATCTTTAATAATAACTTGACCATCTCCAAAAAACATTAAATCTTCAAAAAATATGTTAATATTTTTCTTTTTTTCTATTAGAACCTTTTTCATTACTGATCATTTGTAGGTATATCGTGTCGATAAATTATATTGCTCACACGAATACAAAAACATCGATATATTGGGATACCCTGCCCTATCTGAGTAGCAAAATAGTAAATGTCTATTGGTACAAGTGCATACAAATATGACATCTATTTCAAAGAAGTTAGCGTTTTGAATAGAATGAATTTGTTACAGCGCCATCTAGCGTTGAGTGGCTGAACCCGTTTGTAAATTGTTTTATTTAAGTTTTTTACACGATAGGCGCCTTTATTGATTGTGACATGTGAAATGATAACAACTTTCGCTCATTGATATAAGACTCAATTTTTAACAACATTTAAAAGATGATTTGCTAAAGTTGCGTTTCATCTTTTTACCCAATTATATAGCTGTTTTTTATGTGTGTAATGGACAATTTGATTTGCGAATGTGTGATTTTGGCGACACTGGTTTTCCTTTTGAAAGAGTGTAGGGGCACTTCTACTTAATTTTCTGTTCTGTGGGTAAAACCAAATACAGTTTACCTTTGATACGACAAAAAATAATAATAATAGTCCGCCAGTGAAGCTAAGTTCTATTTGCACATACAACGCGTTATATGTCAGTTTTATCATATTATTATTTTTTACTCAGATCAACAAAATCAAAATATCTTTCAGAACATTCTAAAAATCACTTAATCACTAAACCACATGGAGAACAAACCTTATATCTATACAATTAGAGTTGAATGTCCACTGACCTGTTGTTTGAAGGCACTGCTGTCCAAAGCGCCTGTGTATATGAAGTTGATGATTTCTTGCATCACAGTTTGTGAGATTAACTTGCTCATAGTAACTATGGTTTGTGTTTGAGAGGTCGCGTGTTGGATTTTGTCGCACTGAAAAAAATAGAAAGGTTTTTTTAAGTTAGCTCCAATTCTGTAGTTTGGTAGGGTCAACAATAAATTAATTCGATGTTTCAACACAATAAATTATAAAAAAATAACTATATACTTTTTTTTCATTCATCGATATGTGGATACACTAAATTTTTTATATTCTTTAGCAAATTTTTAACAAAGAAGTAAGCTATTTGATTTAAAAATAAGTACGATGATATGTAATAATTTGGATTTTCATACTTTCATTGAAAAGTTTAAAAAAAGACACTGCTATGATCTATGATTTCTAAGTTTCTGTATGGTTTTTTTATGAGGGTAAAATCATCAAATGACTTCTCCCGCCCAGGGCCGGGCGGGAGGGAGTGTCAGACTTTTACTGACTAAAAACCCCCCTGTTCCTTCTCCTGCTGTGGGCCGAGGTCGCGGTTCCTCATTACGCTTACCCCGCAACCCCGGCTGAAGCTTCTGTATTGTGAGGTCAGCAAAATCTTACTTAAAAATCGGTTTGGAGATAGGAGGCTTTTTTTGGTGAGGGGAAAGTCATCAAATCGTTCTCCCACCCAGGGTTGGGCGGAAGGTAGTGTCAACCCCCCCCCCCCCCTCCCTCCCCCCGTTTTCCTTCTCTTGCTCCGTGCCGATGCCGCGGTACCTTATTGGCTCAACCCTGGCTGATCATCGGCGCTCTCGTAACTCTTTTAGAAAACAAAAAACATTGATTTACCTTGACAACTCTGATAGAGTTGATGGCAGGATGATTGACCTCCCGATATAAGTCCGGAGGTTTCTTACAGCTGTCACTCAGAGGCAGAATCTGACACGACGAGCGCCGTTTTATCTGATCCCATACCCTGGAAGTATAAATATTAATTAGAATCAGTAGCCCCCATATAAGTGCCCGTTGCTGAGCAAAGGCTTCTTCTTACACGGAGAAGGTATGAGTAATCCTTCGCCTTATATCTGTGGTATTTAAATAATCTTGTTTTTTATGAGGGGAAAATCGTCAAATGGTTTCTCTCGTGCAAAGTGAAGCAAGAAGGAATGTCAGACTGTCACTGACTAAGCCCAAGCCAATGGGAGAGGCCGCGCTACCTTATCGCGCTTAACCTGTAACCCCAGTTGACTAATTGGGTAGTTTCCTAGGTCAAAAATAAATTAATTCGACGTTTCAATACAATAAAACATTGAAAAATAACTATACTTTTATTCATCGATTGATCGATACACTAAGTTTTACATATACGTCATACCTCAGTTTTTCATACAAATTTCATAGAAATGCATCGTTTTTGACGTTTGGATTAAAGTAGGTATTGAATTTGACTAGTTGGAAACTACCGTATTGTTTTGACTTATAATCTGGTAAGCAATCAGCATCGTCCCTTAACACCCACTACACTAGAACCGTAACAAAATATTCGTTGTCAGCTAAAAATAACGGAAATGAATGTTGTATGACCCCGATTTTACTGTAAAGTCATGATATTGTATTTGAACCCTCAAATAATTAGTTTGTCATCTGATTAAGGGACATGTTCCTTATAGAATCTAATACTAATATACTGGCTTACCGTACCTCATCTGTTTGGCCTGGTCCTGTCGTATCAAGTATTCGGTGTCCTCATTGAACTCGCCCGTAGTCGCTTCGCCCATACTGCTCACCTATAAAATTAAATTATCCATCGTGTAATTACAATGCTTGGTGAAAGTCCGTCCTTCTTTTCTCCATAATTATTCGCCGTTCAGAGAGGAATAGAGTTTCAAAATTATTGAATAGTTATTTAGCAATTGTTTGGAATAAAATCGTTATTAAGTACCTAATTGTTTGAGTAATCATTAAACGTCTCTGAGTGGGGCAGTTAAGGTATTTCTAATGATGTAACAAAAAATTACTTGTGAAACTGATTAAGAAAGAGTAGCAATGGACTTTCTTGTTCGTTCATGCATAGGAGTCTACATTTTGGAACGAGCAAATAGCTATATACAATAATCACTAAGAGAACTAACTGACAGAAACTGACACTTTTTATCTTTAAGCTTTTTTTGACGTTCAAAGGTGTCTTTAAGGATCTAATTGAAGTAAATGATTTTAACTTTGAAACAGATCGACAGACTGACTCACAAAGTTAAACATCTTGATATTTATTTATTTTTGTTTGACGTTCAAAAGTGTTTTTTTTTAAATACATGATTTGAATGTCAGTATCAACAAGACTGTCCAGATCCTTCCAATATTATTAACGCGAATACTACTGTCGATGACTAAAAGCTTAGTATAGTAATAATAATAATGATGTTCTGACCATACTGCTCTCGCTGGAGCTGCGCGCGAGGTCGGCGGAGAGAGTGACGGCGTCCGTCGCCAGCAGGCGGTGGAAGGCCTCGCACGCCGCCGCCAACATGAAGCGGTGCACCGGGAAACCCTTCGCGCCGCATATTATTACCATGTCCGAGAAATACTGGGGATATCAAAATAAATATATTATTATTTTAAAAAAGAAACACTCCTTATATTGATGAATAAAAATAATTACTATTTAGACCTCTAGAAGATCACTTTCTCCGTTTTTTTTGTGAGAGGAAAATCATCAAATGACTTCTCCCGCACAGAGTAAGACGGGAGAGAGTGTCAGAATCTTACTGACTAAACCCCCCCGTTCCTTCTCCTGCTCTGGGCCGAAGCCGCTGTGCCACATTGCGCTTACCCCGCAACGCCGGCTGAACATCAGCCCTATAGGGCCCTGTCTGTGGTGGTCTATTGGCTCTTTAAGGCGCGCGTGGAACGCAACGGAACAGGGGGATTTTAGTCAGTAAGAGTCTGACACTCTCTCTCACCTTACTCTGGGCGGGAGAAGTCTTTTGACGATTTTCCCCTGACAAAGAAAAAAAGTAGACTAGATATTATTGTTTACCTAGACAATATAATCAAGGTACCAACCTGTTGCCGCAACAATGTGGTCATGTTCTCCAAGTAAGTGCTGTTGACCACGGCTACCTCGGGCTCCATGGGCCTTGGGGGCCGGAATGGGGCCTGAATAAATACAAAGATTATTGTGTAGTTTTTTTGAACGCAATTTGGCAGTTTCCATCTAGTCAAGTTCAATACTTTTAAAGAAAAGTCAATAACTTCCTATAATTTTGTATGAGACCACAACATATGACGTGGTTATGTTTTTACGTCAAACAGCATAATTCTTACAAAAACTATAACCAGATTAAATCTTAAATTAGGTAAGTATATCGACAAATCAATGAATGAACAGATTATATTTAAATAATTAATTGTATTTAAAAGGCAGGAGACTTGCTATTAAATATTATCAATTATTTTCACTTTCATTTTATTATTCACATTGCTATTTTTGTAGCGATTTCCAAAACATAAATATGCTATCTGACACAAAAATCATGGCGTCACAACACACAATTGGGTAGTTTCCTAAGTAAAAAATAAATTAATTCGACGTTGCAATTCAATGTAATACTTATTGACAAATAACTATGATTATTAGTTCAACGATCTGTCGATACACTAACGTATCTGACACGAAACTACCGTATTAGATACAAAAAAAGAATTGTATTTGATTATTCTACATACCTGTAACAAAGGTCGTTGGACTCTCTTCAGATTGGTCATCCAGAACCGTTGCTGCCTCCTTGCAATAAGAGCCGCTCTGATGGCGTTCTCGAAAACCTCATTTACTCCATAGTAAGTAAATACTGATGTCTCATAATAATATATTCCAAACTCATGGGCTAAGGCGCGCCCTTGGTCTGGCATTACTAGGTCACTTTTTCTTGGAGCCCTGTGGGTTTAAAAAAAATAATATTGTTAGGAGGCTGTCAATGAATGGTAATGTATGAAAAGTGTGGGAGAGCCATGCTTCGGCACGAATGAGTGGAACGGAAAACCGGCGTGAAACAACCACAGCGTTGTGTTTCGCCGTGTGAGTGAGGTTACCGGAGGCCCAATCCTTCCCCTTCCCAGACCCTTCCCCAATCCCTAAATCTCCAAATCCCTAATCCCTAAAAGGTCGGCAACGCACTCGTAACTCCTCCTTTGCGGGTGTCCATGGGCGGCGTTGGCTCGATTGCCGACTTATTACATTTAAAAAAAAAATGTGCTGAATTGTCTCAATATACCAAATAAATTCGAATATAGAATACTCATAATTCGTACAAACTATGTGCCACATAAATGTATCGGGAACTTATGAGATGGTGATGAAACAGGCGGTTAGTATTTTTTTAGTAATACTCCTATCGCAAGACATAATAAACTTATTAGGCTGTAACTATTTAACGAGGTGACTTGACTAGTTTCAAGCCACGGTAGGGACTTTCATACTCATGAGAAAATAGCAAAATTACTGATTAAATTTAGATGACGACACAGATTAAACATACAATTAGTTTTAATTGTTCAACTCTTATTAACTTTATTTTAAACGCCAGCTAAAAGTAACTTAGTGTTCTGGAAAATACATGAATTTCACATTTTAGGCAATAAATAAAACCCACCTAATAAAAGGGCTGCGGTCTTTACAGTAGTTCAAATATGTTTCATCTCTGTACATGTAGCGAAGATCGTTTTTACATCCAACTAATAAAATCGGTGTGTTAGGGCAGAAACGTCTGAAATGAAATAAAAAAAAGATAATATATTTTCATCAAATAGATATACGTGAGTATGACATGTCGGAAAACTTTTTTTATATAAAAATGTTGCCCTACACTAGCATTTACTCCTGTTTCTTATCTGCACAAACTTACAAACGTACAAATTCACAATACATACGCAAGCCCCCAGACTTGAAACAACAATTTATGGATCGCACAAAGTTTTGTTCCGTGCGGGAATCGAACTCGCAACACGTTGCACAGCAGGCAGTTGCCCAGCAGGCAGTTGCCCAGGCACTGCGCCAACCGTGCAGTCAAAGTCTTCAAAAGACTAAATGATGATGTTTAATGACTTTCATACGTCAACAACTGATTGTCAAGGAACTGGACTAGATCGAAGTCACGCTAGAGGATGATACTAAGGGATTCAATACATTTCTAACTTTATATCATCATAATAATAAGGTTGAAAGTCCATTAAAAGTTTACATTTATACTGATTAATTATAATTTACCTGATTTCCGGATACCACATTGCTCCACAGTTCCTCAAAGATATGGGGTTTGTTATAGAGAAACATAGGAGAACGACATCCGATCTGAAAGTAAAAGACAATTGTTATAAAAACAATTAAGGACAACCATCTAGCCTTTTCCATACTCTGAGTGGGGCTTAAGGGTGGGAAGGCTTTGGGATGGGATGGGAGGGCGACCTCACAGAAATTAACCGGCGTGAAACAACCACAGCATTGTATTTCGCGGTCTGAGTGAGTGAGGCTACAGGAGGCCCAATTTTCCTCTCTTTCTCGAAACTATAATCCTCAAAATGCCGGCAACGCGGTAACTAATATGGTGTTATGGTAGTCCACGGGCGGTGCCGACTGCTTACCATCAGGTAATCCATCTGCTCGTTTGCCGAACTATCACATAAAAAAGGTATAATATTTTAATAAGTAGAAAAATACAAATTATTCAGGTTTTACCTTCCATAAGCGAATCTTCTGTCTTTTTCATGATCTCCAAAAGTGTCCCAAAGACGTAGGGATACGTTCACACCATCTACAACTTCCCAAGATCTTTCTAGAACCTGTTATAAAAAAATGACATTACGAAATACATCACAAAGCTTTTGGTTTTTCAGGACTTTCGTTGGTAGTGGTGAAGGATACGCACGTGTTTTTTATCGGTACTACGATTGTTGTCAATTTTAGTGATCTTTTTCATAGTGATCTAAATTGAAGCATTTTGTGTTGTTTTTATTGTGTTTGTGTGTGTTTTTTAACGTAGTAAGTAGTAGTTTTAACCTTTAATTATAACTTTTTCTTCCCTTTACTTCCCTCTTCTCTCCATTGTCCAAAATGGACGAGGAGAAACCTCCGGACCCTCCTGATAAAACGTTGGACTACCAACCAATTTTAACGATTACCCTACCCCACGATAACCCCGATCCCGAACTAATGGACTCTGAGTCATCAGCCAACAGAAAAAGATCAGCAGGCTCCCCACCTATCTCTCGTAACAACCCTCCAAAAGTACCTAAAAGCATAAATGGTAGGCAATGTTACACAGCTAAGGACAACCCCCCATACATCGTATATGTCTCCCTCAAGGACTCCCAGACTTCTGGTACCACACTGCACCCAGTAAAGTTCGGGATGTTCTTGATGCGGAACAATATAAATAATGTTAAAATTGGCGGTGTTAAACGATTAGGAAGGAACAGGGTTTCAGTTGAGTTTGTGTCACACCAGGATGCCAACAGTTTTTTAGTAAATTGTGTGGTGGCACAAAACTATACAACATCAATCCCACAATTCAATATCACGAGAATGGGTATAGTGAGGGATGTTCCCATTGAGTGGTCGGAGGAGGAGGTTATCAGCAACATTAAGGTTCCTGCGGGATGTGGTGTTGTGATAAAAGCAAGACGGATGAACAGGAAAGTTTCCTCACCAAGCGGAATGGAATGGAAGCCCACCCAAACCGTAGTCCTAACATTTGATGGCCAAATATTACCCAAAAAAGTGTTTTGCTTTTATTCAGCGCTCCCAGTTGAACTTTATTCATACCCGACAATCCAATGTTATAACTGTTGTCGATTTGGGCACACCCGTACTATATGCCGTTCAAAACCACGCTGCTTCAAGTGTGGCCAGGATCATCCTGGTGATGGATGCCAATTAGCAAGTGAGGCTGCACATTGTATTAACTGCAATGGCAACCATTTTGCAAATGACAGTGCTTGTCCTGAGCTGGGCCGCCAAAAGAGCATTAAAGCTTTAATGGCGGAAAAATCTATTTCATATGCTGAAGCTAGCCAAGTTTTCCCACCTGTCAAAAGGTCGTATGCCGAGGTATCCAAATCAACAAACTATATTGACTCAACACCAACCAAAAAACTATCCCAACATAGAATCTCACATAAAAAAACTGTACTCCTTAAACCCAAATCCCATGCCCCCCTTTCTCCTAGTTATGATAAGAAGGCCCATCAGGCCCTTATCCAAGACTATTCTTTTTCCCCATCCCAAAATGGTTGCGCTTTCCCTATGGAATTTGGAACCAACAAACATAGCTCCAAAGACATTTTAAATATTATTTCCAATATGTTAATAGCAGTGTTATCTAACCCTGCACAAGTTGTACCTGACCACGTTGCACAAAGACTATCTACCATCTTAGAGTATATTTATAAAATTCCATCCACTAACTCTCCTTCAGTGGAACGTGAGGAGTACTCTTCCCAGGAAGAGTGACTTACTCCATTTAATTAATAAATTTCAACCATTAATTTGTGGCATTGCTGAGACATGGCTCCTACCGAATATTAATTTCAGGATACCATGTTTCAGTGTTGTCAGACAGGACAGATCTGATGGCTATGGAGGTTGTGCTTTGTTAGTTAATAACAAAGTACCCTTCTCCCAGATCCCTCTACCCTTTGTTGGCGATGACATAAATGTTGTCGCTGTTAAGGCTGAGGACATAAACATTTTTGTATTTTATATTGCCCACCCCCAGAGTAGTCATATCATTTTAATAAAAAATCTACTAAGTTCGGTAAATGGCCCATTACTAGTAATGGGCGACTTTAATTGCCATCACTTTCGATGGGGGTCTGAAATATGCGACAGCATGGGTCATGACCTAGTAGACATGCTGGATGACCTCGACTTATGCGTCATCAATGATGGCAGCCCCACTCGTAGGTCTGCATTTGGTCAAAGAAACAGCTGTGTGGACTTGACCTTCTGCTCATCTAGTGTGGCTAGTTTGCTGAATTGGAGTTGTTTGGATATGACCTATGGTAGTGATCACTATCCCATTATTATTAAGAGCCCATCTAAATCCATTCCAGATAAATTCCTTCCTCCCTTACTAAAATATCGGCTTAACTCAGCTGACTGGGACCTTTATTCCAAACTTTTAGATCTTCGCATTTCCGCATTACCAACTGTCAACGCTGATAACGCATTGGAGTGCTTTTCCCAATTTTCCGACGTAGTAGCTGCTACAGCTAAAGACTGCTTTCCGGAGAAAAGCACCCCAAAAGGAAAAATCCCTTCCCCTCCTTGGTGGGATAGTGAATGCACTACTATGATACGAGCTAGGAATGAGGCTGAAAAGGCATATAACCACGATATGAACCTGGAAAATCTCATAAACTTCAAACGAATATTGGCTAAGTCAAGGAAGTTGTTTAAAAAGAAGAAGAAACAGAGCTGGCGGAGTTTCTGTGGTTCTTTGAACCCATCCACACCGGTGGCAACGGTTTGGCAGAGGGTGAAGAGCTTTAGGAACTCCTCTAAACCCCCTTCAATTTCCATCTTACCTGATAGTCTAAGCCATATGTTCTTTGCCAACATTGCTCCTACCTATGTTCCCAGTGAAGATGAATGTTATTGGGGATTGTGTGAAGACTCACATGACCCCCTTGACACGAAGTTCACAATGGAAGAGCTCCAAACGGTGTTGAACCATGTAAAAGACTCTGCACCAGGTAATGATGGTTTTCCTTACTCTTTCCTCTCAAAATCAGGAATCAAATCTAAACAATATTACCTTGACTTGGTCAATTTTTGCTTTTATTTTGGTTATATTCCTCCTACCTGGAAGGTTCAGGTTGTCATACCGCTGTTAAAAGCTGGTAAAGATTCTGGTGATCATTCATCCTACCGTCCTATTGCGCTATCGTCCATCCTTATCAAAATCCTAGAACACCTTGTAAAAAACCGACTAGAATGGTTGGTGGAAGGCCAGAGACTGCTGCCGGCGACTCAATTCGGCTTTAGAAAGGGCTTGGGAACGGCCGACAGTGTGGGCACCCTCACATCGGCCATCCGACTGGCCCTTAGCAGAGGTGAGTCGTTGGTGGCGGCCTTCTTGGATATTTCAGCGGCTTATGACTCGGTTCTCCTACCCCTTCTCAGGCAAAAGCTGCAAAAGCTGAGAATTCCGAGTAGGATTTGCCAGATTATAAGCCATATCCTCTCCAACCGCACCCTCCAACTAAGAACTCGTGAAGATAACCCAGTACAGAGAACTGCCTGGAGGGGATTACCCCAGGGGTCAGTCCTTAGTCCAATCCTCTTCAATATTTATACCCATGACCTCCCTTCCTGTCTTAATTATGACTGCAATATCCTACAATACGCTGACGATATCGCATTAATGATCACCAACAGCTCCATAACAGACGCCGCTCGCTCCATGAATGTCTCTTTGTCCTCATTAAACCAGTGGCTGATTAATCATGGGTTATGTTTAAGCGCCCCAAAAAGCTCGGCTGTTATTTTTACGCGTAGCCGTCGCATTCCAGATGTCCGCATAGAAATAGACGGTCAGGTAATCCCGATAAGCAACAAGGCTAGATTCCTAGGTGTGATTCTAGATTCTAGGATGTCGGGGTTGGATCACGTAGACGCCGTCGTCACAAGGTGTGAACGGTCAGTAGCTGTACTCAGAGCACTGGCTGGAGTATGGTGGGGTGCCAACCCCTTTACATTGAAGCTCATCTATAATGCATTGGTCAGAAGCGTAATGGATTATTGCTGCTTTCTTATGGCACCTTGCAATAAGGAAGCATTTAAAAAACTTGATTCCATTCAGGCCAAATGCCTTAGAATAATTATTGGAGCTATGAAGTCATCCCCTATAAATGCCCTACAGGTTGAATGTGCAGAGCCCCCCCTCGACCTTCGGAGACAATACCTAGCAGACCGTTTCGTTTCGAAAGTCCTTTCCCTCTCATCGCACCCCCTACTTCCGATCCTGGACCAGATACATTGCTCCTATAATTCCTCTCCGTACTGGAACAATAAGCCTGTCCCTCCTGTGATTGTTAGGTACAGAGAACTTAAAAACCTCTCTGCCCCAATCAGTCAATATCCTGTACTCCCGGTCTTTTCTTCTGCATATGAGGTTATCCACTTCAGGCCAAGCATTGTCCTAGAACTAGGCATTGCAAAATCTTCAGTGAACGCCAACAAGAAATTTAAACGCGCGTTGAGCAGTTTCTGGAGTGGCTGGAATTTGTTCTACACAGATGCTTCTAAACTGACTCCTGAGGGTTGCACAGGAGTGGCAGCATATTATCAGAACTCAAGGATTGCTTTGTTAGCCAAATATCCCTCTGAAGCTTCTGTATTTACTGGTGAATGTGCTGCTATTCTGGAGTCCATAAAATTTATCAAAGCTCACAATTTGAAAAATTCCGTCATCTTCTCGGATTCTAGAAGCAGTCTTCAAGCTCTGGGCCAGGACCAACTCCACTCCAGAATCTATAGCAGTTTAATTATAGAAATTAAATCTCTACTTCTTGCGTGCCATGAGGATGGATTAAAAATAGAAATCGCTTGGATTCCTGGGCACTCTGGCATAAGTGGTAATGAATGTGCGGATACGTTGGCAAAGTTTGCGGCCTCGAATAATGTGGACCACCAACATCACGTTGTGTACGGGTATGATATACGAGCGGACACAAAACACAAGCTTTTTAAATCTTGGGCTGCAGTGTGGGTGGACTCTTCCAAACGGAAAGGTGTCCATTACGCTAATATCCAGCCCGACGTCCAGCGGAAGCCTTGGTTTTGCAAATACACCAAACTCCCCCGACACACTGTTACGACTTTGTGCAGGCTCAGACTTGGCCATTGTAGCAGTCCAGTTTTCCTCAAAAAGATCCATGTTCGTGACAGTTCGCTGTGCGAATGTGGTCTTGACGAGGGTACCGTGGACCATATATTCTTTTCTTGCTCCTTAAACTCCCAATCCTTTGACCTCTACAAAAAACTCCCAAATTTAGAAATCCCCCTTCCAATCAATTTCCACTCCCTCTTAACTCACTTTTCTTATAAATTAATTAAATGTCTATCAAAATTTATTAATGATAATGATATCAAACTGTGATGGTGTGTAATATTATAATTATGGTATATACGTATATGTCAGTTGTGTATGTCCTCTTATTTATCCTTATTATATAATGTAAAGTAGAAAAGTATAAAATAAGTAGATATAGTTTTACTAACCCATGTGTTGTCCTTTCAGCTACTAACAACAGACTACCACAAAGTTAAAGTTCGACGGGCCCATAAATCTGCCGTCACTACTTGACACTGGCAGTATAGTCGACAACATTAAATTGGAGACTCGGTTGCCATTCAAGAAAGAAAAAAAAAAAAAAAAAAAAAAGCTTTTGGTTTCCTACTACCTACATCTCGCCCGCTGAGTGAATTTGGTATATGAATTTCTACTAATATTATAAGACAAAAAAATTTGTTTGATTAACATGCTAATCTTAGGAACTACCCTGTATTTAGATTCCCTATATTGGTAAAGAATCAAGTGGTTCAGTACCCAAGGCACCATCACTACGTCCTTGACACATTTATCTATTATTTATTTAAAAAAAAAAAGGTGTTTCCTGACTATAGGATTTTCCCCTTTGTCGTGGGTGCGTTTACAGACATACAAATTCGCATACACCTTACAACCAGACTCAAAACCACAATTTGTGGATGACCCAAGGAGTTGTTTCATGGGAAAATTAAACCCACAACACATTGCACACCACTGTGCCAAGTTTATTACTAACTAGCTACTCTCACGCGCTTTCACCCACTGCTCAGCTCTGTTTGATCGTAGCGTGATGTTTTATAGCTTATAGCACTCAGAAACATTGTAGCTATCTGTCAGTAAAAGAATTTTGGCAATCCGACCATCGGTTTCATTTCATTTCTTCTTACATGAAGCGGCATGGCAAATACCAATATCACTTTTTCCAAGTTATATGTACTTTCTAAGATTATAATCAGACACCACAGACAACAGTTGAAATCACCAATCCTCCATCAAGAATAGTGATTAATGTTCAAACCTTGTCTGTGTGAGAAGAAGCTTTTGCTAAGCCGAGGGCACTTATAGGCTTATAGGGTGCTGTTCAAGTCCAGAGTATTTTTTATATTTGTAATTTATAAACAACAATACAGGTGGAAATCCTTGAACCAGACACTCATTTAGTTTGTAAAATAAAACAAAACTGATATTATAGGTATTAACTATATATATAAAAGGGAATAGCAAAATGTGTTGGTAAGCGCATAACTTATTAATGTGTGGGCTGATTTTGCCAATTCTTTTTTTTTTTTGTTGCATTAATTTATTTTTGTCAGGCGAAGGTTCTTATCAAAGAAAATAGTACAGGGAAAGATTGGTAAAATTGAACTTTTCATTATTGGCGAGTTAGTTTCACCCATATGTAGCAGGGGCGGGCCACTAGTAACTTATAAAACTATGTAGTACTCACATCTTTATATATTCGATACTGGTCTATGGCCCACACAGTTGGTACATGTGTGGTCATAAGCTGTGATAGTGAGACATGCTTGTTGCATGCCCGGGCACATATCAGGCGTGTCTTGCCCACAGCTGTGTCCCCAACCACCACACACTTCACCAACTCTTGGTGAGGCTGCTCGTTGTCCATGGCCTGGGAGAAAAAGTATTAAGTAAATAAATTATCACTGCATAGTATAAAGCAAAGACACTTTCTGTCCCTATATCCCTATGTATGCCTAAATCTTTAAAACTATGCAATGAATTCTGATTCAGCTTATTTAAAGATAGAGTGGATAATATGGTCCAAAGGGAAGTTTTATTTGTATAACAACACTCATTAAATAACAGAGTAGCATTGCACCCAGGCGACCTGCCGATGCCTGGGCGGATCGCTAGTTTTTTATAATTTCTTATGTTTTTCTTATCTTGATTTGACTTATTTGACTTGACTTGTTTAACTGTATGTACGAGCTTCATGTAAATTTTATAATCTAGCCTACAATACAACTTATATTAGCATTTTTGTAGATCGTACTACAAATTAATAAAATTAAATACTTAATTATTTTTCAAGATGGAAAGGATCACTGCTACATACCAATGTTCATTTTAGGAAGCTTCATTTTCACACTAAGTAAAGTAACTAAAGGTAAATTTAATCTCCGTTGGTCGTTGTATTTATTTATTTAAATTGTATTTTACATATATTTTATAATAACTAATTAATTCGTTTCACATGAGATAAACATTAGTTTCATTATAACACTACACTACAATCAACCAAACAATATTAATAATTGTTCAACTAAGGTTCAACTAAATTAATATTCTAGACGCTTTCTTTTCTTTTAATAAAATCGAGAATAACTATAAATTAAAACAAAAGAAACAAACAAAACTTTAAAATTAATTGAAAACACTCGAAATTCAAACTCAAAAACAAACTGTTGTCAAAATTTCAAATCAATTTTGACAATTGACTGACAGTACTAATTTTGTGTGTAGGAAAAATTCAAAATCACGTTCAATTTAATTACTAAAATAAAATTGACCACCTTTTATAACTTTTTATAATCCTTCATCAACTTACTTCTATAAAATTAAATATTTTGTGGAAAACGACATCGTGTTCAAGTTTTATGATGTCTGGTACTGACTTTATGACTATGCAGATTTATTTTATAGCTTGTAGATTGTATAACCACCAAAAAATAATGTCCTCAAAATGTCGGGGAAGAAAAAGAAACTATATAAAAATCATATAAAATCATTCCAATTTATAAATTTAACTTATATATTACACCGATCCACATTCATGAAATTCATAGAACGATACAGAAAGACTTTAATTCACTTACGTTTTCCTCAATGAATTCTTAATTGATTCATACACTTGAAAATCTTTGTGGCCACTCTTATTATTTGGACATTATCACTCACTAACACTAACTAATAACCACTAATACTGAACGAAATCTGCATTATGTCGTTTATATGGGGGTATTATACCAAAAAAGATTATCTTTTCACGATATTTGAGGCAATGGAGTGAAGTTGATTTTGTAGCATTGCAGTGATCTGCGCATGTTGGACGTCTTGCGCAGAACTGTAAGACCGTGTACAGGGCAAGTTCATTTTAATTTTGTTATTGACAATATTGAGTCAACGAACTTCGTCGCTATTGTTGAACTTTTGAATATCTTGAATACAGCTGCAACTCAATACGCACAATTACAGTGTACAATGAAACACGTACCAATTGTGAATAAATACTTCCTTTTGCACCACTTACGGACGCGTTCAGAGTTCGCTTATAAAATTCTTCATATTGTCAGTTAGAGCTCAACAGAACTCTATGTTATTAGACAATAATTAAGTACCTATCTAAACGGTGTTAAGAGATTGGCAAGAGATTTGTAAAAAATATTACAAAGAATAGAAAGTGCCTACTAACTTAAATGTAGCAACTTTTTATTGGACAGCAGTATAGGTATTTTTATGTTTCCTAACATGAAATCCAAAATAGATGCAAAATGATGATCATAGGTGGCGATAATGGTTTATGGAGACGAATAATAACGAGCAATATTCTTTTGACGATTTCAATGAAATCTTGTAGGTAACTATGAAACGGTTTACGGTAGAAAATAAATTAAAAGAACACTGTCATTCTTATTTTCTAGAAAAAAGGCTTTATACAACAGTGACGCAATGAAAACTCTTTGCACATCAACAAACTTTATCGAACTGGCTGGCGTAGAAGAATTAAAGAAGAATGACAACAGTCCTCTGTCATTATTCATTGTATGAACGTGATGTTTTTATAGATTCACTAAAAATGTGTTTCGTCAATACTAAAACGAGGATTTTAGCCTTCAAAGCTAAATAAAAAGCCATCCAACATGGCTTTCTTCGCCCTTCTATGGAAGGCGCGAACAATAGAAAAATACAGACTAAACTATGAAAGAGAAAAAATCAATTCTATAGTGCTGGGAAATACGCAGATGGAACAGACATTGTCCCAGAGATGGAGCCACTATAGACGCGATACAACAAAACGGATTTCAAGAACATTCAAGAAGTGGTATCCTGAAGGCAGTAGTGTTGCAAACTTTTTCTTATATTTACGAACGGATCAAACATTTCCGAATTTTCTATTGAAGAGTGTGATGGGATTTGTAGGAGGCATAATACTGACGTATTTGTGCTTCATGTTTTTCGTCTTCCAACTTTCTATATCTCTGATTCACGCTACCATTATGAGTTCCATTATTGGAGTTCTTCTTACTTTGGGGTTGGCTTTCAGCTATAGAATAAGGTAAGGTTCAGACATCACAGGTTCAGGTACCCCGACTCAACTTCAATACATTTGACAACTTTAAAAAATTTAAATCTGATCCACCTAATTTAGTGACGCTTAATGTTTACTTTGGCAAATTCAAATTATAATTCGTTCGATACATATGTTCATTTCATCCTTATCAGTGTAGCCGTTTTGGTGTTGAAAACTACAAACAGCCACACAGATCATACATTTATTCGCTACTCGAGTAGGTATCCCTGAATACCTAAGCGTAATACATTTACAGTGTAGGTAAGTAAACAGATTCCAACTGAATTAGGATAAATAAAAATTATTTAAACAAATACATGGGTACTTCAGCTATCGAATTTTTCTTTCACCCCCAGATGCCTAGTCTTCCTACTGATTCCCCAGTTCTTCTCCCGCGTCGGAAGGTACACGCTGACCTGTTATGCCCTGGTACTCATTCTGACCGGACCAGCTACAAATACGTTGAAGAACTCTGAAGTTTTGTCTGAATCTATGGCTTGCTCTCAAGTAAGTGGGACCGCGTCCAGAAATTAGTTTTTATGTTATAGGTCGGCATACGAGCGGACGTGTTACCTGATGGTAAGCAATCAGCGTCACCCATGGACCCCGCAACAACAGTAAGGAGTGTGTTGCCGACCTTGTGGGGTTTAGGGATTTGAGATTTAAGGATTGGGTCTCAGGTAGTAGCTAGTATATGATGTATAAAATGTGTTTTTTTACATGATAAAAATAAATCCAGCATTATTAGTCGTGGATGTATGTAGCATATTAGCATAGTTAAAAAAGTATAGCAGTTATAAATTATCAAAGGAAATTACGTCCATTGAAATGCGTCGCGATGGCCCGCCCTAGTAATTTGCTCATAACAAGTGGGCACTTATAGGCTGATGATGATGATGCACTTAGACCATGTTTTTACTTTTATCTTAAGTTTATTATAAGTCTGAGAGATGGTTCGTCACAAATAAGTCGGTTTGAACAACTGTGTTATACCATGGCCTAACAGAAAACAGGCTTGAATACTCAATACTCAATACGTTTATTTGCATTCCACAATGTTTTACATAGGTAGTTGGTAAGGGTAATATCAACACGCTGTGTTTCGCCGTATGAGTGAGGTTATCGGAGGCCCAAATCTTATCCTGCCCATCCTCAATTCATCCAATGCTGAAATCTCTAATCCCCAAAAGATCAGGGGCCCGAGTCTACTATTTTCAATGTGTTGTCATTCCTACACGATTCCATTGTCATTTTGCTAAAAGTTCGTAATCTGTTAACTCAAAATGGCCTGAACCTATGTAACAAACAATATGTATACCTATAGGTATTGTAGTACCTACATAGATAGAGAATTTAAGTCCGTTTTCATAGACAGCACTAAATCAAAATTAATGTTTTCACGGCTTTTGGATAGCCCAGACTAGAGTTATGAGGTTAATCACCCGAAATGTTTGCGGATTATTTCAAGTTTTGAAATTTATTAATGTCTGGAGACACTTCGGCACTTTGAAAATACCAACTAGTTAAGTTTAGTATTAGGATGAACATAATTATATGAGCTATCAGCTATGATAAAAAATGAGCTATCTAAAGCTAGAAGATAGAAGGGAACTATTGATTTTATTATGTTTAAATTTCACCAGAAGTTTTGTGATTAGTGTTTTGGAGATTTAAAGCTTGGGAAGGGGTAACCTCACTCACACGGCGAAACACGACTCTGTGGCTGTTTCTTTCAAAGTTGTAACACGACCTCTCAGAAAAGCGGCGTGAAATAACTTTTGTGTTGAACTCCGTGTGTGATTGGAGTTTAACAAAACCCCAGAAAGGCTGGTTACGCAGTTGCAACTCCTATGGTTGCGAATCTCTATGGACCATAGGCTGATTGCTTACCATTCATTTTGCCTCCCTGTCCCATTAAATTAATGATATTTATATTTAATCTCTATTGCTTTCTCTTTCTATCTTTTTCTTCCGCCTATTTTTTTGATCATCTTTTTTACTTAAATATTCTCAATAATTTATCTTCAGGAACAAATAAAAACAAGCGTGCATCAGCTGAATGATCTGATAAAGAAACCGTTTAACACAATGAAAGACTCGCTGAAGGTGATGGTGGACCGGCTGGAGATGATCACGGCGAAGGTGAAGGAGACAGTGGTGGAACTCGATCGATTGGTTCTTAGTATTGGTGGGTTTGTATATTTGAATCTTGAATAATTTAAAAATAAGACGCATAGAAATTGTTATTGTTGGATAGAAATAGGTAAGGAGCTCGCTTCTCGTGCATGAGGGTGCGGATTGAAAACCTGGCAAGTACCAATATGACTTCCGATTTATATGTTCTTTCTATGATTATTTAGACACAATTGACAGACAGTGAAGGAAAAATTCATAAGGAAACCTGGAATTATAATTTCTCAATACAAGTTTGAATTCGCCAATCGCGATCAAGCGTGGTGATTTATGCTCAAACCTTGTCCGTGTCTTTGCTCTGCAGTGGGCACTTATAGGCTGATGATGATGATTATGATGAAATAGAAAGAACATTGGAAATATAAATACTATATATAAGTATAATACTAGAAAAAATCCATTACCTTTATCGCCGTGTATCTTAGAAGTAAACTTAAAGTCCACGTGCACTTTTCTTCGACTTGATATTGTTCGTAATTCTTGCTAAACGATCGTAGTATTGATCTTTGTGGCTTGCCATGTGAACTTTCGCATGTTTGGATTGGCGGCCATTTCTTATAAATATATAATGAGTTAGTGCGAAAGGTCTATATGTATAAACGAGTAGGTACTTACCTACAGGGAGCAGAATTTTAAGATCGACTACTTTAAATTATTTTAAATTTTTAATATTCACAAGGTATGAAGTCTACATGTATTTTTAGCATTGCTTTAGCTCTTTTAGCAAGTAGAAATAATTCTTAAAATCGTAGGGTACTCATGTGTATATACTGAGAAAAGCTAAAGTAAGAAGATGACGCGCAGCCTACTGTACCTATACTATTTTTTTGCAGTAGTATTTGTCAGAAATTGTTATTTGCGCAAAAAAATATCATTGCGTTTGAGTAGCTAATCAACATATCATGTTAGTATTTTCTGTTGTGTGAGGAAGGCAAGCGCGGAGACTAATATAACTTTTTGGTACCTAAGCAATCGATGCAGCCCATGGCAACACCAGAGGGTTTGCGAATGCGTTACCGGCCTTTTGGGATTAGGGTTTCGAGAAAGAGCGAAAGTATCGGGCGTCCTGTAACTTTACTCACACGGCGAAACACAACTCTGTGGTTGTTTCACGCTGCGTTTCTATGAGACGAGGTACTCCAGTTGAGCCAACCTTTTCGTGCCGAAGCATGGCTCTCCTACACTTAAAATCATATAGGTCATCAATCATCCCATATTTCAACACTGCATTTGGCCTATATTCCACTATTACTTCTACTATTCAGAAAGCAACAAATTCAAAATCATTTATTTCAATTTAGTTTTTTCAATTGTACCCATTTCTCACTTATCAACAACCTTAAAATCCATACAGTGAGCACCATCCAATCTTCGTTCTCCTGGTTGGAATCCGTAGCAGACATTTGCAACGCTCAACTTGGGACACCATACGAGCGTTGCAACAATGCCATGAATGAAGGTATATCTGACTGCAAGAAACACTTGGGCCCTGATCTTTCAAAACTATGTGACGTGGCCTTGGTGGCACATGCCGCTTGCTACTCCGTCAAACCCTTTAAAGCCTTCTGTTACGCCACCGATTTTATGGACGAAGCTATTCTGGCGAGCGTTAAGAAAAGTAAGTTATCTAGTCTATCTAATATGGCCCCCACACTAAGATTTTCTCCTGTCTCGTGGGTGCATTTACAAACATACACATTTAGATACATATCACACCCAGGCCCAAATTGTGGATCACACACAAGTATTTTTCCGTGCTAGAATCGAAACCGCGACACGTTGCGCAGCGGCCAGCTGCCCAGCCACTGCGCCAACCGTGCAGTGGCTGGCATAGTGTAGTTTTTTTTTCAATATAGGTAAGTGTTTTCACAAGAAAGTCTATTACCTAAGATAAACCTTGATGCATAGTTCGATCTGAAATCTCATCTCAACCGTTATGGCTACCATGAACAAACGTTGTGCGGCAGTCAGTTGCCCAGCCAACGCGTCAAACGTGCAATTTCAGCCCAATTATTCTTTTAGTCTGAGACTTCAAGAAAATCAAGTGGATTCTCTCCAAATTATCATCATGGTCACTATCTATCTCGCTAAACAGATCTATACAGCATTACCTATAGTAAGTATCTGGCCCGCCGCAAATTCATCGCATTCCGACCAATTCAAACGTGATCCGGTTAGGAATCTCCACTTAACCACGTACAGAGATGAGCTGTAATAGATTAGGCATGCTTTGTCACAATTTCAACCTTGTCATTTTGGTATAACGTCGAAAATTCACTTCGGCAGTTGATAGTTTGGATATATGTAGGTGTGCTGGGGTTAATTCACACAACGTGCCATTGTCAGCTTAGTACCTATAGTATGCAAGCAAAACCACATTGTGGTACGCAGTGCTTTCAATATCTGATCAGCGTTTACAGAAACTCAACAGACTATATGCAAAAAATATGTTTCAAGTTTAGAATTCACAAATACCTCATAAAGCAGCATTTTTATCAGCATGAAGTCGAAGTCGAAGTCGAACGTAAAGGAACCCTTTACTTGTTCTTGGAAAATGTTTGCTATACCATATGGATTGAATTGTTTTCTGACCACGATTCGGGAAAAAGGGCTTTATGTTTGTTTTACACACACTGAGAAATTTAAGGGTAAGGTTTTAGTCAGTCTGACATGACCTCTCTAATGGCCCAGGGTCAGAGGAGAATTCAAAAAATACCTATTAAGTTTCTGTCTTATCGGCTATCTTTTACACACCATTTGGGTACATTGGAAAGGAAACTATTGCCATTTTGTTTGATCCACAAATAGTTGTTCCGGTGTGTTGAAATTGTATGCCTGTAAACACACCCACGACACAGGAGAAAATCCTAATGTGGGGCAACGTTTTATTTATTTATAATCTCTTATAAGCCAAGAAACTCCTTTCCAGAACTAAGAAACTTCGGCGAGCATCTCCGCGCGATGTTCCACGTGGAAGTACACCTACACCATTCGTACTCCTACAGCAGCAACACGAGCCGGTCTGCCAGTCAAGTGGCTGCCGGTATCGTCACTGAGATCAGGAATAGAGCTGATCCTCTTCTCACATGGCTCTCTTGGAGTTCATGTGTCACCAGCTTATTCTTGCTGCTTATTATATTCAGGTATTTGTGATGATTGCGTAGTCGTTTGTAGATTTTTGAATATATTTTTGGGTGTTGGTACTTCAGATAAGGGATTTTCGCTTTTAAATCCAGTTCGATAATGTTCAGTGTTTGCATTAAGAATTCAGCAAACAAAAAAAACTTGTCTCCTTGTCCAATCAGAAACTGAAAATATCAGGCATATTTATTGCTTGTGACACATCTACTGCAAAAAGATTCAGGTCTAAAATCCCTCATCATGAATTTCAGAGCCAAATACTACCAACACATGTACGAAACTCGGTCTCGTTTCGACAACCGTTACGTCACCAAGGAGTTGCAGGAGCTGGACTTGAAGAGACAGCGACAGGGCAGAGAGACCGTACTGCCTTTGAATAGACGAGAACGAGCTAAGTATATCAATGTAAGATTTTATTTTCTGGTCTTAGTAACAGGTTTGAAGTCGAATTAGGTTTTAGAAAACTTCCAAGGGCTTATAAGAATAAAGAAGCCAAATTGTGAAGCCCTCAGTCATGGAGTATAGTAGTTGAAGTTTGATAAACAAAATTAGATAGTTTATTTGTTAGATTTTTATTATTATAAGTATTTTAAGCTTAGCTTAATCAGCACAACCTGGTCAAATACTATTCCTACAACCGTAAGTCTTCAGTCTGGGCCCGTCGTCATCTTCTCTCAACCGTTCTGCAACAGGACATTGTCTCGCTGACCTGGATCTTCAATGCTTCGACTTACCTTACTTTAATATCTACCAGTAATGGAAGGCTTCCTTCAGACCACAAAACGTCACGATACTACGAATAGCTGTCCAAGAGCTGGAGTTATCGCGCAGGAGTAGCTAAACAGTTTAAATGTATTAAGCAATTTTTCGCAGACAACGTCTTTCCGCCTGGTGGCTTCAGAGAAAGTATACTTGAATCGTTCAGCGGTGTTCATGGCGATCACTACGCTTAAGCTGCTCATACACATGGTGGCTGACTACAGCCTCTACTGGGTTCTAATGACCATACGTTACCATGGAAGGTATCAGACGGAATTGATGCGTGAGTGTTACAATTATCTTAGTAATCTGAAATGGAGGGATTGTTTTTATGAATGACCCGTGAATGACCGACCAAAAGCTCGTGAGACAGATTGACGTCTGTTCCACGAGCTTTTGGATTCGGCGCCAGCCACGTACACCCGCAACATCAGAGAGTGCGTTCACGGCGAAATATAACGCTGTGATTGTTTCACGCCGTTTTCTGTGCGGCTGTGGTATCACACCGGTCGACCCGACCCATGGCTCTCTCACATGTGAAACATTTATGCCTGACTTCAAACAACGAGTTAGTCAAGAAATAAATGAACTATAAACTTAAATTACTTTACAGGCCTTCAACCTTGGTAGAATTAATACTCCCTTAATTCTACCCTTCAATTTTGATTATGATTGCGTTACTATTTTGTTCCCAGCTGGTATCCCCCACTCAGGGGCTCACGTGTCTGGCAGTGGCTATGTTGCAAGACTGTTCAGCTCTATCATAGGCATCCTGGATATACCGCTGTCCTTCCCAGCTCCTTCACCCATAACCTGCCTGCCTGATCCTTACCCACCTGATTTGCGAAGATATACACAGATTGGTAGGTCCAAAAATCGAATTAATTTTTAATGTATATTTCATTAGTTCTCCGATATACTTATGTGTGATTGAGTATTCAAATTCCATTCTATGTTCATAGTTAAGTAAGACATTTTGAAAAAGGCCCAAGAAATGATACAAAAGGAGATTGATCTAGTAACCTTGCTGATGGAATTTATGACAAGTGATTACTTTTATATGGAATTTCATTAGACGGAAAGTTCACATTCTTTAACGATATGAACGTTATTTCAATAATTGGAAGGTCTTTTATCCTACAACCTTTTCAGGAGTCCTCATCTTCCTTCTATGGTTTTTCGCGCTCTTCGAACCCTATGGTCTTCGGCTGCGGCATCTGATCATGGGTCATTATAGACCGGAGCGAGCTAAAGCTAGAGCTACCTGGTTATACAACCATATATTGAGGACTAGAGGTTTGTACAAGATACTTGTACTAATTCATCTACTTTTTCTTCTTCCATCTTCTCTTAAGTCATTTTCTGGCGATGCATTTTGTTTTCAATTCCCTCATGTACGATATTGTCTTTGAAAATGAATGATTTTACAATGCATAGACCATTCAGACCAATTCAGCGCGAGAGAAGTAATTGATGATGATAATGATTTCCTCTTCTCAAAAACAAGGAAATAATAGCATAGATCCCCTTTTTGCCGATGTTATTGTCTAAAATTTTCTTTAGAGGTTTGAAGGCAGATTTTTAGTGTCCAAACATCTGTTTTATTGCGTACAGTTGGTATTAGTCTTGGAATGATTTCTCTCGCCCTGGGAGAGGGAATGTCAGACTAACTGACTAAAAGCCATCCGTTTGTTATGCTGCTCACTACACTATGCGTTTCCACTCTCAACTCCGACTAAATATGGGGTTTTTAACACCCATATATACATATCAAAAAAAGTAAAGAATCATTTATTTCAATTAGACCCTGAAAGGCATTTTTGAACGGCAAAAGTGTCAGTCTGTCGGTCAGTCCTCTTAGTGAAGGTATTTGCATTTCGCTCGTGTATGTGTTAAAGACAATATAAGCCAATAATATATTTCAGCCAGTTTCATGAAATTTGCTCGAAGAAAATTGCATCGTGATTACAAATATTCTTCAGGAGCATCGCTTACCTTCCGTCAATGGGTTATAGATCACATACCGTAAGTTCTTACGTTTTTTATTTTCTGACATCAAAATGGATTCTTCTGTTCACTGATGGAAGATGCCTTTGCAAATATATCCAAATACAGAAGAGGTGATCCCTATTGGGCTTCTTCATTTACCTTTTCATGTTATGGCAGAAGGGCTCAACGAAGAAGACTTCTAAAAATAGCTCTTTTTCATAGGTTTGAAGTTCATACCAGTAGAATGTATCAGGAAAAACACTGTTGTTAAAACACAATCAGGTGTTGATTGTCAGCCTTTTCAATGATATGAATGGAACATCATCACGTCTGGCATCTAATGGTTTTTAAAGGGCAGTTTTCATAGAGTCTACTTAATGTACATCTTTAGCTTCCAGTGCCTCAAGTCCTTGCTGGGGTTAAATGATAAGGAACCTCATTGCCTATTGTGTGGCATTACCTCATCTACTGACCCAGAATCGGAACTCACAAGGTCAGATTTTTACATTACTTCACGATTCATCTACGACTGAACGACGAATACAGTTGTTGAGTTTTTATATAGTATCATGGTAGGTCGGCCAACGAGCAGTCGGATTACCTGATGGTAAGCAATCAACGCTGCCCATGGACATCTGCAACACCAAAGACGTAACGAGTGCGATGCCGCGGCCTTTTTGGGATAAAGGTTTCGGATATTTAAGGATTGGGAAGGGATGTTGAGAGGGGGAAGAATTGGGCCTCCGGTAACCTCACTCACACGTACACGGCGAAACGCAAAAAGTTGTTCCACGCCATCACTCCGGTCGAGCCGACCCATTTGTGCCGAAGCTTGGCTCTACCCATACTTAGTAATAGTAAATTCCAAACACAGTTTTTATGAAGTATTTCCGCCACAACCGCCTATAAGCCAGGATCTTCAATAGTTACCAATTTCTTAGATCCCACAACTAACTAAATCAGAAGATGTTATCGGAGGAGAGAACGAAATAGTTTCCATTTCACTTGATGAATTTAATTCACGAGATGAGCCTTAAAGGCACGAAGAGACTACACAGCTGGCAGAACCAAGTCGCCAAGCTTTACAAAAAAATAAATGACAAACGAATCAATGTTAGTTCATAGATTCTGATTTTAGATCGATTAACTTGGTCATAAGTTTTAGATATCCAATTTTATCAAAGTATGTAAGGATTAAAATAATAAAAAACACAATACTGACTCTTTTGAAAAATAGAAGTTCATTGTCTGAGCATAATTTTGTCGTCAGGTGTCATACTCGGGGCTGTCCAGGAATATACTGCTTGAGCTGCTTCCAAGATATTGGTGCATTATGTACCATATGCATGTCTCCTGCTGACTATGGAGACCTTAGTGATGTCAGCCTTGAGAAGTAAGGCACGACAAATTTTCTAGATAACCTGTAAAAAAAATATCAATAAGTATAAGATTATATCTTATGGTTTTGGAATATTAACCCTACAATCGTGGTAATCCGAGACAAAATAGAAGAACTAGATTTAGGTGCGCGAACGCCGGCGTTCGTTTAGGATTTGGTGAATTAAACTGCTTCTGAAAATAAAGTAGGTAATATGGAATCCGAGAATTGTTGAAATATTTTGCCTGACACCAGTTTTATAAGGTGAATTGGTGGGACAGTGAATCTTAGGAATTATAATAAAATAAAGACACATGTGATGTTGCAAATATTTAGCCTAAAACATGTGGTATTTCAGACTTAAAGGGGATGAAAGTATTTCACAGTGTTCAGTTTTATGGATGTATACTTTTGTCCGTTACTGCAATAATAAAACTTATTTAACAACCGATGTTAACACTACCAAAATTATTCTTAGCATTCCCAAATCAGCAGTCTTGTAAAGGCTTGTATAAAAAAACATATTTTCAGAGGTTCCTCCGACGATAGCGACAGCGACCACAGCGATCCAGGAGGACTGACAATGAATGAGAATGTAAGTGAACATCAAAATAATGTGTACAAAGTTTTTTCAATTCACAAGATAAAAAGTTTTGATTGATTGAAGATTGTCCTGAAACTAGCAGGCAGTAAACTTCTGGTAGTATTTTCCAATTATAATTTGTTAGGTTAATAATTATAACATTTCTTAGCAATAAGTAGCAATGAAAATATGAAATTATAAAACAGTACTTTTACACGTCAACATTATAAAAAAGATTTTACATTTTTTCTCTACGTACAATCCTTCTCTGGATTTTCACGAATAATTCAAGACCAAAATTAGCCAAATTGGTATTGGCATTATGGAGTTATAACATTACAACGAAAAGTGGCATTGATTTTTATATACTCGTAGGTATAGACAAAAAAAAATCGTCTTAGTCACACGAGGTACTATCAGTGTCATAAGTGCATGGATGATTCTAAATCAAAATCGTTTGTACGGCGTTTCATCGCCTTAATTATATACCATGGATGACATAGATGGCGCTAGTATACTAGTGGTATTGAAAAATATACATTTATAGTTTTTATCAGATACAAAGTTATTAACTTAATAAATTTTTATACAAATTAATGCTACGATATTCCAAACCTTTTTAAAGCAAAGCACGCAATAACCAGGATTCGAACTCGGTAGCATAAAATTAACCGATGTCACTAGCCATTAGGCCATTACGTAACCTTGAAATGAATTGAAATTATCCTACTCTTTATTATATTGAAGTTGTTTAGCAACTATAACCCGATCATAAATCTCAAAACACTTGAGGGTAATTTAAAATTAACTGTATAAAAATTAAACCTTTTTGTTCAATCATAACATTCTTTACTATCTTTGAGTGAGTTCAGTCACGATTTGTTTAACAAGTTTTTAATATTTATTTTTATTATGAATTTGCGTTCAAATGTTAATATGGCTACGAGGGCCCAAATAATAGCATTACATAATCAAAGCTTAAATTATACTGGAATTTCTAGAGAAACTGGCTTAAACGTAAGTATTCTTATAAATGACCGTTTGTTATTTATTTTATTATCCATGGTTATCGATACATGAAAATAATAAATAATACACGTCCCTTACAGGTAAAGACTGCCACTTTATGGATATCTAAAGCTGTTTCAAGAAGAGGGTTCATTGGAGCACCGTAGTGGATCTGGCAGAAGGCGTGATATTGACTCAGACCAGTTTCAACTTATGGGGCAAGGTTATGAGGAAAATTACTGGAGCATTGTCATCTTCAGTGATGCAAACAGTGAAAACTACATAGATGTGCTGAAAGACGTCATGAAGATGTGCTAGTGATAACGTTCGTGCAGGACAATTGTCCTATGTGTAATGTTCCATAATTGTGCAAGTGTTTAGTCAGCAATCAGACATACGGATTATTCCTTGGCCAGCGAGATAGGAGAAATAGGATCGATAAAAATGGCGGCTACACTAGTTCTTAAAAGAAAAGACATTGTTGACTATAGGATTAAGCAATTACAAGACCGGGGTAGCTATAATTTATTTAATGGATAAATGTTCAAACTTAGTGTTAGTAGGATAAATTTATTGACTACTTTATAACCAGCGACTGTTATACAGTAATGATTTTAATGTTTTACTAAATATGAGAAATAAAAATAAAAGCAATATTAATATTTACAGATGCTATTGATTGCAAAATAATAAATTATTTATTTATTAATTACTATGAACAATTCGTCCCATATCTAGTGAATGCTATATCCCGGTCTTAGAAATGTTATTGATTTAAGGTCTAGCTTCAATTTCTTCCTTGTTCTGGAACGAATACTTAAGCTATGAGCCTTTGTCATAACATGATGCACAAAATGAATCACTTTAGTCAATACTTTAATTAAATTTTATGGGGAGGTAAAATAGTTGCAGAAGTAAGGTTGCATATTATATAGAATCGTATTATAACATTGTGTTTAAAACTAACTAATAAATGACTAGCACAACACAATTTTGATTTATAGTAAAATACTTATTAATCTTATAAAAAGTGTAATAAATAATGTGTCAGTTAGCTGAAAAGTTATTAGGTCAGGGTATACACTATATAAGAAAGAAATAAATATTATGTTTTAAGAAATAAATGTCTGAAATTATAATGTCACTAAAATAGTTTTATTTGTTATCCTTTATGAGAATTAAACTTAGTATTAGTCTTAATCTGTAAGAAAAATATGTAACTTTTACATTAATAGTTAGCACATATTATAAAAGTTATTTATATATATTTATTATTATAATTTTATTCTAAAATAATATATTTATTTATTTTTGTTATCTTTTATAAATATTAAACGTCAAATATTTTATTTATATATTATTATTATTGATTTTATATAAAAAAACCATTGTTAAAAAACCTGAATTTAAAAATGATGACCCGGAATTGAACCGGTGCCCTTCGACTTCATTATACTATCATTCTTATTTATCCGAGCTACCGATCGCATTTTTAGTGATATCGAAAATGCGGGTTAGTTTATAACTTTAATTATTGTCTATTATTAATTATTGACGCCATCTTTTAATTGGTTTGCTTGACTTGACTTAGATGGCGCTATATTAAGTCCTCGGAAATGTGAAAATTAACATAATTTATGTGTATTTGAATATAAATATATTATTGTTTCTTAATTATTATTTTTACCATTAAAAACCTTATTGTGTGCCTCTGCAGTGTAAAGTATTCAAGCTTTGCAGGGTTATTTTCATTTAAAAGCAGCGCCATCTAGTTATCAATGGTAGCGTTATGCAAAACCTGTCAGTCAATAGTCGACCTTAAGCTCTCCATGCATTTTTGTCACCCTTAGTACATTAAGATACTTATGAAATATGATAAAAAAAAAACTTTCTACCCACAGGTTCCTCTGCTCTCCATGAAGGAAGTCACTAGAAGAAATCTGAGAAAATCATCCCACAGCTATGATCAACGTTGGCAATTTTTCAAAGAAACTTGTCCGGGAGATTTATTTGATGCCGTCGATTTACCTAGTAACAATAACGAACATGGATCTTCGGCTCCCAACATTCTTAGAAGATTCCATAGCCTGACCAGTAATTTAAGAATACTTTACAAGGAAAAGCAATATACCCTCGACTGGGTAACAAAAGTTAGTTCAGAAAACACGTACAACGTCGTTATGCCTGAAGAAAATAATGACGACTTTGATTCAAGTTCTTTCGAAATGGAAGACATTTTCAATGAAACTAGATCTGTCGGAGTTAATACTGATAGAAATCGTGGTATGATTATAAATATACTGATGAATAATTTTAGTCAGCGAAGGATACAATTCTTTCGCAATAAACATAGAAATTTGAAATCAAGTCACAAAGAACAACAAGGAAGACACATTGTCTCAGAAACCAACAGAAAAACGATTATGTTCACCAAAACGTTACACTCATACAATTTAACTATACCTAAAATAAATACAAGGAATATAAAAAACAAGAAAACTGACAAAGACAAATATAAAATGAATTTGAGTAAAGAATTTAAAGGCACAACGAGTGTCATGAAATACTTTATGAAGAGCAGTGACGTGGTAGAGGTTTCTAATCAGAACAGCAATTTACCCGCAAATCATGATAATGCTGATAATTCCCCCATTGACAATACTGAAGACACAACTGATTCTATAGATAATGCAGACTTCTCAGACAAGAAAAAAAAGAAAAAGTTAAAGAACAAGAAACCGAAACGACAAAGAAAACCAAAAGATGTAAAGAAAATTAAAAAGAAAGGATCTCGTCAAGGAATCAACGAAATCCAAACATTCTTTTCTACTCGCTGGAACAATTTTAAGTGCAGTTTAATGAAACCGAAGAGACCAGACAGTCCAACGGCTAAAGAGAAGAAAAATCATAAAAGAAGAAAAAAGCGGAAAGGTTGTATTCGAGAAGTTGAAGAAACTGACACTACTGAGTGTTTCGGAAAAAAAGATATTAAACAGACGAGAAATCTTCGGATATCAGCATTTCTAGCTGAATTGGAGTGGAGTAAAAAAGAATATAGGAAGGAGAAGGAAACTGGAGTAAATAAAGATACGTTTTCATTTCCCGATGGCTCACAGCGGATTACTACTAACAAGATAATAGGCGTAAGTAAAACGAGCGAATACTTTATCCCCCTAATTCTTTTTAACATAAAACATACATACACGAGCGTAATCAAGAAAAGTGCAGTTCGGACTTGCGCAAGGTGGGCTTGTCCCAAAGACACGTCTGTTGTATAGACCACCCCCTTAATTAATTGATTTATTTTATTTACGCATTTTTTGTTATAATACAAATTCGTCAAAATCATCTGCCCAAATTTCAACTGTCCAGGTATCACGGACAAACAGATACACAGGCAACGGACAGACAGACGAATAGTATGTAGAGTCTTAGCAATAGAGTTTGCGTTTTTAACCTTAACACATTAATCACGAAGAAGGTCTTGGTGACCTATAGTAGCCGAGGGTATGCCTTCAATAGCTTTCTGTCTGGAGTTAAATGCTAAATAATTGATAACTATAATTATTCTAAAAAAAATACCTACATATAACATTTTTTTTCTGTAATAGGTCGGCAAACGAGCAGACAGATTACCTGATGGTAAGCAATCAGCGCCGCCCATGGACACTCGCAACGGAGTAGTTACGAGTGCGTTGCCGACCTTTTAGGGATTAGGGATTGAGGAGGGATAGGGGGAGGGGAAGGATTGGGCCTCCGATAACCTCACTCACACGGCGAAACAACGCTGTGGTTGTTTCACGCCGGCTTTCTGTGAGGCCGTGGTATCACTCCGGTCGAGCCGACCCATTCGTGCCGAAGCATGGGTCTCCCACACTTTAACATATAGCTTTCCTAAATATGTTAATATTTCAGATGGTTCACCTTAAGAATTTACCATTCCAATGGCGAGAGGCGCCAAAACAGGACCATCACTGCGACTGCCAAGACAAAAAATGTTCCTGTCCAGAAAAATCTGACAAATGCATGAAAATATTTGGTCGTTTGTCCAAATGTAAGTTTATTATTGAAACTAACTGAAATATAATACTTTACCTATGTGTATACCGAGCCGTCGCCGTTTAGCGACGGTTTTTTTTTAAAGCTGGAATATATCTGCGCCTTTTATTCTGGCGCCTAGAGAGAGTGTCAGACTCTTACTGACTAAAAACCAATAAAAAACAAATAAAAAGAGAAGATAAAATTAATATATTTTTAAAAAAACTTAGACAATTTCTTATAAATAAATGCTACTATTCCATTAACGAATACCTAAATGATAAAAATATATAGACATAAACAGTCACACGCAATACACACACACACACACACACACTCACACACACACACACACACACACACACACACACACACACACACACACACACACACACACACACACACACACACACACACACACACACACACACACACACACACACACACACACACACACACCACACACTTACAGTGTAGATTAAGTGATTCATAATAAAAAAAAAAAAATTCAAACATAAATATATATAACTTACTTGCCTATATAACCTTAGTCTTAGTCAACAAAAATAAGTAAAATAGCCGATAAGAGCTTCCTCTCTCCTATCCCACTTACTTTGCTGTGCCCGACAGGGTCCATATGAACTATTTATAAGTACTACCACCTAAGAATACATGTGGAAAGCAATAAAGTATTGAATTGAATTGAATTGAATTGAACCATCCCGTTACTTCTCCTGCTCCAGGCCGAGGTACACTATGGCGCTTGATCCACAACCCTGGCTGGCCAAGACACGTGGCTTGACTTCATTTAATGAATACATTTTAATAAAATAAATTCACAGTTTCAGGAAGAACGAACAATAATAAAAAAATAGAGAAGTTCCGCAATAAAATAAGTAGTATGGATGCTCCTTCGAGTTTGATGGCAAAAATGTTGAGCACTATCAACGCTAAGCGGGAAAATAGTACCGCAGAGATAGGTGAGACTTGCTATTCTTTACTTCCAAACTAGAACATAATAATATAATTACATTGCATATGTGTTATTTGGGGTTCTATACTATGTTCAAATTGTAACAAGCGCAAAAAAACCTTTTTGACGTTGACATAAAAAATGTTTCACTCACTTATAGGTTTTTGGTGGAAGCATCTTTTGATAGTGCTTAAAAACTTCTTTTTGTTTTCACCGATATTTAACCGGAAAATCATCTTTCAACTGAAAATACTGACTACTCAGTTGATCAAAAGCAGTAGCTAAACTCAATTTGACAGAATTCCCATCTCAAAAATAATATATAATAATCATAAATTCACAACACCAAATGTTAAACAGATAAAAACCAGTGTGCTTGTCTTGATGACTCGCCCTTGGGCGAGGAGTTGAGTCCTGTAGATACAACTGTCTTTTTAGGTATAACCCTGGACGCTAAGCTCCAGTGGGGCCCTCATATAGATGGCTTGTCGAAGAAGCTCAGTTCTGCAGCATATGCCGTTAAAAAAATTAGAAATTTAACAGATATAGATACAGCGCGGTTAGTTTATTTTGGTTATTTCCACAGCATCATGTCATACGGTATTTTGTTGTGGGGGAATGCTGCTGACATTCAGTCTATTTTTGTTCTGCAGAAAAGGGCTATTCGATCAATCTATAATCTTAGTCCGAGGCATTCGCTCAGAGAATTATTTAAGGAATCTAAAATAATGACAGTTGCCTCTCAATATATTTATGAAAATGTAATTCACGCTCATAAAAACAAAAGCTTATTTAAGAAATATAGTGATATACATAATATCAACACGAGGGGGAAAAACAAATATGTTGTGCCTGCCTCCAGGCTTCAGAAAATAAGTAGTTCGTTTAGGTGTCAATGTATACGCTTTTACAATAAAATTCCTAGCGATATTCAAAATTTGAGCCTAAATAAATTTAAAAGTGTACTAAAGGCTAAACTTTGTTGTAAAGCATTTTATAAAATAAAAGACTACTTAGAGGATAGTCAGGCTTGGGAATGAGCCGCTGTAATGTCTGCACAGGTCATGTTGACATGTTTGTAACATAAGTTACACTTTTATATACAATTTGACATTACGTTTATTTTTTTTTTTATACAATGACATGATCACATAGTGTGACATTTTTATTTTTTATTTGACATTTTTTTTTATTTATTTGTTGACATTTTTATTATTTTATATTATTGTTAGTGTAAGGACCGTGTGAGACTTGTCGTGCTTTTTTATCACCAGTCATCTGCGTTCTGACAGTTTGAGTACTTGCGCGACCCACCCAAATGTTCTTTTGATCGGTATTGTTCGTCGGACAACTCAACAGCACTAGCTATATGGTTGCAAACTGACACTTGCGTGCCTGTCTTCAGAACGGGTCCACTTAAACTGGTGTGGTTCTTTCCTCAAAAGACCACTACAGAATGAACTTGCACGGTTCTCTCACATTATGTTATTTTATATTGTCTGGACTTGAAAAGAGACTGACCTCTGAGTTTGTTTCGGCATTTCTTCTCAGAGTAGTCAGATAGGAAATGCCGGCTTCATCTAGTTTTTCACATATAATTTGACGTGTAAAAGTGCCGTTTTAAGGCCTATTTGCAAAAATAAATTCATTGTTTCATTGTTTCAAAATAACAAAAACCTCGAGTAGTTTAAAATGTGCATTGGGCACAGGTTTCGAGCCAAACCGGGGCTTATAATGATGATAATTATGACGTTTGAAAATTGAGCGTCAATGAGTACAGTCACGCAACCGCGCATCGTAGAAGCATAGAAGTATACCTAACAACAAATATATGTATACAATCCAAACTATACTGGACAACATTTTCATTTTTCTTTGTTTCCACAGAGAGCTCAATCTGCATAGCAAAACGAGAGAGTTTTTACAGGCAGGTCACCAAGGAAGTTCTTCCAAATGAAAAGTATGTATAAATTTACTATTTAGATAATGTTTGGCTTGTGTGGATGGATGGAGAGGGAGAGGGAGACCAAACAAAATATGGATGGATTGTGTGAGAAGTGATATGGAAGACAGAGGAGTTAGCGATAGCGTGACGAGTGACAGGACAGAATGGAAGAAAAAGACATATTGCGCCGACCCCAAATAAAACGGGACAAGGGCAGGAAGATGATGATGATGTGTCCAAGGTTTTTCAAGGTACATTTTATATCGGCAATGTTTTAATATACCCAATCTTGACTAGATACTTACTCGTAAAATATTTGTGCAACATTTGCTTTTAATTTCAGACAATTGGATACGGATATGCTATTCAAAAATGAAAATTTCATTTCTGATTACAACCCGGTAAGAAATAATTCTAGAGCTACCTAACTATAAAAATTGAAAAATATGTTTAATACAGCCGTCTGTTAAAATTTGGATAATATTATTTGGGGACTTCTATTCTATTTCTAAGTAAAGTCTTGTGTTAGGAGATCCCACCATTTTTGTACCCTCACCTGAAAACTAATAGAATGTGTTTATACATAATCACATATACACACGCTTCCTTTCATTTAAGTGGTTCCTCATTTAACCCGTTGAATGTCAGTTTATAAGACACAATAGAAAATACATTGTGTCTCGCGTGGATCCACGTTTAGGACATACAAAAGGTTAATGTTTCCAAAAAATATGAAGTTGCTTTATTAAGATTATTTTTTCAGGAACCCTCCGAATCCCTAGCTCAGACATCTAAATTTATCTCTTCTAATACGCTGCTCGAAAAGGAATTAAGTAAGTATGATTCCTAATTTATTTGTGTGAGAGACACAAATGAACATTAAAACTGAATTCGATAAAAGAAGGAGGCTTTTTCATTCAACAGCGTATGTGTAGCTAGGTGTGTGTGACAAGTCAGGTTTCTTTTAAATTTCCATCCAAGGAATTAATTAATTCTATTATTATTTTGTACGCCAACTGTGGCAAAACATGTTGAAACATTAGAGCTATCACCTTACCATCTGCATTTGCATCTATATGTATAATGTTACCCACACATGTTTATACAGTTCAGCCGGGGTTGCGGGGTAAGCGCAATGAGGTACCGCGACCTCGGCCCAGAGCAGGAGAAGGAACAGGGGGGTTTTTAGTCAGTAAGAGTCTGGCATTCCCTTCCGCCCGGCCCTGGGCGGGAGAAGTCATTTGATGATTTACCCCTCACAAAAAAAAAACATGTTTATACAAATAAATTTATTTTTATCTTTAAGGCTGCTCTTTGTAGAATTGTTAATAATGTGTACAATAAAGAAAATTGTATTTTTTTTTTACATTTTTCAGTTATATCTCACAGCAAACATGCAAAGTGTTTGGACTCATCAGTGGTCACTAGTCGATGCCGATGCGACTTTTACGATGACCTGCAAAGGAAATGGACACATGTTAAGAGGTAAATGACAGATTTGACACCTTATGCGGTTATGAACTGCTCATTTGTTAGTACACAAGTTAGAAGTTGTATCTTAAAAATATTATAAGACAATCAGTAGTTTTAACTTGAGTTAAAAATTTTATGAAAATTGCCGCAGAAATAGTTATATCCTGAAATACTAGACTTAGGGCTGATTTTTCAATAGTCAGTTAAATGTTATCTACAAACATTAACGATAACTTATACAAACTAATGCGACAGCATCATAATTATTCATACTTCATACTTTAATCTGGCCATTGAAAAATCAACCCTTATCACTCTTTTCGTTCGGGTGACGCAGGGCGCGTGATTCACAGAAAAAAAGGAATTTTACCAAAAAAGCCGAACAAATTTCAGTGTTTTTAGTTAGTTTAGTATTTTTGGATACTTGAAAATCGTTTGTATTCCAGATCAATCTCGGATAAATTCCAAACACCAATCAGTATGCTGAAGAACTTACGTTCTTCTTTATTTGGACCTTCATGCACCAAATCGACATGCCCGAACAAAACTGAAAATAAAGTCAAACCAAAGATAGTAAGAGAGAAAAAATTCTTTAGAATACCCGGCATAAGGTCCATGAAGAAAAATAAACCTGTCGCAATTCAGACGGATAAAAAAAGCAGATCAAAAATTGGGCAAATAGCAGTACAAACGAATCCTAAGAAAGATATGCAAACGCAACTAACAGAAGATGACGAAGTTGAAAAATGCATCAAAGCTGAAATGAAAAAGAGATTGCAGGAAATATCATCTTCTGCGCAGTTTGACGCAGACGCTTGCAAGAAGCAAATGAAGATGCTTCTTGACTGTTTAAATAAAGAAACTGAAAAAATTGCTAAATCTGTCGAATCAAAATCTGCCAAATCAGGTAGCGAATTGTTTTTTTTTACCAAACTTTCTTAAGATTTAGAGAACGGAGAAAAAGTGTAGGAGAACCAAGCTTCGGCACAACTTGGTCGACTTGATCGGAATGATACCACGGCCTCAAACAAAAACAGCGTGAAACAACCACAGCGTTGTGTTTCTCCGCGTGAGTGAGGTTCCCGGAGGCCTAATCCTTACCCCTTCCCCCATGGCTTACCAATTCTTAAATATCAAAAACCTTTATCCCTAAAACGCACTTGTAATTTGATGTTGCGGGCGTCCATGAGCAAATTGCTTACCATCAGGTAATCCGTCTGCTCGTTGACCGAGATATTAAAAGAGGGATCTTTCACGTAGGCTTCTTTTCTATACTTCGTTAATTTACGCGCTATTTCACTTATACGATGTAGGATTTGTGACGTCAACTGTCGATTATTATCGTAGATTTTCAATGTTTCTGGATATATTAATTAACCTAATTACCTAGTAACAAGAGTACTACCTGTCTAGGTCGTACGTTTACTATAGTTCGTTCCATAATTAGAGACAACGATTTGACATTTCGAGTGTTGCAAGTTTTTTCCATTTCATAAATAGTGAAGTCCCCCGACCGGTATTGACCCAAAGACCGAAACTAAATTCTGGACTTCGTGCATTTTAAAAGCTTTATTATTTTTAGCTACTTTCCCTGGTACCTTCCTGTGCCCATACTAACTCAGTCGGGTTAAAATCACAATGCTAAGGAGGCAAAAGTAAAATACTGACCCCCCTTTTAGCAGCCATCAGTCCACGACGTATCATTCATAATTACTCTTCTCTTTCCGGGAAATCTCCAAAAGCTCGGCTTTCAGCCTAGGTTCCTCAAATATAATGTTTTTCTTTTAGCCAGTCTTGGATTTCGCATTTTTATTTTAAATTATTATTATTAATTCGACTAAACTATAAAAAACATCACCGCAACGTTGTTTTATTTTGCTCAGGGTATTTTATAAAAAACGGTATCGGTATTTTATTTAAAACATCGTACTCGGGCCCATCACTATGATGAAAAATCTGGCCACATTATTTTGTAGTTTGACATTTGCTGTTGTCAAATTGTTGTCTCTAATTATGGAACGAACTATAGTTCTAGTTGATCTAACATGATACAGATTAACCTTCTCTTGCAGGTATTGTTGAGCGTCCAGATTCACCACCTGCAGATAAGGTTAAAATTGCAGTCGAAAAAAGAAGATCGAAATCAACACCAGTAAAAACTGATCAGTCAGGTAAGGCATAGAAAAGGGTATAATATTGTGAGTCTAATCAATCCGTCAGATCAATTTATTATAATGGATATGTATTTTTTTGAATACTAAAATAACACTTATTTTAAGCGTACTAAGGTACAGGACTGACGTCTCTCCCTATATTCATTCGAAAGTTTGTAATTCCGTAAGAAAAGAAAAAATATGTGTCTTATATTTTAACTATGGAGATTCTTACTCGTTCTTCTCCATTCGAATCTACTATTTGGAACGAGCACCTAGCTTCACTGACGAACAGACTGATATAATACTATTCTATTTTGACGTTTCAAAAGTACCTATTTATGGTTTAGTTGGAATAAATGATTTTGATTTTGACTTTGAATTTGAACTCCGAGAATAAATGTCCAGACGGACGTCAAGACAAATCAGTCACCATAACTATTGATTTTTAATAATACAAATTAATGTTTTTTTCATTCACTTTGATAAACATTTCCTTGCAGAAGTTGGTGAGTATCCAAAATCACAGCCTCCATCGAAAGATGACGTCGTGATTGAAAAACCAACTGGGAGATCGGCAGCGGTAAAACCTAAACACTCAGGTAAAGAATAGCATTTTATTAAACCTGACGACTACACACATTACAGTATTACGTATAAACGAGATGATTTCATGTTGGACTGGTTTAGCAACTTCTTGTTCTATTGGAAAATATACTTTTTAGGGAGTACCTAAAATAAACTTATCATCCTGAGAGTTCTTACATGAAATGTTGTCTCACATCTTTAAAGTTGCTGCATATTATATGACTTAAGGCGCGGGATAATAAAAATGAAAGAAAGACCTATCAGCTAATTACATGTATATATATCGCACCGCGTAATGTGATCTATGAATCTGAATATGTGTGACATTTGTATTTAAGTGGATCCTGAGCCAAAATTCACCACAATAAGAAAAAGCAATTATGAGTCCACGTTTCCTCATGATGTTTTCCTTCACCGTATGGCAGATACGGTGAAGAAAAACATCATGAATAAACATGGACTTATAATTTCTAATTATAAGTTAGGAATCACCAATCCAGAGTGATTAATGCTCAAAACTTCTTCGTGTGAGAAGAGGCCTTCGCTCAGCAGCGGCTATTATACGGTGATGAGGATGATGTTCCAATATGACACAAATTTGCCTTTCCGTAGGAGATGTTGATAGTCCAGAGCCACAGTCACCACAGTCGCCACAGTCGCCACAGTCTCCAAAAAAAGACGACAAAGTAGTTGAAAAAAAAGTTGTGAAAACTGCACCAAAATCTTGCCCCTCAGGTAAAGAATTTGAATTAAGTTAAACCCCTCTAAGTTGGTCGTATGACCAGTTTTTGTTATCTTTAGAACCGTTAAGTATTGAACCAATATTCCCAAATGAAATAGCAGGAAGTGACCTCTGATGCAATTAATCCATATTGGATACTTTACATATTCCAGATATACAAATTAAGTTTTTATAATTATTACAATGCTACTGATCAAATATAACACAGATTTTACTTCTCTTGTAGAAAATATTGAGTATTCAGAACAGCATCGAAAAAAAGACGACATCGTAGTTGAAAAAAAAATGGCGAGACCAGCACCACCAAAAAAATCTAGCCATTCTGGTAAGCAATGACTTTTTTATAAACCTGATATTAATCAAGTAGCTTAATTACCTTTTTAACTTACTGTCTGGACGATAAGGTATTCAGTAAATTGCGTCCTCGTTAATAAATTTCCTTAACGCTCTTGTGAGGTTACCGGAGTCCCAATCCTAAAAACTCGTCCCAAGTCTAGGCAAAGGACCACCAAAGATAGTGCGCGACAGAGTTGACGTCCAGCCAGGGTTACTCGTGCAAACGCAATCATATACCCTAGCCCTGGGCTGCAAGATGGGGCCCAATAAGGCTGATGTTTAGCTGGGGTTGTGGGGCTAGCGTAATAAGGTACCGTGGCCTCAGCCTGGAGCAGGAGAAATGGGGGTTTCTAGTCAGTAAGAATCAGACACTCCTCGGCTAAACTTGACCAAGATTCTTAGCCATTTAATGACGATGAAGCCTTATAATAAAATTTATAAAAAAATGATTTTTCGAACTCTTTTCAATTGGAATTTCCCAAACTAAAATATCAGGAAGTAATCTCTTTAAAGTATGTCCAGTTGGGTTTGACCCACACTTACAAGTTCCTGTATATTCTAGATACAAATTAAGTTTTCCAGTGATCCAATACGTACACAGTAAATTTTCCTTGTAGGAGTTGTTGAGTGTCAAGAGGAACCGTGCCCAACTAAAGAGGAATGCATGATTGGAAAAACGAAATCGAAGACTTCAGCGCGCAAAATTGGTAAGCTGGTTTAAACTATTTTTTTGTTGTCAGGATGACGATGAGTTGAGAATAGGGACATTTAAATATGCATGGGTAGTAGGTATTGAGGGTAGCGGCTGGTCGACTTTATAAGGAGAGAGAGACTCTATCTGCTGAACTCCAACTTCCAGAAGCGACTAACCAGGAAAAAGAGGTGTACAAAAGCCTGATCTTTCAATTTCAACTAAAAATCAGATCAACTTACCGAGTAGCGTATATTCAGTGATGTCCCCTGTGATTGGTAAAGACCGGTGGTAATCATCGCATTGTTAGAGGTACACTGAATATCAAAGTCAAGCTGGAAAGGTCTGGTGAAGTCCACGCTCCGTCCTAGCCGCGTCCAGATCCAAAACTTCACAATCGCCTCCAGCAATTAACCGATTGCAAAACCGTGGGCGAGATGAATAATGAGTTGGTGGAAACTTTCATAGCAGTGTGTTCAGATTCTTTAAGATACGCCCCGAAATAAACTTCAACAACACTCAAAGGGAACAATAAAGCTCCTGAAGGACCCACACGAATTGTAACTGCAGTCTTCGGTTGATATTTCTGTTTACAGTAAACTCAATAGGCTTCATTGTTTTATTTAATTTGCTATATACAGAAGCTGTTGGTGTACCTTTTTTAAATAAATAAATAAATAAATAGGCGAATTTCGAAGTCCATGCTTAGAAACCTGTGTGTAAACCACTTCTTACGAATCAGTGTTGGCAAGAAATTTGTTTATTTGGCAAAGCCAAATGACGAAACTGAACAGAATCTTATAAAGTACCAGGCGATGCCTTGTAATGGAACGCTGCTTCAATCTGTTAAGCACACCTAGCTTCTTCGAGGCTAACTTAAGTTGGATCGTAGCAGTTGGTCCGATTTAACCCCCACAAAGACATTGAGCCGCAAAAACCCGTCGTTGGCCGTATCGCAACATTTTTAGAGCACTTTCTTAACGGTCTTGGCCGGTATTGGAATATTTGGTATCGACTACGAGAGAAGTCTAGTCCCGCGGTCATCTAGAGGATAAGCCTAAGTTATACGTCTACCTTGCCACATTCTACGGTTATGCTTCTTTCTGCAAAAAATCAGGAGACCCATTTGTACGACCCATGTGCGATTTTCGCAAAACTTTCTGCTTAGCGCAAGCAGAAAGTATCGCGAAAATCTACGCGAAATGCTTAACTTTGAAATGATCGCTTACGATCTTTAAACCTACAAGAAACGTGCATACTCTTTTTTTAAAAGGCCGACAACGCACTTGTGCCTCCTCTGGTTCTGCAGGTGTCCATGGGTGGCACTGATCACTTACCATTAGGTTATCCGCCTGCTCGTTTGCCTCCTATTCCATAAAAATCAATCTAGAGATAAATTGTCTTAAAATTCTATGTAAATGTAACACAGATCTGTATTCCCTTATAGGAGCTATTGAACGTTCAGGGACACAGTCTCCAACTAAAGATGAGATTGATACAACAAGAAATAAACAAAAATATGCCGCACGAAGACCTGGTAAGCCGATTGTAAATTAGTTTTTACCCGACTACGGCAAAGCAAAAGGAGGGTTATGATTTTGACACGCTATGTATGTATGTATGTATGTTCATCTGTTCCCTCCTAACGTCTAAACTACTAATGAAAATTCGACATAATATGACATATCATTAGAAACGTCTTAATTGTCCGCTGGTTATAGGCTATATGATGTATCACAAAATCTAATGTGGCGTCCTCTAGCGGACAAAACAACCAGAGCATTCATTTTAAAGCGCTTGACTTGTACGATTTTGAATATATATATATTACTAGCACTTGCTTGTGACTTTGCTTGTATTCATGGGCTAATTGCATATGATTCACATCTTTTCGTTCATACCTTTTAGTACTTAATATTAGTTCATTCTTTTGTTGATATTATGCGTTTACATCAAAATAGTACAAATAATAAAAAGTACAAAACTTAAGCCCAACTACAACAAAAACCGACGCTGAAAAAGTATAGAACAAGATTTTCAGAATACTGAAAGGCATCACACGTTACGTTTACTTACCATAAATGCACTTTGATAACGTGTGACTACGCCTTTTCAGAAAAAAGTATTCGTTTTGTTGAATAGTAGTTGGAAAGGGTACTCTCCAACTAGTCCAACCAACATTGTCAAAAAACTATCTCCTCTATGTCTCTGTCCCATTTGATCAATACTTCCCTTGTCCCTGTACATTTGAGATTATAATAAATTTTTTTTACAATGTAAGTGAATCCAACAAAAAATAGATTTAGGTACCTTCTCTTGCAGGAGTTGAGCGTCCTGGGACCCAGTCACCGTACAAAGATTGCATCCCATTTGAAGATAAAATAACGAAAACTAACGCCCAAAAGCCTGGTATGCAGTTTGTTAATTTCTTCACAATTATTCTTGACATAAAATGGGTAGGTTTTATTACGATGCTAGTCGTTTGTCAAACTTCCCCTCACCCTTAAATCTCTGAAACCCGTATCCCCAAAAAGCCGGCAACGCACTCATAATTCCTCTGGGTGTCCACTGCTGGTACTGATTGCATACCATCAGGTAATCTGTCTGGTCGTTTTTCGACCTTGTCGGCGAACGAGCAATGGACACCCGCAACTGAGGAGTTACGAGTGCGTTGCCGACCTATTAGGGATTTGGAGATTTAGGGATTGAGGAGGGATTGGGGGAGGGGAAGGATTGGGCCTCCGGTAACCTCACTCACACGGCGAAACACAACGCTGTGGTTGTTTCACGCCGGTTTTCTGTGAGGCCGTGGTATCACTCTGGTCGAGCCGACCCATTCGTGCCGAAGCATGGCTCTCCCACACTTCCGACCTATCACATAAAAAAGGGCTTACAATCATAACAGATTAACCTTTTCTTTAGGAAATCTACGATCACGGCCTACTTCTAAACCTGACGTTGCAATTGGAAAAAAGGTCTCAAGATCTGCATCACCAGCTAATCCAAGTAAGGCTTTAGCAAATCTTCTTTTAACAACATTATCTAGATTTAGTATAAAGGCTTTATATTAGTATAATTATGGCTTTATACTAATATTATAAAGAGGTAAAATTTGTACGTTTGTATGTAGGGGGTAATCTTTGGAACCGCTGGTCGGATTGCTAAAATTTTTTCACTGATAGATAGCTACGATGTCCCTGAGTGCTATAGGCTATAAAACATCACGCTACGATCAAATGGAGCTGAGCAGCGGGTGAAACCGCGCAAGAGTAGCTAGTTAGTATACAAAGCCTTTAAAATTTCCCACGACATCCTTGTAAGTAAGAGTAGGTCCTAGGTCCGTGGCCTAAACGACAAGGCGCTAGCTTCTTATACATAAGGATTCGCGGTTTCGAAACCTGACAAGTACCAATGAGACGTTTTCTAAGTCATATGTATTTTCGTAGTTCATTTTTTAAACACCACAGACTTCATTAAGGAAGACATCGTGAGGAAACATTGACTTATAATTTCTAATTATAAATTTGAAATCGCCAATCCGCCTTGAGCTATAGTAGCTACATATACATAGCTAGTATATACATATAAATAAAAATAGTATTATATGTTTTTTTTTGTTGTCCTTTCACCAATAATTGACCGTGAGCCTTAGCAGGGTTCCAGCAAATCAGCGTTGAGTGCTACCGTTCATATCCCATGTGTACAAGAAAAGTTTATATAATTAATTCAATCTTTTTTAGGACTGAGACTCGACGATGAATGTGAAAAAAGAACAGGTAATATTTAAATTCAGATTTAAATTTTGATTTTCTAAAATGGGTGTAAGATAAAATAAAATAAAAATGAAAATTCCCAATTATTTCAAGAAATATATGAAAGTTGATCCAAAATTCGGACTTCGGTATTTAAAATAAATAATGTACAATTGGGTAGTTTCCTAGGTCAAAAATAAATTAATTCGATGTTTCAATACAATAAAATATTGAAAAATAACTATACTTTTAAAAAAATAACTATTCATCAATCGATCGATACACCAAGTTTTAGATTTTTTTTAGCTAATTATTGTGAAATAAGTAAGCTATTTGACGCAAAAATATTATGACGTCATAGCTCAGTTTTTCATATAAATTTCATGGAAAAGTATCGTTTTTGACGTTTGGATAAAAGTATTGAATTTGACTAGTTGGAAACTACCGTATTCTGGCGATGTTGGACCAACTCTCAGTTATTGTTCTTATTGGCCTTTAAGCCTTTATTGTCATGTACTCAAGGCACAGAAGAATCTTGTTTTTTTTATATTCTAAAATATGTACAGAGTAAACTTTATAATAATAGTTTCTTTTTTTGCAGCGAATCGATCAATAAATGCTAAGCCTGACACAGCAAGTGGGTGAGTTTTGTTTAATTAATTTTGTTAAATAATAAGGTAAACAATTTTCTTATAGAGGTAGGCATGTGACTAGTTTAGCTCCAGTCCACTGTCTAAACTGTTAGAATAGAATAGAATAGAATTCATTTATTTGCAGGAAGCATGGTACAGAAAGATCTTAGCGCTAAACAGTGAAACTTCACACTTCGCCATAATATAGATGGCATGCAAAATTTTATCATTTTGAGGGTTCATTGTATGTATACCAATGAAATGTCAATTACATGTGCAGAATAAATATACAATTGATTACCAAATCACCGAAAATACAAAATAATATGTCAGTACAAAAATTAATTAATTAACACAGTAGTCAAGGTATAAGAAAGTCAAGTTTACAATTATTACAATTAATGTCTCTGTTTTTGTAGCAAACGTCAAAATTGTAGTAAAAGATTTCAATGTCACCTTAAGAAGTCATTCAAGTTGTAAAAACTATGTTCTATTAGCCACCTATATAGTTTAGTTTTAAACAAATTCAAAGGAAGCTCTCTGATACATTTCGAAATTTTATTAAGTATTTTTACGGCCATTATAGAGCAGTTCTTTTGACAATAGGCTGTCTGTTTCTACATTAGTTGAGGAAAATAAACACATTTTTATTTTTTCATTTCTTTTTTTACTATTTGAACTTGAATTGGTTAGGTTGATACCAATATCAACACTCATATCATCTTTTCAATTACAGCTTTTGAATACCTTTGAAAAATGGAGTAGATAGCTTAATGTGATCAATGTCTTGACTATTTCAGAATATGTCAAGTGAACGGCTCCTGTACTTTATGCAATCGCTCCGTCTCACGCGTGCACAAACCTCCTAGATGCACCAATTGTGTTAATGCTGCCGTAGGATCTTCTTTGCAGAATTTGTGTGGTAAGTTGTACTGAACCTAATTCTTACTTACTCGGCAAAATCCACTGGCTATTGGACTGGATATTTTTTTATAACTTTGCCCCACTCTATGATTTTATCCTGTGTCGTGGGTGCGTTTAGAAACGTACAATTCCACATGCACATCACACCCAGACCCGAAACAACATTTTGTGGATCACATAAAGAGTTGTTCCGTGCGGGAATCGAGCCTGCGACACGTTGCGGGGCAGTCAGTTGCCCAGCCACCGCGCCAACCGTGCAGTCATCAATGAAGAGACACTTAAATAAAATGTATACAGTTATCCTTTACCTACCCTACTGAACAGACAGTGAAGACAGTAAAGTTCCCTAAGATCGGAAAAGCAGGACCCTCCGACCAGAGGAAGTTGTAAAATTTACTAGCGTGATGTAGGACTTATGACGCCATTTGTTGAACATTGTCGTCGATCTATCGTGCGTCGCCACATACTAATAAAAATATCCTCTACACTCATAATAATCGAAGTATTTCAGACTAAGCCCAATCACTAGACCAACAGATCAAAATTCAACCAAAGATTAGTCACTAACTTTTAGAACTATCTCTATCACCTTCCCCTTTTTAGACGAAGGAATTCAAGGCGTTCCACAGGACACGTGCACTTGTGCCACCCAGCACGAATTGCCGTATGACACTCGGAATAGAAAGAGAAAATCGACTACAATTAAGCCTCTCCTGGTCAGCTCCTTCACTCTAGGCGACGAGTATCCTATCACAACAAAGAAGAATGAACATAAACGTAAGTAGAGCTATAGGGATAGTACATACCCCACATTTTGGTCATTTAATATTTAAAAACAATCAAAAATATCTACGTAGTCTAATCTTTACTATGTGTTGCCTCCGCTAATACAGCTGAACTTCTGGCTCGTCTTTGCAAAAATAATAATCGTGATGCGAGTCTTGATATCTCAAGTGAATAACACTACGTATAGGCCAATTTCATTATCAGCCAGGTTTCGAAACCACACCCTTATGCATGAGAAGCGGGCTCCTTAACCTTCGGGCCACCACGACATTTTTTTTATGCAAACCAGCCTTTGAATTACCTGATAGTAAACAATTGAGAACGCCAGAGAATTTATGAATTTGCGACAGGCCTTTTGGGGATTAGGGTTTCGGAGATTTAGGGATAAGGGAGTGGAAGGATGGAAACCTCACTCACACAGCATAACCAAAACACAGCGCTGTAGTTGTTCCGCACCGATTTTCTATGAGGCCTTGGTGTCACTCCAGTCGAGCCGACACCCGTGCGTGCTGAAGCTTGGCTCTCCCATACTTAAAACATATAGGCAACCGTGCTTAATTGGCGACTACATCGGGTGATCTGCTACCAGGTAAGTTAATGACCGATAGTATCGAATTGATACATAGACGGGTAATTCTTTTTCAGATGCGGTCCACAAAGGCACGAAGTTTTCTAAAGATCGGAGGTCGAAGGACAAAGGCAAGATACATGATTTCCAGAACAAGTCATACAACGATCGACCAACTAACTCGAACTCCTTTGAAGGTCTTTAGATGAATCTACATAGCAGCTAACGAAAGACGTATTCACAATACATATATTTTATGTACTTTCTTGTTTTAGATGAGAAATCTGGAGTATATAGACGGGATCAAAAACTATCGCTAGAAAGCAGCTTATGTATTTTAAATCGTGAGTTCGAAATATGACTCCTATGTACAGTCAGCTCCAAAAGTCGATGAACAGAATCAACTTTCCAAAACACCTGTTCACAATAAAATGCCATAAGTTATAGTCACAACTAGGAAACAAAATAGCCTGTACATCAGAAATTTACAAAAGTCGTTAAACACGACTAATTCAAAAGTATCTGTGCACTATAGTATTCCTAAAGTCGCTGTACACCATCAATCCAAATGTCGCTGAACATCATTGTATCAAAAGTCAGTAAACAGCAGAAAAGTCAAAATTAGGTTAACAAAGTACATTTTTAATGTTGCACTGTGTTAATATAATTTAGACGCTTATGTTGTTCAGCTACTTTTGGGACAGTGCTCGCTAGACCGTAATAATGTATTTTAACACGTAAGTATCCATTTCAATACTTATATACACATCAATTATATTTTTAACCGACTTCAAAAAAGGAGTAAGTGCTCAATTCGATGCGGATTTTTTTTTGTATGTACACCGATTACTCGAAGGCGACTGGACCGATTTGCAAAATTCTTTTTATTTGATAGGGTTTACCTGCTGATTTGGTCCCATTGTCATGAGGTCAGAATCTGATGATGGAATTCTGGAGAAATCGAGGGGAACTTTCAATAATTGCAGGGGCGAGTAGTTCTTTTGTATGATGTTTAAGTAGGTCTTTTACAACACTATAACTTGACGAAGGTCGAAGTCGACCTGATGTTGGAGCTGGAAGACAGTCGAGGGATCTCCTTGACTATTTGGAGTAGTTGCCTTGTGTTTGAGCTTGAATGATTCGTATTGGCACTTTGCACCAGGCTTGGTCGTAACTGTCATTAAGGGTCTGATGATGATGATGACAGGGAACTCCTGAACGGATTATAGTAACTACTTCGTGGTTGAACTTAATTCATATTGTCAGTAATCATACTAATATATAATATGAAATAACATAAACATCACTCTAACAATCTACGAAGTAGACAACTTTGTACACAGAAAATTTATTTTTTATGTTTGTGTTTACTTTTTGAAGTCGTTTGTTTTTTTCCTTTTAGGTAAATAGAAAATAATCTCGTAGTAGGTGCCAAGTAAATGCTACATACCAAACAACAACAGTATTAGAAACGTGTATTGATCGGTACCTAGCAATCATCATTGTTTTACTTGGTACCTGGCACTTAATTGGCACCGACTTCGAGATTATAAAAATAGTTATTAATATTATTAAATTTTCTATTTACCTAAATGAAAGCATGTACTACTTTGTACACAGAAAAATATTTTTTTTGTTGAAAATTATTTTATTTCACCATTTTAAGTGATATGCAGAGCAAGCAAGGATAATGCGTTTCGAATGAGAAGACGACGGCTACTTGAGACCGAAAATCACGGTAATAGTAGTAGTCCTTAGTGTTCAGTTCTGTAAATTGTTGAGGAATGCCCTCGACTGTCAATGGTCGCCAACATTATGTATACTGTAGACCTTCAACATAGTTACATAATCTATATAGGTGCAAAGTGCTCACCAATACGAATCATTCCAGCGCAAACACAAAATAATTTCTCCAAATAGTCAAAGAGATCCCTCTACGGTCTTCCGGCTCCATCATCAGATTTACTGCATAACTTCATTGTAACTCATGTAGGTGCGAAGTTTTTATTGATATAAATGAATTAATTCCAAACACGGGGTAGTTACTGGAAACCGTTCAGGCGTTCTCTGAGCTGTCCTTCGTTGTCATCATCAGACCCCTAGTGACAGTCACTACCAGTCTTGGTGCAAAGTGCTCACCAAGAAGAATTATTCAAGCCCAAACACAAGGCAATTACTCCAAATAGTCAAGGAAATCCCTCGACTGTCTATCGGTTTCATCATCATCAGGTCGAGTTCAACCATCGACAAGTTGACGTAAATACCTGAATAACTTCAGAAAATATACGAATCATGCCTACTGTCCCTATAAAATTTTAAATTTCCACTCGATTTTTCTGGGTTTCCATCATCAGATCTTGACCTGGTGAACATGGGACAACCTGGAAATCATACCCTACTGAACAAAAAAAAATCCAAATCGGTCCAGGAGCCTTAAGTAATCGGTTAACATCAAAAAAAAATCCCGACGAATTGAGAACCTCCACCTTTTTTTAAAGTCGGTTAAAAATATGATTAATTTTAAAATAAGTATTGAAAAAGATACTAACGTGTTAATATAAATTATTAAGTTACACTGTCCCAAAAGTAGCTGAACAACATAAGCGTCAAAATTATATTAACACAGTGCAACATTAAAAATGTACTTTGTTAACCTAATTTTGACTTTTCTGCTGTTTACTGACTTTTGATACAATGATGTTCAGCGACATTTGGATTGATGGTGTACAGCGACTTTAGGAATACTATAGTGCACAGATACTTTTGAATTAGTCGTGTTTAACGACTTTTGTAAATTTCTGATGTACAGGCTATTTTGTTTCCTAGTTGTGACTATAACTTATGGCATTTTATTGTGAACAGGTGTTTTGGAAAGTTGATTCTGTTCATCGACTTTTGGAGCTGACTGTACTTCTCAATATAAAATTTTCTTTTTTAAAAGTACTATGTACGTGTATGCTTAGCAACTATGATACAGACAAATATCATTCCACTTTTCTAGATGCATTTAAAACATCACAATCTCATGAGTCCACCGAGACGATTTTAAAATGACTCTTTATTTCAGGTAGCTCGCACACGGCAAGACAATCAGCCGAAGTTTTCACAGACCCAGAGACGGACACATCAATCAGTTCCATATCATTTAGAAGCGATGAAACCAGGACAGACACAACAATATGTAGCATAGCCACCGTCGACTACGAAAACTCTCCAAGACGCAGAAAATTTCGTGTAAAAGTATTCACAAAAACCAATCAAGCCACCCTTACAGACAAAACTAAACTCTGTGACACAGGCACTGTGACTCAAGATTGGTGGAGCCCCTTAGTGGAAAGAAAGAGTGAAGAAATTATTCAGGATAAAAAGAAAGGGTTGGTTGAGAAGCAGAAGAATAATAAGGAGCCGAAGCAATGGAAAGAATTGAAGTTGAAGAAGAAGAGAAGAAACTGCGGTGTGACGACTGATGGTAGGATCGTTACTTTTAGGAGTAGGACGCAGATTATACCTGCGGGTGAGTCTTCGTCGAAGTTGAGCTCATTCAGTCGCCTCACCGGTAGCGATTCGAATCTAAAATGTTGACCATTGCAGCAATAATGTTGTCTCACAATCCATTATGTTTCTGTTATCGTGCTTAGACGAATCTAGGACTAATATAATCAATCAATTTAAGGACTACAGATAAAACTAATCTAGCCAACTTTCTGAAATCCAGTTCACCCCTCAGTCGAGTCATTTGCAAAGATTCATAATGGCTAAGACCGTGAAAGGAAAAACAATTATTTCTTTGTGTTTTCTAGCAATTTCTATTGTATTGAGCGCTGCAATATCTTTGATTTTAGGTTTCGCACCTGGCGCCAATGATATCATGTCTCCATCGCGTTATCTTCTTGAAGTAAGTCTTGTAGATTATATTCCATCTACATAGTTTAAAAAAATGTTGATCTCTTTCTTACACCTCATTTCCCTAAAATGGGGGATGAAAGTTATATTGGTTAGGTTAGGGGTGAACATCGGTATGTAGACTGTACTGATGAAAAATACCTGCCTTATTATTTTTTGAAGTTTATCCTTCTGTTCTTAATATACCCGAAAAATATGTTATAAAAAAAATATTATTCAGTTTGGAGTTTTCTTCTGGTTCTTCTCGTGAGTCGAATCTAACTAATAATAATATTGTTATGTTAATACCATTTTCTCATAAATATTCCAGTCTCAAAGGTATTATAACGAACTCTTCGCATACAACTTTGTTCCTGCTCAAATGGACTTGAACCACGTCTCCCAAAACCAAAAGGAAAAGGAGAAGCTACGATCCCCCTTGGGCACCAGAAGAAGTGAGTCGCACTATTATCTTTGTCAGCGCCGAAAGTTCCACATCACCATATGATTATTTAACAAGGATCTCATCGTTATAAGGGGGTTGCCATTATGCACAATTTACTGACAGACTATTACTCTATTTTGAAGTTTAAAAAGTACTTATTTATGGTATAGTTGGGATAAATGATTTTGAAATTGACTTTACTACATACTCTTTTTTAAAATGTTGGATCTTCATATCTGTTCTGCTCTGGTTTTGCGGATATCCATCATTGGAGCTAATATCTAACCAATAACCATCACGCGATTGGACACCATGGAAATTTTGACACTTACGCCAGCTTGAGAATCTCAATTAAGTCCGTGTTAAAGAAAGCTACATCTAATGTTAAAAATGTATTTTAGTCAGCTTAAAATAAATTGTCTTGGAATTTTTAGACTTTGTAAAATCTCTGCTTAAGAACGTACCTACCCCCACTTATTGTATTCCAGTTGGCGTGGGGATAGGGATGCAAGGTAAAATACAAAAAAAATCCAATGTTAAGGTTTTCATAATAAACTGTGACCTCATTATTAGCAGGTACCTACTCATTATAAAAAACAATGTCCATTGTTAGCATATACCTAATTTTTCATGTGAGTTTATCCCAAGATGAATTCTTTCCTAATTTTCTTATCAAGCCTTAAGTAATCTAGTGACAGGACTATATTGAGACATTTTTTTATAGCATAGGAAGGCAAACGGGCATATTCGCCTGATGGTGAACAATCAACCCCATCTATAGAGACCCGAAAAATCTGAGGAGTTAAGAATGCGTTGCCATCTTTTTGGGATACGGAGATCAAAGTCGATCATTTTGATGGTGGATAACAACGCAAATATTGTCTTGAGGTCGTTTTACATGAGGTCTTGAAATTGGTAGAGTCCGCTCCCATAAAGACAACTCTCACAAATAATATTTTACGTTTTCACAGACCACCATCGCAAAACAAAAAGACTGGAAGATTGCTACTCTCCTAGAAAACAAGTTAGTAGCACATTACTCTTCAACAATACGTGGGCATTGCGCCTCACCTATTTCTGATCGTGTCAATGCCTAAATGGGATAAGAATGCACTCTTACTGGTTGGTTAACATGGAACAGGACAATCCAAGCAACGCACGTCATAAATTGACGATCCCTTAACGTAAAGTAAACCTGCTCTAGACACCTGACCATGCCGGGGTTGCGGGGTAAGCGCAATGAGGCACCGCGACCTTGGCCCAGAGCAGGAAAAGGAACGGAGCGGTTTTAGTCAATAAGAGTCTGATACTCTCTCTAGCCTTACCCTGGGCGGGAGAAGAAGTCACAGGATGATTTTGCCGTAACAAAAAAAAAAGGACCTGATCATTCAAATGAGGGACACAACGCAAACGCATAAATTGGGCCACTCCGTATCTTCTTCACACTTAAAATACATACTTTGGATTGAGATTCGTTGAAGACGTTTTGGTCATATAATTTAGCCAGAAATACAACACATGTAGACATTATTGTATTATGTATTTTTGACAACCTTTAGCCAATAGCCTCGATGCCCATGTCACTCGAATGAAAAGTGCCTATATGTTATTCCAGATTGCAATCCATCTCTGTGCCTATTTACATTAAACTCCATGCAGTAGCTTACGTAAAAAAATAACAAACATTCATCCATACTTACATAATTTCGCGATGCTGTCAATCTTACAGATATCCCCAAGGAAACGGTACACGGATCCTGAATCTCCTCGCAAAAGACATACTTCCAAACATACTAACTATCGGTAAGCATAAGTTTGTTGATGGACTCGAAATCTAGCTGAAGGCCTAGTGAAAGTGCAATGTCAGGTTAGTCACCATCTATCAGCGATTGCAGGTAAAAATGCAATAATTGATCCTTTTAGCGCAGGAAAAGGACCGAGGATGGTTTTTGATATAGTTGTAGTCTGACATTCCTTCTCGCTCTACCCTGGGTGGGCAAAGTAATTTGATGATTTTCCACCAATCTCAAAAAAGCCACAATGAACCACATAAATTGAGATGATGAAATGAGGGTGGTGGAACAGGCTTTTGGGTCTATTTACATTTGACGAAAAAAGCGTCGCGTATCATCGGTCAAACAGCACCAGCACAGATAATAAAATAACCAACAGAAACCGATGATGCGTTAGTGTGCTTCGAACATTCATGATATAGGTACTCCACTACTTTACCGTCAGATGTGGTAGCAGCCTTCTGATGGTAGTGATCTGTACGGCGCGTACCTCATAGCGCTAATAGACCACCACTAACGAGTCCTTTTAGGGCAGATGCTCAGCCGGGACAGCGGGGCAAGCGTATGAGGCACCGCGACCTCGGCCTTAGGAGAACTAACGGGGGGAGGAAGGGACTGACACTGATTCAAAAAAAAAGTCAAAAGTCATTTAATTAATTTTGGCCACAGTGGTCACTTTTGAACTTCAACCAAAAAAGAAAAATAAAATGTATTTCAATAGGTATAAATGTATAAATTTATGCGTGTCAGTCTGTCCGTCTGTCCTCTAGTGAAGCTACTTGCTCGTTCCAAGGTGTAGATTCCGATGGAGAAGAACGAGCAAGAAACTCCATGGTTACTCAATACACAATTGGATTTCAAAATTGTTTAGTTTAATATATTATTAAATTTGTTTCAGGCATTATTCAAAATATTACTCTCCGAGAAAAGACAAATAAAAAAAAAGAGAAACTATGAAAGCATCTAGGTATAAAAATATTTTTACTTACAGCAATGTAATTTATAAACTATGTTTAATTATGTAAATTATTATATTTTTGTGTCGATGTGTCTGTCCAAATTGTTTGTTGATTATATTTTTGATGCTAAATAAAGTATTTTTTGTTTCAATTATTTTTATTTGATCATATTACCATAAACTATCACATCGTCTTAATATGCAGCTGTAGACCGTTAGAATTAAACCTAAATGATTCACTTTTTGCTAGTTACTAATAAGGTTCATCTCAAAGGTCTGGCTGAAGATGCCATAAGAGATAGACAGTCATTTGGTATTTAACAGCTTTTTGCTGTGATGACCTTAAGTAAGAGGCCAACAGACCAACCAAATATACCACGAAGCTATGGCTACTTCTTATACTATACCAATAAGAAGTAGCCAACAATCTTTGCGTTCCTAATGATATATTGATCCACAACATTACAGTCTAAGCGTACCAGATCTACAAGTGGTTCATCAAAAAATGCAAACCAAAACTATCTTACAATTGAGAATTTTCAAAAATCAAAACACCCTGACTCAACTTGACCTGGAAATTGTTCTCGTAAATTATCTTTCTAGATCCGGAATTGCGGGTCAAGCGCAATAAGGTACCGTAGGTTGTTTTTAGTCAACAACCCAGTCCCCGGCGAGAGAACCTCGTTCCTTTCCCATCAAAAAACCTATCTTTGTAGATACCGTAAAACGGGATGAATAGAATTTGAGGGGTGGATAGATACACGAAAGGGGTGAATAGATGTTGGCGAATTTTCCTTGTATCTATTCACCCCTCTTCCGTGTCTATTTACCCCTCGAATTCTATTCACCTCGTTTTACCGTAGTCCACTAGTAGGACCCATCCGTTGTGATTCTTTGACGCGCGCAGAACTCAACGAACGTACGGCGCGTTGAGTCCGCACGCCCCTATATAAGAGTCAATAGACCTCCACAGGCGGGGCCCTTAAGGGCTGACGTTCAGCCAGGGTTGCAGTGTAAGCGCAATGACGTACCGCGGCCTCGGCCTCGAGCAGGAGAAGGAACGAAACGGTTTTTAGTCAGTAAGACTCTCCTTCCCGCTCCAGGAGAAGTCATTTCATGATTATCACATCACAAAAAATGTATTTATAACAAAAAAAAAGGTATGTTCTTGGTCGTGTGGCGAGTCACGGACCCCTGCTTACGGTGACCGAAGCATGTCCCAAGATTTCCAAGGCCCAGAACCTAAAGCCCATGGGTTTTAAGTACCTTCATAAAACAGCGGGAAAACTGCTTACAGCGGGATCCACCTAACAGTGTCTGTGGGAGCCTTTAACATAATGCTATTGTACTATCTGGGAAAAATGTTGTATTATTTTTTGATTGGTTACCGAGTTAATCCAAATATTATGGTTATGGCACTATTCTGAAAATATTAGCAAAAGAAAATCCCTGTGCGTTTTTTGTAGGGTATGAAAAACGATAAACGATCAGGCGCACAAGAAGAGTTAGAAGCGCGGTTCCGATATTTTGTGCGTGGATTTAAAATAAACATTTGGCTACAGCTAAAAAGTTATTTGCAGAGAACTGAAGAACAGAAGATTGGAATGAATGGGAATTGAGACAACTACGGCGCAAAATACTTATATAAAAGCCAAAATACAGGCCTGCTCTTAGGGATATTTTTTTATTTAATAGGTCGGTAAACGAGTCGACAGATTACCTGATGGTAAGCAATCAGCGCCGCCCATGGACACTCGCAACAGAGGAGTTACGAGTGCGTTGCCGACCTTTTAGGGATTAGGGATTTGGAGATTTAGGGATTGAGGAGGGATTGGGGATGGGGAAGGATTGGGCCTCCGGTAACCTCACTCACGCGGCGAAACACAACGCAGTGGTTATTTCACGCCGGTTTTCTGTGAGGCCGTGGTATCACTCCGGTCGAGCCGACCCATTCGTGCCGAAGCATGGCTCTCCCACACTTAGCAAAGAATTTAATACGATGATTTACTCACGTGAATAAGCTGAATAAAAGCTTCATTTGTTGTCGCACGTTACGTGACGTGACACCTAGTAGTGTTAAATTACGTAAGTTCATCATTACTTTCGGAATATTTGAGTATGTCAAATCCTAGCTACAGTTATGCTATAATAAATTTAATTTAATTCAGAATTAATCTCAGAATAGCCCAGTTCACGGCACATAGTGCTTGTATTATGATGTCAGGTCGCGTAGTACGCCGTCAACCTTGGAACAATGAACATCCTCGCGATTGTACTCTGGTAATAATTGCATCGTATTCTACCTGTATATCTTTTGTTTTCTTATAACTTATATCACCGTCTACCTACGTCAAAAAGTCTTTAACTGAAAGAATCTTAAGGAAAAGAAGTCCTTATAGTGGAAAAGATGGGATTAATAGTAAGTCGGTCCGAAACTGTTTCCTGATTAGAAAGGTCTGTTTAAAGATCTTTGTATTTAAATCGTTTGAAGATACGTGTTTCATGCTCTCCATCCTCAGGTTCATCCAAAATGACCTTTCTTACCTTTCTTTTACATAATTCGTAAGATTTTAGAAAATCTTTCTCCAGGAATTAACTCGGAATTTCATAATAACATAACTCCTGACAGTCTATATCTTTAATAATTATCTAGCTATACGTAGGTATATTTAATAAATATTTTTTCATCCACAGTGTATTCGCTTTAATAAGTAACAAAGTATCTTGCAAAAGTAAGTCCCGTCCATTTCCTCCGGATTTCATGTTTGGGGCATCGACTTCTGCCTTCCAAGTCGAAGGAGGATGGCGTGAAGATGGTAAGGTTTATTTTCATTCCTATTTTACCGAGGGAAACCAGCCTTTCTCTATCAAAAAATTTCAACTCATAGGCTCACAGTCAAAGATAAGCGGACTTAATGTCTTTCAGCATATACCATTTTCTATCAGTCGAGCCTTAATTGACGCAGATAATATGAGCCAATAATCGGTGCAAGGAACAAGCAAATATAATTAGAATATAAATGAATATCTCATTCGAAAAACTCCAACGATGTTTATAAAACAACTCAACCATCGCAAATGTACATATACTTTGTTCAGTCATAACAATTTTAACCCTGCTCCTAAAGACTTGGCTTTACTAGAAGAACAATAAAATTATTATTTCGCTAACTCTAACAAAATTATGATTTTCAGGTAAAAGTTTATCTATATGGGATGTAGCCTGCCACTCAGATCCTGGCCTAATCAGAGACGAGAGCACGGCTGACGAAGCAGCTGATTCTTACCACAAATTCCTTCAAGACGTGGCTGTGGCCAAAGGCCTAGGCTTGGACTTCTACAGATTCTCTATATCATGGACCAGAGTCCTGCCTAACGGGTTCGCTGACAAAATAAATCACATCGGCATGAATTACTACAATGACCTGATAGATAAACTTGTGTCAAACAATATCATTCCTATGGTAACAATATACCATTGGGATCTCCCGGATAATCTGCAGAAAATAGGCGGTTGGGCCAATCCTGCAATAGTTGACGTGTTCGTTGACTATGCGAAGTTTCTGTTCATAGGATTCGGTGAAAAAGTGAAGTATTGGATTACTTTGGATGACCCTAGAGAAATATGTGTTGGTGGATATGGATCAGCACAAAAGGCTCCGTTTGTGAATATTTCTGGTGTAGCTGAGTACATGTGCACTCGTAACGTTTTGTTGGCTCATGCAAAAGCATATCATATTTACGATGAAAACTTTAGGAAATTGCAAAATGGCAGCGTTGGGATCTCTCTTGGGTTCACGTGGTATGAACCTGCGTCTGACACACTGGAGGATCATCAAGCTGCACAAGATGCCAGGCAGTTTGAGGTATGTGATAACCTAAAATTTTCAGTGGTTAGGAATCTTTCGAAAACAAACGTTTGTATTATTGGATGCACTCGACGTCCAATAAGGCGATCTATGAATTGAATAATTACTTTATTCCAACGACTTTGTAACTTTGTAGTTTCTGCTTCCAGTGGGGCTTATACGCACATCCAATATTTTCAAAAGCCGGTGACTACCCAAAAGAAGTGAAGAAAAACATAGCATACAAGAGTGCAGAACAAAGCTTCCCTAGATCTCGGTTACCAGAACTTACTCCAGCAGAGGTAGCTCTGGTCAGAGGATCAGCAGACTTCCTAGGTGTCAATGCTTTTACTACGAAGCTAGCGTATAGGGATGCGTCTTTGGAAGGCATGTATCCCGTTCCCTCATTCCTGGATGATATGGGAGCAGTGCTGGTCAAAGATCCCTCTTGGACACAATCAGAAAGCAGTTGGCTGCAGGTATGTTTTAGTAAAAAGAATTTCGGAATTTGTTGAATTGTTTTATCCATTCAATTATCTTTTATCTATTATTATTATTTTCATCCCCGATTATTTGGCTAACTAAATCATTTCGTAATTGCAAGTGCACATTCATTAATATCTTGTTTAAATTATTTTCAGGAAGTACCGTGGGGATTTAACAAACTTTTTAACGAAATAAAATCCTTGTATGATAATCCACCGGTTTATGTCACTGCTAATGGCTGGTCTACAGCCGGTGGACTACTTGACGAAGACAGGATAAACTATATGAGGACCTATCTTAATGCCTTACTGGATGCGGTATATGAAGGTTGTGACATCAAAGGATACAGTGTTTGGTCTCTTATAGACACTTTTGAGTGGCGAAGCGGATATTTGTAAGTATTTCTAAAAAAGGGAGTTTCTGATTCTTACTGACTACCCCTTCCCCCTTCTCTTACCTTATCCTACTCTCCTCTCTAGGCCGAACTCGCGGTGCCCTATTGCACTTTGCCCCACAACCTCGGCTGAAAATCAGCCTTATTAGGGCCCTTTGAGGCGCGCGCGGAACGCTACGTACCGTACGTTCGGGTCTGGTTCTGGTCTGGCGACTAGTTACCCTTACTCGCCGAACACAGACCCATGCTTACAGTGGCCGAAGATCATCTCTCAATGCCCGACGCCCGGTGTGTTGCCTACTGCGGTGGCTGACGCATGAATTTTAAACCTTGAAATGGGAAGCCCTAAGGGATTATGATTTATTGGTCATCCACTCTTCTTTCAAATGTCGTTTAAAGCTGACCAAGTAATATACTAAAATGCGCTTATGTAAATAAGGCTGATAGTCTAGCCATGGCTACCTCATGTGATTTGGCTAATGATAATAGTTAAAGTATTTCTGATCGGATCGAAATCAACTGTGCATGAAAAAGAAGAAGCAATGAGTGCAAATCTGTCTTGCCCTTGAAAGTTCTCTTCCTCAATATCATCGTCATGTGTCAAAACTCCTTCTTAATAGAGATTTAAAAAGCAGATAGATTATATTATGTTTGGGAAAAATTAATAACCGATTCCATTTCAAATCTTTTTATTAAGAACTTGTTTAACACTAGGAAGACCGAAATTTTGAACTACCTATAAAGACCAGGTGGGGTCAAATGACCCATTCATGGGTTATAATGTTTTATTCATGTATTATGGTTTTAAGTTTTATTGATTAACATCTTATAGTAAATAAAAGAACTAAATAGTAATTAAACATACATTACGTAATAAAAACATAAAAATATTAGGCACATTTTTGACATTTAATTGTTTACATTACAAGAGCCACACAAAAGCTTCTTACAATGAATTTATACGATTTTTACGATTTGTTGGTTTTATTTCTGCATTTTTGCAAGCGGGTATGCTATTATCAGGCTGTGAAGTAGATGGTGTCATCAGGGAGTGGGAATCATGGCCAACTAACTCCCTGGCCAAGTCAAGAATGAACTTTTTTCTACTGATTTTTTTCTCGATAGTTTTTTGTACAAAATCCAGGAATCATTTGCAGTCAAATCCAAAATATTATTATAAAACACTTGTCCTGTGTTACAATTAGGTTTTTTGCCATATTTACACTGGTGAAAAAAATATCAGTAGTTACATTTCAACCAGTGGGTCCATTGGTCGCAATACGACCCACTCGCCTGAACTTTGATTTTGTCGACGGCTTTCATTTCTTTCTAAACATATGGGACCTCGACCTCCTCTTAGGTTTTGCAATACGTAAAGTCGAGAGCTACTGAATCTGAAACAGTGGAGTAAACGCTAATAAAATGTTTCCTTTTATCTCAATGTAAAAAAATATTATTTTATTTACATCAATATACAAAATAATATACACTTACTATCAGAATCGGAATATGAGTGGGATCACCATCCCTAAAAGAATCACTATTTTGTGTAATATTGTAATCACTTTCTTGACTTTCTGGGTCTAAATGCAAAATGTGCCTCACTTCTTCAGTCGATTCACAGTCTGATTGATCGTCCGGTAAATTTTGCGGCACTTCCAGTATTTTTGAAGGGCAAAGGGTGATAATGAGGCATCATAATAATTATTATGGCGAGCCATGATATGTCTTTGTTTTGACAAGAATAAAACAAAAAAATATTTTATTTCAACTACCCATAACACAAGTATATTCCACGAAATGTAACTAGCAAGCACGCTGTGGTGTCAAATGACCACTGCGGTCTCTCTAGGTAGATGATATTTTTTAAATTAGTATTTATCTTGCTATCGGTATACACATATCAGAATAATGTAAACAATGACGAAATATTAAAAGTCATAAAACGACAATGAGTTCAGTGCTATGGTTTTGATAATATGATTGATCAAAAATTTCATTGGGGTCATTTGACCACTCTGGTCTTTCTAGTGTTAAAGGTTTAGATCGGTTATTTACAAATAGTATTAATAATAACATTTACCTGTCTATATGTATGTTTTCAGAGAAAAGTTCGGCCTATATGAAGTGGATTTTTCAAGTTCACAGAAGACGCGAACTCCAAGAAAATCCGCGTTCATTTACAAGGAAATGATCAAGTCCAAAATTTTGAACCCAGATTTCGAACCGGAAAAATTCATCGTTGAAGTGTCTAGGGATGTTCCTGAAAAAGATAATGCCAACAATGATGTCTTGTGATTCGATAAAAATTTTGCCTTTTATAATAATGGTGTTTTTATAAGTATCTAGTAAAACTATTTTTAATATATAAAATGTTATACGAAGATTAAATGCACGGTTACATATTTTTGGTGTTTTTTAATGTTATTTATGTTTAAAAAATATAATATCGTTCTCGACAGATTTTGTACCTCTCTATTCAAATAAATAAATAAGCAATAACTAATTTAAATTAAATTTTTTTGGTTTGTGTAATTTTTATTCTTTGCAGTCACAAGCATTTGCCTTTTTCCTATTCAATGCTGTGCAATGTTTCCCTTTGAGTTACTTTTAATTTCCCTCCAAGATCAACGAAGAAAGATAAACAAGAAGAACGTATAAAGCACACCTTGCATATTTCCTTAACTTTCTGCAGATTTTTGGTATAAAAACTATCTTGTTCTTTCTAGAGTTCCAAACTATGTCTGTACCATATTTGTTTAACAAACAAAGTGTAGCGCGGGATTTTATTTGGTTAGGCTGTGGCTTCGCTACAGTGTGGCTGCAACGCGCCGCAGCGCTACCTATTACAGTAACACGCACGCGCGGCCCCCCCTCCGCCGCCCGCACACCCCGCGCGCCAACGCAGGCCGAGGTGGCGCGAGCGGCAGCGCGAGAGAGCGCCCCAACCCTCGTCGCGTACGGGCGACATGTGCATTCCTCCGCGACTCGACGCCACTTTAACATTAATGTAACCATGTGCTTAAATTTAAGAACTAAGTATGTTTGTGATTAATTATGTTAAACAATCAATAAAGTTTTAATGTTCTAACCATTAAACTGGCGCCCAAACTAGTGGCCGAATCGTAACGACCGTTACGAGATCCAGTGCCTACGTGACCGCGGGTAAAGTACCTACCTACCCGAACCTACTCGCCGCGTTACCGTTGTCATCACTAACGTGAAGATGCCGACAACGAGGAAAGGAGAAGCCCTCCGTAAACAACGTGGTGAAGATGAAGGCGACGTCACGCTCACTGAAGATGAGAGCGTCGCCGAGCGCGGCCACGTGGACGATGCCGCGCGCGCCGGCTCGAGGTCGACATCTCAGCCAGCTCCCCAGATCCCAACAGACTTCTTATCCACGCTGATCGAGACGATCACGCGTGCGCAAGTGGAAGCCAACAGAAGCCTCATTAACACGCTGATGACGTCCAGCGGCGACTTCAGAGCCTTCACCCCAGTCGGGATCTCGTCATCAAACGCGACCAGCGCAGGTGTCGCTGTCGCGCCTGCGTCGTGCAGCGACGCCACCTTCACGAAGTGCACGGCGAGATACGACGGATCATCCCAGGACACCGAGGTCCTGGAAGCGTTCCTGGACGCCGTCGAAGTTTACAAGGAGTGTGCAGCGGTGAGCGACGAGCACGCCCTACGTGGGTTGCCCATGTTGCTGGAAGGCGACGCCGCCGTGTGGTGGCGCGGCGTGAAAGCATCGGTGCCCACGTGGACGGACGCGATAGCGCGGCTTCGCGCCACCTTCAGCGTGGTGCAGCCCGCGCATCAAACCCTCCGGGAAATATTCGCCAGAGAGCAGGGAGAAGAACGTGCAGAAACATTTATATGTAAAGTGCGCGCGTTACTCGCTAAATTACCGTACACGTTGGAAGAAAATGTGCAGGTGGACATTTGCTACGGTTTACTGCACCGACGCGTAGTGAAAAGGGTGCCGCGAGACAGTGTTCGTAGGTTAGACGACTTACTATATAAGGCTAGGATCGCGGAGGATACCTACAAAGCATCAAAGGTAAAGTCCGACCCTGTAAATAATAATAAATCGACCGACCCACCGGCGGTGACTACCACCGACCGAGATTTCACACAATTTGGTTCCGCTACCACGAACGCGACTACGTCGCGTTGCAGCAACAGAAATAGGCCCCGTTGTAATTATTGTAAACTTTTCGGGCATGTTAGCGACGAGTGTCGTAATCGCGAGAAGTCTACCATTAAGTTTAATAGTAATAGAGAGTTACGTTGTTATGGTTGTGGTAAGCAGGGCGTCGTGAGGTCGAAATGTGATGTTTGCGCGAAAACAATATCGAAACCCAACGACAAAACATCTTTCAACATTGTTGATGTAGATTTTTGTTCCGAGGTAGAATATAATAGTTACGCGAGTCCGAGTGATATAGATTCGTGCGTTAATATTACGAATATTAGTACGCGCGACAATCACCCGATGGTAAATATTAGTGCCGTGGCGGCGTGGCGATAATAGATACCGGCGCCACGCATAGCATCGCGAGCCCCCTCTTACACCTAGTTCTAGAAGACTCAGGAGTCCACTTTACCGAGACGAAACGTTTCGTGCGCCTGGCTGACGGATCGCAAGGGTGGAGGGACCTGTTATCAGCCGAGGTTGAGGTTAGTATTAAAGGTCGTAGGGTAACGTGCCAGTTCTTAGTATTACCTGGATGTGATATTAGGACGCTTTTAGGTACAGATTTTTTAACGCGGGCCGGCATGGTAATAGACGTCGCCCGCCGCACATGGTCATTCTCGGACAGTCCGGGACAGCCGTATGATTTTGTTTACACGTATACTCTCGACTTAGCTGATACAGGCCTATTGCACACTACACCTTCAAGTGAGTTGTCGCGACCAGTTTGTCCTGACGAGCAAAACGACTGTGACCTATGTATGACGGTTATTGACATACCGAAAAGGAACAGTGGTGATATCCGCAGCAATCAGCTGTTAGACCCAGAGGTTCGCAAGACTATTGAGGACATGGAGTCCGACGAACCCACTAGGGGGAGGCCCTGGTCTGACCGTGGATACACCATATCTGACGGTATCCTATACAGGTACAGCTTGGAGTCCGATGATGGAGAGGACTGTTGCCTAGTTGTTCCTGAACACGAACGCAGACAAGTTATGGTAGACTTGCATGATGCGCCGTCAGCTGGCCATTTCGGTGTGGAGCGCACGTTAAGCCGCGTTCGTGCTAGGTACTATTGGCCTGGCATGCGCACGTTCATCGCAAACTACATAAGGGAGTGCGTGCCATGCCAGAAGTATAAAGCCGACAATCGCAAACCAGCGGGGTTGCTTCAAACCCCTGCTGTATCAAGACGATTCGAGGTAGTCTCTGTGGACTTGTTTGGTCCTCTGGTAGAGACACCAAGGAAGAACAGGTGGGTACTGATCGTTGAGGACGTCTGCTCACGCTGGGTGGAACTGTTTCCATTGGAGAATGCCACCAGCGTCGAATGCGCTCGGACACTTGCGAACGAAGTCTTCCTCAGGTACGGAGTGCCACGCCGCCTTATCAGCGATAACGGCGTGCAATTCGTGAGTGAGGTCATGCAGCAGGTATGCCATGTTCTAGGGATCAGCCAGTCACTCACACCCTATTATCACCCTCAAGCCAACCCGATAGAGAGGAAGAATCGTGACCTTAAACCTCAGCCGGGGTTGCGGGGTAAGGCCGGGGTTGCGGGGTAAGCGCAATAAGGTACCGCGACCTCGGCACAGAGCAGGAGAAGGAACAGGGGGGTTTTTAGTCAGTAAGAGTCTGACACTCCCTCCTGCCCGGCCCTGGGCGGGAGAAGTCATTTGATGATTTTCCCCTCACAAAAAAAAAAAAAAAAAACCTCAACTTGCCATGCTTGTAGGGCCACGATCATACCACCTGGGACTTGCACCTCGCTTCAATCAGGTTTGCTATGAATTCTGCAATATATTCGGGATATTCACCGGCGTACCTCACCTTCGGGAGAGAGTTGCGAGCCCCTTCCGACTCCGCGATAGACATGAGAGCTATCGTGGAACACGACAACTTCGTGCCCAGCATTAGGCCTTATTTGAAGAAGATGGCTGCGACCCTAGATGAAGCTAGGGATATTCATGAGAAGGCGCAGGCTACTCAGAAGGCTGCCACCTGAGTATAAGGTAGGTGACTTAGTCTTGTTGAAGACGCAAGGGCCTAACGACACAGACCGCGGCCAGACCGCGAAGCTTATCCCACGTCGTGACGACCCGTACAAGATAGGGAAGGTCATCAGCCCGACCACTTACGGTCTAGAGAACGTGCAGACTGGAACGAACGTAGGAAAATATCACGTTTCGCACCTCACACCTTTCGCGGGTCAAGTAGAACCTCCCATTCGCGAAAAACGCAAGCGTGGCAAACCGCGTAGGTATTTGGACTAGCCCAACTGTAGGGACACTTAGGCTAGAGGGGGAGGATGTAGCGCGGGATTTTATTTGGTTAGGCTGTGGCTTCGCTATACTGTGGCTGCAACGCGCCGCAGCGCTACCTATTACAGTAACACGCACGCGCGGCCCCCCCTCCGCCGCCCGCACACCCCGCGCGCCAACGCAGGCCGAGGTGGCGCGAGCGGCAGCGCGAGAGAGCGCCCCAACCCTCGTCGCGTACGGGCGACATGTGCATTCCTCCGCGACTCGACGCCACTTTAACATTAATGTAACCATGTGCTTAAATTTAAGAACTAAGTATGTTTGTGATTAATTATGTTAAACAATCAATAAAGTTTTAATGTTCTAACCATTAAAAAAGTTACTTTCACATTTACAATAAGTTTGGATTATTGCGTCAAATGACTTTTTTATTATTTATTATTTTGTATGTTCGTTTCTGTTCACGGGATCCCGGATGTTTGGGAGGCGTACGAGGGGCCGAAGACAACTCGCAGAGGCCCGTTGAACAAGTTTAATATAAGTGAAATGGAATATCAGCCGGCAATTATCCCGTATGCACTATGAAAGTACACCCAAGGATGATCCTTTGTTGATGCAGGCAGGGTATGGGTTGCTTTGGGCTGGTGTATATGATAACTATGGAAATACTATGGCCCCTGCCCCTGGCCAATATTAATACATACGGATAAACAGGCAGGGGGCCGGTGACTGGCAAACTCAATTAATGGGTTCCCGGAAACGGCCGCTAGCATGTAACGACACGGGGGCAACGTACGTTGAGCTTCTTGGAGAAGGAGAGGCATCAATTCGTCAAGACCCCTACCATCACCTTACTGAGATACATCCTTCCCCTGAGTCTCCTTCAACTCCTACTCTTGCGAATCTCCACTCAAGCCAGCCAATTAAGGCAAGAATGAGGTAGGACGGCCCGTTCCTCATCAGTGTTCACTCCAGCTAGTCACGAGGAGTAATCGGAGATGAAGAACAAGACAGCTCCCGGGAGTCAGGTCCGTGGGTCGCCACTGCCCAACAGCTGCCTTGCAGATTATTTATTATTATCATTATCAACCGTTATCGACCCACTGCAGGGCAAAGGCGTTCCTACCCTGATTCCAAATGGCTTGCTTATTTCTTAAAAATATTGAAAATTTTGTGCATTGACAGATCGATAGGTAGGTATAAAGTTATTTTCCAATGTTTTATTGTATTGAAATGTCGAATTAATTTATTTTCGACCTAGGAAACTACTCAATTGTCTGTGTTATCCACAAATTGTTTTTTCGGGTGTGAGTGCGATTTTTTGTAGAATTTTGTAAACGCACCTACAAAACAGGTGAACTACCTAGTCTGTGCAAAATTAAGCCTTCAGTTTTAACTTTGGGTCAAGATTTTACGTATATGAAAATTCATAAAAGTTTATTCGTTTTCAAACAAGCTTTGCCGCATCACTATATTAGTCACTTTTTAGTGACGGCAGCCCATCACTAGTCACAAGTGCCGTGTCAAATTTGTTTTGTTTATATGTCACGTCAGTAGAAGTTTCACTAAATATTAGTTATTAAAAATGTGCGATATTAACGATAATCCTATAAAACTAAGTGTTAAGTGGAATGGCAAGGAGTACGAAATACCAGAATTTTCACCGTCTGATTCCGTAGCAATGTTGAAAGTTGCCATCGAAAATGCCACGGGCGTCCGGCCAGAGAGACAAAAACTGCTAAATGTAAAATTTCAGGGTAATTATAATATTATTATCATTATTATTTAGACTTCTTAGCCTACAGCGGAACTTTTGTATTAATAATTACTAATATTACCTACAAGTTTGTTAGTGAAACTTTCAAAATACCCAATGTGATTGATGACTTCTTTATGTAATGAATGTGCTACCGGTTCAGACTTGTTTTAAACTAAGCTTCTAAGAAATTCGCACAATGTAGGACATTTTGCTGACTATTTATAAAACAGAGCATGTTAACATACAGACATGTAGATGGATTTTTTATATTGTATCATGACTTCTCTTCTTCAGGTTCCAAATACAATAGAATGTTATTTTTGAAATATTATATTAAATTATTATTAAGTTAAATGTATGTCATGTTAGTGCTGCTCATAAGATAAATATGAGTCCCTGGAGTGGCTTAAATCTAGTTAACTCCCTCGTCAAACAGTTACCTGAGGATGCGATAAAATATTATAATTAATTCAACCTATCCCACAAAGTTATAATAAATGCTATGGCAGCAAAGGTGTCAATAACTTTTAACAAACATAAATACAACAGTTGATGATTAGACATTGACTAATTCTTACTAGAAAAGTACAATATTCTTTATAATTTTTTACTGTCTAGGTATATAAATTAAAATGGTACATTCAAACTGGATTTAAAATCTGGCAATAACCAATTAGGTAGGCAAAAATTAAAATCTTTAGTCTAACTCATATGCAAAAAGGCATTAAATCAGTATGCCAACTATTCTTTAGTCATACCCTTCATTCTAGATCTAACTTGATCTGTAGCTCTACCTACATTATGTAATTGAGAAAGTAAATTGATTAAATAAAACAAGGTTCTACTTCCCAGCAGTTGTTACAGTAAGAAATATAATAAACATTTATATATTATGAGAAACAGTGACTTGAATGATGGGATGGATGAATGATAACTAAGGAAAATGCTAACAACATCTAAATTTAATTGTTTTAATAAGTACAACTTTGTAAAACAACATTTTATCATTACACTTACCAACTCTATGATAGCATCACAACATATCATACAAAAAATAAAAGACAATTGAAATTTTGCATCATGGCAAGTTCTATTTTTCAATAAATTTTATTGCTTAGTTTTAGTTTACAAGCTCTCAGGCTCACTTTCACATGGAACTTAATAATATAATTGTTGAAAACAGTGTGTTAAAAATTAGTTTTGTTATGTTATATTAGGTACCTAAATACACAGATAATAAAAAAAACAATATCCTGTTATGAATACAACAGTTTACAAATTTAAATGGTAGAGAAATAATAATTGCATCATCTTTTAATTTATGACTTGATGGTTTTATTTTATTATTAACATGGTTTTTAATGGACTAGTTTACAAGCTGGTATTCTAATTATTTAATTTTAACTTACCTACATTCTTTCTTCTTTTTCATACTTCCATCCTTCTTCCTTCATTCTTTAACTTGTAAATACGGTTATAAGATCCCGGGTAATTAATTCCTGATCATTTCTGGGGTCATTCATGACATCATAATAATGTTTAACCAACAGGTAGTAAATAAACAAAATAGGAAATAAATAAACCACTGATAAATAAAAATATAATTTATATTTGTATCATTTTGTAACATGGCGCATCTGACTGTCAAACAGTGGATTGGGCAAAGTATTATAAGAGATTTTCGGTTTTTAGATTGAAATTTTACATTTGGGAGGTGGCCGAGGTGGGTATGGTAACCAATGTAAAAGCAAAGCTTACATTAGCTTTGTTTAAAGCTGGTTCCCAGTAAAATCTTAATATTATTTTGTTAAAACCAACTCACAGATGTTTAAGAAACAACCTCTCATCAAATTCATCCAAAATTTTCCAGGTAAAGTGGCAACAGACAACTGCACGTTATCAGACCTGCAGTTGAAGCCTAACCTGAAGATCATGATGATGGGGTCTCTAGAGGAAGCCATAGCTGGAGCCCAGACCAGGCCCGATGTTGGAGACGAGGTTGTGAATGATCTGGATGTTGAGGAGGAAGAGGTGGATGTAGAGAACCAGGAGGTATGTGAAGCTTTTTTTTTAATGTAAAGTCGGCAGAGACTCATTACCTGATGGTAAGCAATCACCGCCGCCCATGAACACCTGCAACAACAGAGGAGTTACGCATGCGTTGCCGACCTTTTGGGGTTTGGGGTAGGGGAAAGATTGGAGATGTGAAGCTTTTCTCTATGTGATTTAAAATATTCACATTCATATGGTGAATTAGCTCTGCTGCGAATTTAACCCTGAGTATTTTGCTTGCCAAACACAGGTAGCCAGTTCACATCCAAATCTAAAGAGGTCAATCCGATTTCTGGGCCAGTCAAAGTAGGCAGTTAAGGCTGCTGGATTTACTAAGAAGTCTCAGCAAAAAACAGATATTTCTTACAATATGTATATAATCTTTTGGGCTGTATACGGTGATTTAGAGGTTGGGAAGAGATGGAGGGAAGGGAGGGTTTGGACCTCCAGTAACCTTACTCTCACAGCCAAACACACTGCTATCATAACATAATAATATCCGTTTTCCAGGTTTATTTGTCGAAGATAAACAAGAGAGTGAGGGATTATAAGATTAATGTGCTCAACGAGCCTCGGGAAGGGAAGAAATTACTTGTCCTAGATATAGACTACACGCTGTTCGATCATCGATCTGTCGCTGAAACAGGTTAGTGTTATTTAATATGTATCAAATCAAATCAAAATAATTTATTCGAACTAAACCATAAATAGGTACTTTTGAAACGTCAAAATAGAATAGTAGTCTGACAGTCTGTTCGTCAGAGAAGCTAGGTGCTTGTTCCAAATTGTAGTTTCGAATGGAGAAGAACGAGCAAGAAACTCCATAGCTACTCTGTTTAAAAAAAAATTGTTTTACAATTCACCAATAATAATTTTTTTATACATTACTGTACCCCTATCATCCTGTAGTATACACACCTATCTATTACTACTGTTTGATGTCGTAGTATCTTGTTATACGAGGGTCAAACTGAAAGTTCTTATAAAATCAAAAACTGATTACATTAGCTTGTTATTAGTTTTATACTCAGAGAGCTCAGAGACCGCTTCTTTTGCTAGGCGTTATTTCTTGTCTGCAACAAATCGAGTACGAATGTGACTTTTTCCGTTGTGAGTTATATGTTCTTTCAACTACTTTCTAAGATTTTTTGAGACACCGCTTACAAACGGTGTAGAAAAACATCCTTCGAAAACTAGAAGCATAATTAATGCTAAAACCTGAGAGAGAAGTGTGAGAAGAATCATTTGTTCAGGTGTGGGTAGTCTTATAGACTAAAAATGTATTATGTGAAGAAAGAAAGAAATAAATTTATTTTTTTAAACAATAGAATAAAATAACACAAAAAAAAGTACTTAAAATAACAAATTTGATAATACAGTTATTGTGTGCCTCACAGCTGCGCCAAAAAAGAAGATGAATATCCTTACTTGAGAAATGTTGTCACAACTTCACTAGTATGTAACGATATATAAGTTACAATGGAGGGCGATCGAAATAATAAAAATTAATCTCTAATTCCAGGTTACGAGTTAATGCGTCCCTATCTCCACGAGTTCCTGACTTCAGCATACGAGGACTACGATATAGTGATCTGGTCTGCCACGGGGATGAAGTGGATAGAGGAGAAGATGCGACTCCTTGGAGTCTCCACGCACCAAGACTACAAGATCATGTTCTACCTCGACTATTTGGCAATGATCACTGTTCATACTGCCAAATATGGTACTATAGATGTGAGTATCCTTTTTTTATTTGAAATCACCAATCCACCTTGAGCAAGCGTGGTGATTAATGCTCAAACATTCTCTGTGGAAAGAGGCCTTTGCTCAGCAAGCAAACAGTTATAGGCTGATGATGATGATGATGATGATGACATTTTTAGCTACCAGGCGGATAACTAAAATATAATAAGAGTAACCAATTGTCTGTTTGAAAAAATCTAAAAAGAACTGTTTACTGCAAAAAAGCAATCGAAAATATTGCGTTACTATTCCTTCTGTGGTATCTTCAAAGGATTGGCAATCGGCGCGGCCCATGTATACTAGTAATTTCGAAGGCGTTTTGAGGATTAAGGATAGGGGAGTCTCTGGCCGAGCAGGCTAGTACCGCAGCATGGCCCTCCCTCATTTAAAAGCCATACTATCCTTTTATCCAATTAGAAAAATACACCAAAATCATCCTAAATTTAATTATTTCTTTTCAGGTAAAACCTCTAGGCGTAATATGGGGCAAATATCCCCAATATAGTTCTAAAAACACGATAATGTTCGACGATATTAGAAGAAACTTCATAATGAATCCGAAAAGTGGACTCAAAATCCGGCCATTCAGGCAGGCACATCTTAATAGGGACAGGGATCGAGAGCTCTTACACCTTTCAACTTACCTTAAGGATATAGCTCAGTACTGTGAAGATTTTGACCAATTAAATCATAAAAAGTGGGAGAAATATAAGCCTGACAAGAACAGGTCACAACAGGCTGGCAGTAAGAGGAAAGCTGAGGACAGTGCCCCAACAACTCCCAAAGAATGACGGTAATTGTACCACAGGCCGACGACCTCGGTCTGCGAGTCGCCTTAATCGCTTATATAAGACTGCAAACACGTTAGAACTGCAAACAGTTTTAAAAAAACCTCGATTATTAAGTCAAGAAAACATTGAAAATGTTTAAAATGTATTTAGGGCTGATTTTTCAATGATTAAATAAAAGTTATCTAGGGAACAATTATGATGCTGTCGCGTCAGAATGTTTGTATAAGACAGTGCAACAACAATTTTATTCCTCAGATAATATTTATTTGACTATTGAAAAATAAGCCCTAACACTTTTTTTATTTAAAATTAAGGCGATTTGCGTTAGTTTTTAGTCGTTTTAGTTAATTGATTTGATCATTTTGTATTGTAAAGGATTTCTCACAAACTTCAGTGTTGCTATTTAAGAAAATTTTGTTGCTATTTAAAAAATATTGATATTATTTCTAATAGAACAAATTTAAGTGGTGTAGCTGAGAATTTAAGTGCGGTTAGTTCTTGACAATGGCGCTAGTGGACTCTGGAAACGTATAAACGCAAACATATGAATTTATTTCATTCTGTACAAGACCTTCAATTGGTTTTCGACCCTATTACAGACCATTTATGTTGAAAATGCTTAAAAATTTAATCAACAAGAGAGTTGCCTGTTGTTTTGTAGGGTTAGGGACTTGACATTTTGGTCTCCAGTACACTAACCCAGCAAAACACAACGTAAACGTTGTTTCACGCCAGTTTTATCTGACGTCGTAGTATCACTCCGGTCGAGCCAATCCATTCGTGTCAAAATATGCCTCTCTCACACTTAATTCTCTTCGTCTACGAAACTATAATTGAGAATTGAAGTGTTGAGAATTAACTTGCTGCAGATTTTTGGTTTTACACACATTGTTCCCAATCTCGCTGGATTCTTGAGAAGATTTTTGGAATAAAAACTATCCTATGTCCTTTCGCGAGTTCAAAAATATGTCTGTAAAAAATTTCACACAAATCAGTTCAATAGTTTAGGCGTGAAGAGCCGTGCTTCATCTAGTTTTTTTATATATAATTGTGACGTGTAAAAATGCTGTTTTATGATGATATTTACAAAAATAAATTCATTGTTTCATTGAAGAAAAGAGACATAAGGAAGTTACTTTCACATTTATAATATTAGTTTGGATATTTTTTTTTATTTTCCCTTTTCACCGCTGGTAGACTTTCAAAGAAGTATTAAAATAACAAACTATTACCATCTGCATACCCTACTAAGAACTAAAGGTTATAATTATTACTACCCATGACAATAGCAGATTAATTTAAAAAAGGTTGCATTTAAATAAAGTGTATTTATACTATAATGTTTTTTTTTAATTTTAAACATTGTCATCAACAGTATAAAAAAAGTATGGTTACTATGGTCTATCGGTATCGGAGCCCTTAAAGGAATTTCGGTAGTTACTCGAGCGCGTCAGATTAACATATTATGGGGAATATTTAGTAAACAGATTAATATACCCATCATTTATGCTTAACGTAAATATAAGAAATGACTAAATACAGTCGTTTTCGTTAGATTAGGGGGGAAAAGGTAGAACTCATGTCAATGAAAGGGCGTTTAAAAAATCTGCCGATTTCATCGTGGTTGGGTTTTGAAAGGCTCCCATTTCTATTTCCTTTGCCAACCACACCATGCAATTCGGCAGATTAAAATAATTTCATTGTCAGAGATGCATGAAGAATATACATTATTAATATCTGCCACGCTCGTGCACTAAAACAAAAGTTACACCTTAAAATTTTGGAAAACTATCATCCTCCCCTACCCCCACCGGAGGATTGAAATCACCAAATCTTCAGAATTCAGTTACTCCCTACGACGCTTGAGTAACTACAAATTTCGCATTGTGGGCTCCCCTACTATTAGCATGTTTTTTTTTATTATTTACAATCAGGTATATACCTAAATCTATGTTAGCTAATAAACTGAATTTAAATAATCTCTGTATGTATTTTGTACGACCTCTTCAATATATACCTAAAGACATACCAATATTGTTTACCTTTAGTTAAACACCTAAACCTATAGATCATATATTATAATTGTTAGATATCTATTTGAAAATTCTCAGTTTTAAAAAACATATTTAGGATGCAAAGTATTGTTGAAATAAATCTGCCAAATTTATTCAGTCAGCACAGTTATTTGGTATGCACTTAGAGAAATAAATGTTGACTGGGTACAAAAAAGTAACTAACACCCGGTTTCTGAAAGGCTTGTCAACGCTAAATACCTTATCTCCTGTTAAATTTCTTGTCAACGCATCTGATTGGTTGACTGAATTATCAACAACCAATCAGATAACTTGACAAGAGATTTAACAGGAGATTAGTTAATTTTAGCGTTGAATTGATTGTAACATTGATCGGCCTTTCAGAAACCGCTTGTAAGTATTGTTTAGCAAACTTTAGAATTTGGGGATAGTTTCACTCCGGTATTCTATGAGACCGTGGTATCACTCCGGTCAAGTGGACCCATTAGTGCCAAAGCTTAGTTCTCCCACACTAACTTGTACTGTATTCTACCAAATAACTTAGCTGACTGAATAAATGTAAACAATAAAAGATTTATAATCTTTAAAAATAATTAAAATTAAAAAGATTTATAATATGTATTTTAAGGCAAGAAAATAGTAGATTCTTTAATTTATTTAAGTGCTTTCTACTGTGTTTTGTTAAAATTGTTACCAGTAAAAAAATGGAATTTCTGAATACAAATCTATCGGTTCAAGTAATCCAATCAAGCTTCTATATGTAGTCCTATTTCCACGTGGATACCAACTTGCATCGCAGTCAAGTAGTTTACCTAATTAACTATTCAGTTAACGGCTTAATCTGTTTAATAAATGAGATAGCAGTATTACAGTAGCTTTTTATTTTCAACTTCAATTCGATTTCGTACAGATTGCAATTCTAACTTGACCTAATATACCATCCTACCATTCTGGCAGCAATACAGTTCTAATGACAATCGGCTGGCAAGTGGCTGGGCAAGTGGCTGCTGTTGTGCAACGTCTAGCGGGTTCGATTCCCGCACAGAACAACATTTAGTGTGATCCACAAATTTTTGATATCTGTGTTGTTTTGTGGACGAGAATTTGTATGTTTGTAAACGCACTCACAACACAGGAGATAACAGAGAAAATCGTAATCGAAAAATAAACAAGTTGAGTGAGAAATTAAGGCATTCAATCAAATGGCTAGTTGTCAAGACCGTTAGTAGAATGGCTAATTAAGTTTGTTTACTGCAAACATGTTTTAAAAATTCTCCTAATGTTACAGTAAACTGAAATTATTAGCATGATAGTAGGAACATACTGTCAAAAGTTTTAAGTTGAGTAAAATTTTGATACTTTACGAAATAAGTCATTATATATAGGTACATAAAGTCCATTTTATTACATACATAAGTATGCAAGTTATGTATTGAACGCGTATATAACGTTTGACACATAGCTAGTGTCGAATTAGGTTATTATTTTATTATATTTTTTAATTTATCATATAAAATAAAAGTATTTGGACAAATAATTAATTGTGGTTTTAATTTCATTGTATGTCTGCAGATTTGCTTCAAACTGTCCCAAATAACAAGTGAAAATCTCATCAAAATCGGTGTAGTAGTTTCAGAGTTCATCGCGGATAGACGAGCAGACTTGTAACTGGCAACATTTTTTGATTTTTTCATTGGGGTAATCATCAAATGGCTTCTCCCTGGGTGGGGAAGAGAGAGAATGTCAGTCCCTTATTGACTGAAAACCAGCCCCGTGCTTTCTCGTGCTTAGAGCCGAGGCCGCAGCACATTCTTGGGCCAGTTTTAAGTTTAGCCCCGAATGCCGTTTTCAAGTATGTAGGATACTATTGTCATATAGGTACTTAATGAATAATTTGCTATTTATTTCTCTATTAGATAACAATAAATTTACTAAAATAAAATTAAACATAATATATCCTATCATTTTCCTTCCTGTTGGACTTTATTTGAAACAATAGGTATATTTAATTAATAAACAACATATAAGTAGGTACTTATGTAAATCACAACCAGTTTATAAAGAACCCCACCATTGCACCATTGCTGATTTTGAAAGAACTATTTTTAACCGTAGGTACGAAATTGTTCGGTGAAGTCCACAGATGCGATAACAGCGGCCTGTGTTGACAGCTCATTTTTCCTGGTCATATATTTAACACGCAAGCTTAGTAAATTATTTTATCGGTAGTTTCCAGTGCTAACAGGAAATAAGGTGTTTTTTCCTAGAAAAATAGTTATTTATACCTAGAAGGGACGCTAAAGAATATAATATTTAGAGGAAAATATACTTACCTTCCTACCTAATAGAAATTGACCTCGTAAGTAAGGCGAACATACGAAGATATTATTGAGAATTGAATGGTTGAAAAATACAAAGATTCTTCGCTCGACCAGGAATGTCAGCAGCATTATCCACTGGCGATCACCCGACCAACACAGCTAAGCTGTTGTTTGTAAATGAAAAGGAAAGATGTTATTAATAAAATTTTATGTAGGTACGACTTCTTATTACAATTTCAGACAGATTCTTGATCGTCGTTTGGCTCCTAAGTTGGAACGGTCTGGGGCCGCGCTCAAGCGGCTCCTTCCCAACCTCCGGGGGCCAAACGCCTCCTGCCGGAGGTTGTATATGGGGATTGTGCGATCCATGGCCCTCTACGGTGCCCCTGTGTGGGCGCCGGATTTGAAGCGGCGGCCGGCTCGTACGCTGGTCGCGTCCCAGAGGGTCATGGCTATCCGAATAATCCGCGGATATCGCACAATCTCCGGGGAGGCGGCGAACCTCCTAGCCGGATCACCGCCATGGGATCTGGAAGCGAAGGCGCTCGCGCGCGTCTACAGTTTGCGCGCAGACGCGCGTCGCCGGGGCGAGGATCCTCTGCCGCGCCAAATTAGTGCGTGGCGGAATGAGCTCCGGCGAGATCTCATGGCTGAGTGGAAGCAGCGACTGTCGCAACCCAGGGCCGGGCACGCTACTATAGCAGCGGTAAGACCCCTCTTTGAGGAGTGGCTTGAGAGACGCCACGGCGTCCTCACCTTCCGCCTGACGCAGGTGCTTACCGGGCAAGGCAGCTTTGGAGGGTTCCTGTTTCGGATCCAGCGGGAGGAAACGCCCGAGTGTCGTCATTGTGAGGATCACCTGGAGGACACGCGCGCGCCTCAAAGAGCCAATAGACCACCACAGTCGGGGCCCTAAAGGGCTGATGTTTAGCCGGGGCTGCGGGGTAAGCGCAATGAGGCACCGCGACCTCCGCCCAGAGCAGGAGAAGGAACGGGGGGGGGGTTTTAGTCAGTAAGAGTCTGACACTCTCTCTCGCCTTACCCTGGGCGGGAGAAGTCATTGGTAGATTCTCCCGTGACAAAAAAAAAAAGACAGATTCTTAATTGCTCTCAGACGCTTATGTTAAAAATATAAATTTCACCTA